TTGAGGAGGTTGTGTCCGACGGCGTTGATGGAAGCGCCGGCCACGATGTTGCCGAAATGCTGAAATTGCGCCTCCCTCCGTCGCTTCAATTGGCTCTGACTGTACTGTTCTTCGGACGTACAGGTGCATCTTCAGTTGTGCCGGTGCCAGCAACTTGAGGGGTGCTATGCCTAGGCGTTTTTTCTCGTGATGCTATCTTTTTAGCTTTCTCTTTCAGGACCTTCCATTTTTTCTTTAGCTTGGGGCATTCTTTGTCCGTTGCCAAGTGTTTGCCATTACAGTTAGGGCAGTGAGATGTCGAACCATCACAAAATTTTACGTTGTGATTTGCGCCACATTTAGCACAGACCACAACACTTGTGCAGAAACCCTGTACATGTCCAAGCTTGAGACATTCGCGGCATTGTAGAGGCTTTGGTATGAAAGGTCGGACTGGGTACCGCACTAGTCCGACTTTTATGTGAATAGGTAGCTTTTCGCACCAGAAAAAAAATCTTCACACACTTTGAAGAGCCACACCTTCGAGCGTTGATGACTCTGCATGGTGGTGTGCAAACTATCATACTTTTCAAAACGTCGTCTGAAAGTTCTAGGTATACATCCGATATAACCCCAGCTTCGATATAACGCCCAGAATATATAAGCAGGCAATCAAAATCAACGCATTTGTCTGTTGGTTTGGTCATGTTGTGTCTATCAAAGGAAACTAGCCCTTGATCCATTTCCCATCTTGCGATCTTTCTAGTAAGTGTTAACTCATTAAGAAAACGAACATTAATGTCGGGTCTTTCAAGTAGTGCCAAAAATGAACGCGGGGCTACTTTAATGTCCATAAGGCCATAATTGTGTGCGTTATATTTAGGCTAGCCTCTCAATTTATTTTTCGTTCATTTGAATAGAGACAGAGCGTTCAATGTTCCACAATTGATCTGTTTCAACAGCCACCTATCCTGGCGGATTACGGCCACAGTAATAATATAAGATTAATATTGAAATCTGCTTGCAGCCTTCTGAGCGTTATCAACTGCCTGTTAGACAAAGCCTCTATCCTTTTTCAGACGCAAATTGCTGAATTGATGCTTGAAGGCTGGAGACTGGGTTCAGGCATCAAAAAAAAAAAACATCCGACCAATTTCTTCTACGCTTAAAATAGTAAAGTTCGCAATAAACGAATGTACTCCACTACACATACATCATAGATGTATGGTCTCGTCGTTTGCCTAATTTTGTGCGCATACAAACCATAAATGTGAAAAAACGAAGAGAAAACAAGGAACAACTGTGCATGTTATAAATGCGGTGTAGTGTTCGACGCCCTTCAAGGCCACCGGGATATATGTACGGGGCGATGAAAACAGCTTTGGAGAGGGGATCATTTTATAGGGGTTCTGGCTGTCGTATGCTGTCGTCGTCGCTTGGCGTAAAGCGGGCAAAACCACGTATGAAAATACAACAAAAATAGGCCCAAGCGAGTAATATAAGAGAGAGAGAGAGAAATAAGTAGAAGAGGAATGAAAGAGAAAAACCGAAGAGAAACCAAGGAGGCTGCCAAGCTCTGCACTTCCCTCGGGCTTGACACCATTAACACGAAGCTGTCCTCTTTTTTTAATTTTTCTGTGCACCTCGAGTAGCCACTTTCATGTATAGCGTATAAAGTTAATCGGCAAAGACCGGCACGTGGTCCACCCCTTCGAGACGTAAGTTAGCGCCGCGTGCTCTGCAGAGGCTGAGCTTATAAGACTGCCGACGTCAGAGGCGGATGCATCGGCTGTGCACACTCGTCAGCTGCGGTTGACGGCCGCCCACCACGTCCCGTGGGCGGTGGAGCGGCCTCTTACGCGGCCGAGGGCATACACGAGCGCCGTTCCGGGCTGGGGTTCTTCGGAATGGGTCAGAGAAAAGCTGTTGAGACCTCCCGTCGACACGTGCGCCTTGGCACGCGGTTGTTTACGCGGCCGCGTGCGAGTTTTGCGGGCTGAACGAATGCGCAGTGATAATACCGTACTCGGGTAGGCTCTAAGAAAAGAAAAAAAAAGCCATTTCACTTTTCTGTGACTCCTGATTACCGCGTATTTGACTCTCTTTAAAGAGCCCCGTGAACTCTCTTTGAAAATTAATATACTCTCTTCGGAGAGTAGGGTGACTCTCTTTAAAGAGCCCCAAGAACTATCTTTGAAAATCAATATACTCTCTTCGGAGAGTAGGGTGACTCTCTTCAAAGAGCTCCGAGAACTCTCTTTGAAGATCAATATACTCTCTTCGGAGAGTAGGGTGACTCTCAAAGAGCACCGAAAACTCTCTTTGGAAATCAATATACTCTCTTCGGAGAGTAGGGTGACTTTCTTTAAAGAGCTCCGAGAACTCTCTTTGAAAATCAATATACTCTCTTCGGAAAGTAGGGTGACTCTCTTTAAAGTGCCCCGAGAACTCTATTTGAAAATTAATATACACTCTTCGGAGAGTAGGGTGACTCTGAAAGAGCCCCGAGAACTCTCTTTGGAAATCAATATAGTCTCTTCGGAAAGTAGCGTGACTTTCTTTAAAGAGATCCGAGAGCTCTCTTTGATAATCAATATACTCTCTTCGGAGAGTAGGGTGACTCTCTTTAAAGAGCCCCAAGAACTCTCTTTAAAAATCAATATACTCTGTTCGGAGAGTAGGGTGACTCTCTTTAAAGAGCCCCGAGAACTCTCTATGAAAATCAATATACTCCCTCCGGAGAGTAGCAGTGACCCAAAAGAGAGAATGCCTATGTGCGGGCAGCGCTTGTATAACGACATACACTGCAATAAAAAAGCATTTATTACTCTTGTCGGTTAATATTGACTTGCCCCGCATATGACTCTGTTCAAAAAGACCGCGAACTCTCTTTGGATATCATTATACTCCTGTCTGAGAATCGCGGAGCACTAGAGAGAGTTAAATTGTCTCTTTAAAGAAAGTAATTTACGTGACAAGTTAGAGCAGTATAGCTAGCCACGCATAAACTTTCGATATCTCTGCAGGTCAAATTTCTCGAAGAAGCGCGCAGGTACACAATCAGAGATGTTTCACTCTTTGGGGAGTCCTTTTTTTGTCCCGCAACAATAATCGTCGTCTGGCTTGCTTGCGTTTCATTTCTTGCGAAACTCGACGCTTGCCACGTGAGTATATCCGGAATGTCATGTCACGCTTATATGTCGTGGACGCTGTTCATGACCGGCAAGTATCAGGCGCACAGCGTTAAGTAAAAAAAAAATCCCACAAAGTATACGGCGATTCTTTTTACGTAAGAGAGAGAAATAAACGTTTATTTAGAAAACAGTGTTCCGAGCGAGGCCCGGTGTCACCCTAAGGTGGGAGGGTTCCCTAGTCCAGGAACGCTCTGGCTTCGACTGCCCTCTTGGCCCTGGCGACGAGTTGTCACTGGTCTTCCAGGTAAAAAAAAAAATGCCCATGTACAACTGTTCTTGGAGTGTAGCCGCGACAGTTCACTTATCGCTGCTACAATTTTATGGGTATAAGTCACTGTGAATTACATCAATCTTAGGTCAAAAGAAAAGATTGCCATCTACCTCACTACCATGAAGAGCTCAAATGGTGATTCCAACAGCCTATCCAGAAGACATATAGTAATTATAAGCACGCAAGAAACGCTAGCGCTGACACGCGAACCACCAAACTATCAATCCGAGATAAGCAGCCGCGGAGAAAAGGCTACACGTAGTTTTGAACTCTGCAACGGCTTGTTTTCAGGAAAAAAATCTTGCTAATTAAAAAACGTTACGAGACAATTTGGACGTCAATTACCTAAGTACAGAAAAAATAAACGTTCTCTGCAAAACGGTGGCAAACAACTCGAGTTAAAGGACTCAAAAAAGCGCGGCGTTTCCCGATATGCTGATTTATGACCAGGCGCCGCGGTTATCAACAATGCGGCGCTGCAGTGGCGATTTCAATTTATTACATTTTCCTTCGCAACAGCAGCTGTTGCAATATCGATCAACGTAGAGTCCCACGCTCCAAGGCCATGAATATAAAAAAAAGAAAATGAGAAAACTATCCGATTGTTCAGAAATAAGCGCAGAGCAAAACGTGCGTGCTAAATAGCGAGTAAACAAGTTTGTGTGCACCAAGTGTAGGTTTCGAAGTATGTACATGCTCTCGTTTTCTGCACCTATGCTTCACGTATACACCAAGAGCAACGCACGGTGTATCGCGCTGACGGTGGTTTGGGATCGAATTATCCACCGAACGCACGCCGCGAAAAGATTGATGAGGGTTGAACGACGCCGTGACGAGACTGCGAACTCCATGCCATGCACGATGACGCAAAACACCTTCGCGGTGCGCTGAAATATGTTCGCTCCTTGTAGAAAGGTCAGCGTTGCTCGAATGCCTACGGGGACGTGAAAAAAGATTACTAGTTGGAATAATAAGGTATACACTCTTGGTAACGAAATTAGCAGCAACGCGTGAGCGTAAACATCGGAAAACACCCGTTTATCCTAACTTGGTTTACAAAGCTGCATGATGTATGAACAAAATTATATGTAACCGCGTAACCATGTGTCGTTTGGGATAATAAAACAGTGAGTTATATAACGTGCTGACCATTATTTATCATTCAAAGATTTAATTTCTCCTGATAATTCACAACCGTTGCGGCCGAAATGTTGCGTTTTGAAGAGTTCGGTTTGAACGGGGGCCGATCGGGCGTCGATCACTCACGCGTTGTCTGTAATTCCGTGACAAAACCATATATACAGTGGTTTTATACACATACAGTCTAATCTAACCTATAGCAACATTTGTATAAGCACAGCCGACGCTACTCGCATGGTGGGTATAAATACAGCGCCTGTTGATATACGCAGCCTGAGTATATCACTTTTCAATCGTTGAGAAATTACTATATGCGGCGCACAGTGAGCAGAAAGCGAGGGGCGCACATGAACTATACAGCTTCATTCGTTGCCGTAAGCGGCACGAATAACGTGTTTGCCTTTTCAATGACGTAGCTCCGAGGCCTGAAGGACACGTACCTGCTGCGAAAGATGGACCAACCAGAGCGTTCCAGACGCTCGGCGCGGACATTCACTCGCCGCCTGACCGAGGACTCCAGGGTATCGGCAGTTTTGACACTTTGCACGCCATAAAACGCTTGTTTTGGTTTGTTTTGAAAGGACTGTCGTCTGGGAATATGTACGTATGTACGTATCACTCATTTTTTGCCGGTTGATACTAGTGAGAGAGAGAGAGAGAGAGAAACAAATAGCGAAAGGAATACAGGTTAGCCAGGCACGGGATGATTGGTATACTGTAGAAAAAAAAAGGAAAATATCGATGGATAGGACACGGAAGAAGAAGAAGAAAAAAGTGGGAAATGAAATAAATACGACCAAACCTGGGCGACCCAGCACGCCCGTGAGGCAAGCCCTTGACGTCCTCTAGTGGGAGGCTTAGGCCCGGCCACCTAGACCTGTTGGTTGCTTACAATAAAGTTTATTCCTCCTCCTCCTTGTGAACGCGCAGGACATAGCACGCATAACGCACAACCGGGGTATTTTGATCGAAGAGAAAGTTAAAAATATATATATCAAGAGGAGGATATGACAGAAAAATTGTACTAAGTCACAGCAGAGCTGGTGCGCACCTACAGCTTGTTCGGCTTGGCTAGGTTCTTACTCTCACATCTCTCTCTTAAATTCCCAGCCCTTCATATAGTACACTATACACGGCATTGCTTGCTCTCTTTTCATCTTTTTATAGTCTGCATCTTTTCATCTTTCTCTGTCTCTCTTCCCTTTCTTTCTTGTCTTCTCTTTTTTTTTTTCAATGTATTTCTCTCGCTCTCTGTAGTCGCTCTCTCACCATCTACCTTTTTCAGTCTTTCTTCACTCTTTTTTTATCTACTGCTGTGTACGTTTTTTTTTTTTTTCATCTGCGACACACGAAAACCTTGGCCATAAAAGCTCTGCTGTACAACTCCTAGAGCGCGTATGTGCCACAGAAGTTGGGGCAAATTACAACTACTCACGCCGCTGGTTCATTAAAAATTAAGAAAGGAACAACGATGAGGGGCCGCACCTCGCAGCTTGTCTTGTTTTTCGCGTGTACCGAGTGTTTGAGCGACGATTCAGCTCGTGCTGGTTTAACGACGATGGTAATTTTCTACGACACAGCCAAACCTCGACCATAACAACTCCGCAGTTTTTTTTTTTTTCCTGAACATCAGCCTTGTCTCCCGACTTCTCACGGAATTGATTGATTGATATGTGAATTTTAATGTCCCAAAACCACCATATGATTATTAGACGCCGTAAAAGAGGGCTCCGTAAATTTGTACCACCTGGAATTACCTGAGCACACGTGTATACAGCATTCCCGCCTCCATCAGAAATGCAGCCGCCGCAGTAGGGATTCCATCCCGCACCCTGCGGGTCAGCAATCGAGTACTTTAGCCACTAGACCACCGCGGCGGGGATTCTCACGGAATCATTTAGCATTTTCTCTAGAACAACGTTTTTTTTTAATCGACCGTGACTCGATTGACGTGAAACCATCGTTTATTGTAAGAGTACTGCCGAGGTAAATTGTGCATCTTTCTAATAAGCTCCGGCTGCATCGCTCATCTCGTGTATAAATTATTGAGAGGTTAAGGGTCTGAAGTGAGCATTGGCTCAAGCATTTTCGCACACATGTGTACTGTAGGAATGAGCTGCCGGGTTCCCTTTAGGGGGGCGGGGGGAGGGAGCGGATTTTGTTTCCCCACTCTCAAGTGACGAGAGAAAACAGCACCCTCCCCTGCATTTTGTGCGCACGCCTGTGATAAGTATAACAGTTTGTGAAAACTACACGAAGCGTCAGACGGCAAATAACTGTTTTCTCAAATCGGGGACAGCTCTAGACGGGAAAGTAAGAATCAAAGTGAAGGTGTCAAAGAGGATTCATGGAGGTGACGCAGACCCAATACGTTTTAATTATGCCTTTTTCGGCGTGTAGATGTGTGCCCAATAATGAGATTGCAACCGTTGAAATGAGACTTCGGAATAATTATGTTCGTGTTTTGCTCATGCTCTCTTACTCCACGCTCCTGCTCGCGTGGTTATGTGCGACGCTGTCCGCTGCGATTTCCGACGTTGCAGCATATCAAGCGACCCACAGAGCTGCAGGAGCGTGTGTCAAAAACGTCGCGATGTCCAGCAACCACCTGGCAAATATAAATAATAATACATGCGGTTTTTCGTTCTTAAACCACAATATGATTAAGAGGTACGACCTGTAACGGAGGGCTCCGGAAATTCCGACCATCTGGTGTTGTTTAACGCACACTGGCGTCGCACACTACACGAACCTTTAGTGCTTCGCCTCCATCGAAATTAGTTCGAATTCGCGACCTTGAGTCAGCAGCCGAGCCCTGTAGCCGCAATGCCACTGAGAAGGACTATTTATTTATTTATTTATTTACTTGTTTGTTTGTTTATTTATTCACGCATTTATTTATCTATCTATTTATTTATTTATTTATTTATTTATTTATTTATTTATTTATTTATTTATTTATACTGTTAGCGAAACGCAAATACAGGATGGAGTACTGAAATACTCTTCACACATTGTTTAAAGACACAAGCACTACACAGTGAAATCAAGACAGACAATGCATCTGACAGCTTTAAACAAAACTAGACCATACAGACCACACGAATCGTAATGCAAACGAAAAGCAACTCTTACCGAAAAGTACAACGCACAAAAGTATTCAAGTTTTATAAAGTAGTGACCAACATTGAGTAGAGAGCAACACAATCGCAGACACTACACTCAACATACACTGTTCCACATTCTTGAAAATTATAACCATCAAAATCGGGAACTTTTTTATCATTATCTATAGTTATTTGAAATGATGTCAAAGCATACAAGCCGCTTTTCACTGGGAAAAAAGGAAGGTAATGACGCTTACATACGGTTACCTGGAAGAATAATAGGCCAGTACGAGTTTTTCGAATTCATCTGAAGAGTTAATTTTGGTTATATTATGCTGTAGCACGTTCCACTCTTCAATAATTTTCGAGAATAGGGAGTATTTAAAGGTACCACCTACCACCTTTGCGGGTATGGGCTCAAATCGATCCGAACTGCTCGACCTGACAGATCGTGAAATACGCGACATTCTCTTTTGTGTGTATCTGTGTTATGTGTTTACTGCCCACGTGCTCGAATAGGGCAATGCCTAAGACGCACGATTGCAGGTCGTGTGGGCCGAGCAGCAAATGGTGAGGCCGCGAGAAAAGCGAGGCCTGGCACAGGACTGGGAGACGCTGCGCTTCAACGACCCGCTGTGGAGCCACCAGTGGTACATCGTGAGTGCACGTGGCGCCGCACCGTGGCGAGATTATGCGGTGGTGTAAGAGAGCGTTGCTCTTCCGTGCAGCACGACACGCGTTCCTCGCCGGAACTGCCCGAGCTGGATCATCGAGTCACCAAGGTGTGGGACATGGGCTTCACCGGGAGGGGCATCGTCGTCACCGTTATGGACGACGGTGAGTCCCTCTCCTTCTCCGAGTGTTTCGGTTGCTTTATACGTTTGGCCACATCATGCTAAAATGTTTGCACATTTTGAAAACACTGAGATAGTTTCTGTCCTGCTGGAAGTCACGAGCTCCCTTATGCCTTCCCTAAGATGACTCGGAGACTCAAGCCATTTCCTTGTTCTTCTCAGTGCCTTATGCCTTCCGCACCTAACTCGGTTTCGCGGTGCTTATAGTTCGTCCCACCTTTTACCAAGAGGTCGTGTCACGCGATTACGCCATCATATGACGTCATAGTTATGCCGTGATAGCGTCGCGAATTTTGGCGACATGTGACGTCATGATGATTAGTGTAGTGACGTCATCGTAACATCACAGGTGGCCGAGCAATCTCTCGAAGAAACTAGAATATCCGCGTTTTGCGCGTAATCTTGAAATAATGATCTAAAACAATCTTAATGCTACTGATACGTCGTGAATCGGTCTGTGCCGAGCATTGCGAAAAGTCCTTGTGAGTGAAGGCAGAATACATCAACATAACACACGTGGCAATACCCCTCTCTAAAAAGCAACGCCCCGCTCTTAATGTCCCAAGGTCACCTATTCGACCAAATTCGCGGTGTTTCATCTTGCACACGTCTACTGCTGCCTTCGTCAACATCACGACCGAGAGAGGTGCTATTCGTTCATGTTCCGGACGCCCCCGTCATACCGTGAATCCAGCCCACGTCACGGAGAAGGCACCGACACCAGCCACGACCAGCGAGCTAGCCGTAGGCAACAAGGTCTACCACCGGAATAAGGGCCTATACCCGATAAGCCTCGGAAGGCCATGACCACGATTGCGGCAACGATGTCAGCCACTGCACCACCACCTGGGATCATGGTGCAGCAGCCAATGAAACCGCCGATCTTTCGGGGATCACTCCTTTCCAGTCCGAATTCACCGATCGAATGGCGTATATTTTCCATCTGAAGCCCCAGCAGCGAAGCGCGAAATAATGCGCACGCTCTGCGCGTTATTTCTTTTTCCCTACGTCACTAAGATTCGTAAAGGAGATTAGACGTAAAATGCGACACCTATATGCCTGCACGCTCTAAAAGCGAGCTTTTCCCCCTAGACCCGGGAGATATATATTTTGTGGTAATACGAACCATCCCTTATCACCAGACATGGCATTGCTTCAGCGTTGCAAGGCGGGAACGTAACTGACACGAACAAAACGAATACCGTTTGAGTTTTGTGTACGGGTCTTCATAACTTCTATACCTTCGACATTGGATCAACTTCCAAAAAAAAGCTAGCGCAGCTTCCACTAAGTCGCGCAGGGCTGGATCACGGCAGAGCTGCTGGGCACGTTTCAACTTTCCTTGTGAACCATCTGCACAGATAGCCTGAGTGACCATAGCGTGGCAGTTTGTGATGACGATAATTTTCTATCCACGAAACACGGCAAACCTCATCTCTGCTGTAACAAAAGAAAAATGACAGCATATATCCACGGGATGAATGATGCGAGAGCAGGGCGAAGCTGGATCGCGGCACGCCACTGCGCGCCGCTTCAGCCTTCCGTTCTCGTACGCCGGGATCTTGTCGGCGCCTCCGCGCAGCATCACGGCACGCTTCTGCCTCGCGCGCTCGCACATCGGTGTCCCGTCTTCGAGCGCGAACCGCCGCCGCGTTGCGCGCACGCCGACCTGCTTTTATTTTACTACACCACGCCCCCTAGCGTACGACACCGCCGACGAAAACACGATCGCCAACGTCTTCGTGTGATGTCATTCATATTTTCTCGCGCGCTAGCACACCGATGTTTCGTCTTCGAGCACGAGCCGCCACCGCCTTGCGCGTATCGTACTTTTTATCGGCAAACCGAGAAGCATCCGCTGGCCGCATCCATCTCTCGTATGTCTGTCTACCTGTTTGACACACGGACGGACGGACGCACGGACGGACGGACCCATTGACGAACGCAGGGACGGACGCACGAATGGACAGACGCGCAAATGGGCGCACGAGAGGACGGACGCATGGACGGACGAATGGACGGATGCACGATTGAACGGACGCATGGACGGACGAACACACGTATGAACGGATGGACGACCAAACGGACGCATGAACGAACGCGTGGACGGACGCGCGGACGAACGGACGCACAGATGGACACGCGAGAGGACGAACGCACGGAAGGATGCATGGACGGACGCACGAATGGACGGACGCATGGATGAACAAATGTACGCACGGATGGATGCAAGGACGGACGCATGGATGGACAGAAGCAAAAACGAACGGGCGGCCGTAAGCACAGACGGAATGACGGACGCTTCGCCCCACTTATCATCATTCACTCCATGGATATGCTGTGATTTTTATTAAATGCGAAGCATTTCTGAGCGAACTTCGGCGACTTTGAGCGCATCTGTCTATATATCTATCTAGCCGTTTACGTTTGGTTTCTCTCATGGTCATACCTTTAACTTGGCGTGAACCAAAGTTAGCATGGGAGGGTATGATGGTTTGATGAATATGACGCACTGGTCAAGACATGAATAATGTCACAATCCCGTCGCGTACGTCGTCAAACACTTTCTGCCAGACAATGGCACATACCCTTGGGCGGGTATGTGCCGCTGGTATGCGGGTATGTGTAACAGATGATTGACCCTTGGTATCTACCAAGGAACGACGAGAACACACATGGGCTATTTTAACAAGCGAGCGTTACGATATACGAGACATAAGTAGCGTTGACACGACGAATGCAACGAATAAATGTCAGGCTCCCAGCTGGAATCGAACCCAAGCATTTTGCGTGGCAATAAAGCATTTTACTACAGAGCTACGCCAGGTTTGGAAACTTCTTTTCAAATAGATGCCAATATTCGTGAAACGTCAATAGTAGTTGCTGTGCTGCCTACTCAATTTTATGAACATTATCTATGTACTCTTTTGATACAGCAGTCATGTTGGGTCAACGTCAATTGTGGTTAGTTGCCATGCGCTGAAGTTGATTTATGTAGCAGTGTCCAGTGCCAGCATCCTCCCGAGCATCCGCGCTTCATATCAGCTTCTGGTGTTGTTAATACGCATGTTCCAGTTGGCTTTGTTGCGCAAGTGATAACAACTGGTTATATAAACATCTGCAACCCTTCAACATAAGCCTCTGCGTGCAACATTTTTACATATATTTAGCGTCATTTCATGACGTGTCGCTCAATAAAACAATTTCAACACGGTCGCCTTCCTTCCGGATGCTTTGCATAACGTCGATTCCCGGGTACGTGGGATCTCCGATTTTTTTTTATTTATCATACTACAAGTAACGTCTTCTATTATCGTACCATTGACATTTTTTTTCAGCGTATATGCATTTCGTTATGTGTACAAGTACCACCCTTTACGAACCGGTTCAAAAACTAACGAGAGGTGGCTACATACGACGATTACGACGGGACGCTCAGCCCACACCTTGAGGATCTTCGCTCCTTAAAAAGATGTGTAATTTTACGTGCAAACAGCTCTGGTTTGGTCTTGACTGCAATTCTTTAACACGCACATAATTCTTTTTTACATGAGGGAGTTCCACGTCTCACGATTATGAGAGACGACACAAGAGAGGGCTCCACAAACTTTGACCATCTGGTTTTTTTGTTTTTTACCTTGAATTGATATTGTACAGTACACGGGCCTTTACCATCTCGCCTCCACCAAAATGCGACCACCACAGCCAGGGTCGAACCCGCGACCTTCGAGGCAGCAGCCGAGCGCCCTAGCCACTGATCCACCGAGCCGAACTCAACGCCTATACGTAAATCTAAATACACGCATGTTCTTGCATCTCCCCGCCCCTCTCCCTGTATTACGGCCGCCGTGGCCACTGACATATCCAGACACTTGTTCCAGAGGGTTCAACTAAACTTTATGCATGTTCGTGCATGCGTTTGTATTTTCGCGCTTATATAAACACACATACGAAATTGAAACCTTTTTTTTTTCTGCATGGGGGGAAGGGTGTCTTGACTCTCCCCACCCCCAATCTCCTCCTGCTCCTGTTTACACCCGTGGCCAAAACCAGGAATAAAACCCGCGACATCGAGCTTAGCAGCGCAAGCTCTCCATCCACGGTCAAGGTCTTCAGCCGCCACCCGCCGCAAAATAGGGCATATAGAAACGAGAGCCGTCATCAACACGTTCAGAGTCAGCCGCGCCGTGCAGGGTCAGCGGGCCAGTCGACACGTATTTTCTCCCCGTGCCAGAACCAGCGCACGATGGCTGCGCAAAAGGTCCACTCCAAAACAGCATGGATTCGCCATTGGGATTCTGCTTTGTGTTACACGAAGCCCGAAGATGTGGCAGCAGACGCGTTTTGTAACAGGTTGTCGCGGACAGCTGTCGCAGCCAGCCGCTGGGATTCGCGCGCTCGAGTAATTGCTTGCCTCTCTATGCGGGAACGAACGAGCAGCATAACACGGCAAGACCTAATCTTAGCCACCGCCGTCGACAGAAGCGACAAAGCCACCAACGCCTTCAGGCCTGACGTCCCCACCAGCTATTCGCCCACCGTTGAAGGTCACGTGTTCGCAACAAGTTTATTACTGCGGCAATGTAGTGTACCGCCGAATGATGTATGGACCTTTGTAATGAGTTATCCCTGTCGAGAAAAACAGTGGCTATTTTCTGTTTTCACGGCAACGAAATTCTTGAAGCCGTTTCGGAATTTGCTGCTCTTTCAAGATCAAGTTATGCTATAGTTACCACGTAAACGTGTATAGGGTGCGTCATTATAGGGGGATTTCCTGTTTTCCCGGCAATGCAATTCTTGAAGTGTTTCGGAATTTGCTGTTCTTTCAAGATTAGGTTATGCTGTAGTTACCACGTAAACGTGTATAGGGTGCTTCATTATAGAGGGACCAATTTTCATCGCATGTGAACCTCTCTCTTCCCTAATTTACTGGTTGAATCCAAAAAAAAAAAGATCACGTTTCAGTACTGCAAACGCGCTTCGCAATGTATGCAATAATGAAATTGAAGTGGCAATGACATACTTTTCACAACTGCCTTAAGTCTCCTGCTTTCAAGGGGTAAAACGGTAAGCAGTTCTGGAACAACATCAGGGGCTCTCGGTAACCATTAGCATCAAAAACCAGCACGGTCAACACGGGCGTGCTGCAGGGTTTTGCCTTGAAAAAAAGAGGTGGAGAGAGGGCGTTGCACGCTAGCGTGACCATTGGGAGGCGCGTGCTAGTGTAACTTGGGAGAAAACCACGCACTTCAAATAATGGCGTCACTGGTCCAACTGCATAAAGATATGGACACACGTAGCGCTCTCCTTCGATGATTACAAGAAGCGCCCCCCCCCCCCCCTTAATTTTTTCTGTGCACCCGCCTCTGACGTTCTGTCGCCATGGCAAAGTAGACGACATTGCCAGAACTCCCAACGTAAGCCTAACGCTTGCTCGTCGCGAAAAGCTTGCCGAGACATTATACGTGTGTAGGAGTCTGGTCGACCCATGACTCTACTAAATATAAATTTTATGCTAAGGTTGCTGTTTTCCGTAGTTTTTCTTTTTTTCTTCCAGTCGACAAGTATTCCATCCGGAGTAATCTGCCCCATGAAAAACAACCCTCGAAGCAAATTCGGACAAAACAAACAAAAAAGTTGCGATGTTGGATTCAATTTTCCACCCTCCTCTGCCTTTGCGCGGATGATATTTGTTACGCATATTATTGGCGCAATATAACGAAAAAACTTGTAATTAAATACACAGTATTGTCTTTTTGTACTATGAATGAGTTCTTTTCTCTCTCTCTCTCTCTATCTCTCTCTCTCTCTCTCTCTCTCTGTAGCAGCACTGCAGAAAATTTGCCGAGCTGGAAAAGTAATAAGCATTCTGAGATTCCGAAGCGCGGGACCGAACAACTAATTAGAATGCGCGTGCATCGAGAAGACCACATCAGCTATTTTTCATTTAGGAGGTGTATCAAAACAATGTAAAAAATTCTATCCAATCGTCGATTAATAAAAAGCCACAAAATAGTAATCTGTTTATCTTTTATCCGTTTTTTTTTTTGTAAGCCGTAATCTCGCCATTGAGGCTGCAAGACCTGCATTAAGTCATCCCTGCTGAATTGAATCACAAGCGAAAATTTGGGGGCTGAATATCAAAATAGGGCGGTCGAGATTTTGTATTTTTTATCCGTCGGTGAAAGACCTCTATCGTTCGCCACGGCAGTAGAGTGGTTGTGGTACTCGACTGCTGATCCGAAGGTCGCAGGATGGATCCCGGCTGCGGCGTCACCTTTTCGGTAGAAGCGAAGTGGTAGAGGTGACCCGTGTTACTTCGCACTGTCGGCGCTATCTAAAGAACACCATGCGGTCAACATTTTTGAAGCCCTGCACTACGAAGAGAATGAAATCATACCGTGGTTTTAGGATGTGAAACCCCAGAATTGATTTACTACGAATATATTATGTCCTTGTGCGCAAGCGCCAACAAAGATCTCCATGGTTAGGCTACGCGAACAAAAAAAAAACTTCTTTATATATTTTTCAAACACCCTTTACTCTGTTTACTAATAAAGAAGTGCAGCGTGACAATATGTAAAAAGTATGACACCGAAATGACTGCTAAATTACTCAAAATTACCAGTCGTGCGTACGCTTTACTCCGGTAAACGTAATAAATGAAGAAATACATTGATTGATTGATTGATTGATTGATTGATTGATTGATTGATTGATTGATTGATTGATTGATTGATTGATTGATTGATTGATTGATTGATTGAAGTCCAACACTACACGATTTCGCTAATAAACTTCACAATAAACACCCTTGTGCACATCAATAGATTCTGAAAGTTGTCTTCTCCTTACGCATGGCAATTAGCACTGGTGCACGCTTTACAGGGGCTGCATCCTGTCAGATTTGAACGATTTCGAAAGACGAGACGAAACTTCAGACATAACTGCAAAAAACCGCCTTATCTTCGACAGTAAGCTCTGCTTCAAGAAATAGGATGCTATAAAAACTATATAAAAGTTCCATTTGGGTCCGAAGACGTTGCACCGGTATCTAAGGATAGTGTCTGGCAACTACACTATGTAAGATCTGTAAGAATTATCGGTCGTACATATTGCAAAAAAGACTCGATTACTGAATAATTTTACAAACATGATGTCACCCGTGAACAGCCAAGAATTAACAGATATTCTTTCACAATTGTAAGCACTCGGTGCACTGCCAATGCTGGCGTGAAGACCGTAGGCAGAGGTGAACTAACGTTTCGTGTTGGTCCACCTATGCCTGCGCAGGATGAACCACCATGCTATGATATATTGCACTGAGGTACCACTGGTATAGAGAGAGAGAGAGAAGAGACACAACTTAGCTGTTGTCTTAATTCTATTTCCACCAGTTGAAACCATTGGAAACAAGATTAAGACAACCATATATATATATATATATATATATATATATATATATATATATATATATATATATATATATATATATATATATATATATATATATATATATATATATATATATATATATATATATATATATGGGGGTGGGGGTTTTATAACAGAATTGTCTTTTTTTGCGCCTCGTCCCCCAGTTATCGCGTCGTGCCGGCCCCGCTCTGTTCAATTTCTGGGCAATGACGCTGACAGCAAGACAGCTGCCATGACCACAACATCGAGCTTTGTTCCCAGCTAAAGTCACGCTTCTTTCTCTCGACGGCGAAACATCCCGTTGCTGCATTCCACGCTAGCATACGCCACTATGTCACTGTCTGCATACGTCGCTAGTATACGCCTATCCTCAATGGCCGCAAGTCACAGCCCCCCGGGCGTCGTCTTCTCTCGAGCTATCTTCTGCCTGACGCCAGTTCGCGGCAGTAATGCTGTCCGGCCTGCAAGGCGAGGGTCACGTGATACATGCTGAGGCAATGTCACTACATATCGTTCATGCTCTCGGTCTTCCCCTTTGTGCGGTAGCCGATAGAGCCGCAGGCAAGCATACTCGATCAGTTTTGTGGAGTAGAGTTACCGTATATGCTACCTCCAGGTAGAATTTCGCATCTGTTTTCCAACGCCGCTAGTAATCATGCACAAGGGGGAAGCTGATGTACAAGCCGCGCCCGGAAAACATGGCCGCACCGCAGAAAGCAGTCGCCGTCCACGTGGAATTTATCAAGTGACCATCGTGCGCTTTGTAGCTCGTTAGCTACGAACTGGTGGTTTTATTTGCTTTAGATTCATGTCCTCAAGCTTCTACCGCAAAGTATTTGCGTAGATTCGGCACCACTTTCAGAAAACAAAAAAAACACTAGTAATCAGTGCTGTAAGCTTAGCGAGGCGCTCTCTGAGTCTCAGAAAACACATATTTTGTATTTGTCAGTTGTTACTTATTCTCCATAGTTGGCGCCACTTGGCGTGTCGGCAGCGGCGGTACACGTTATTCGGCATCACGCTACGCCTTCGCGCTTTGCGTTACCGGACGAACTGAAAGTTATTTTGTACTCCTGCCCAAAAATAGGTGTTTTTTTTTTTCGTCGCCTGTCGCTAACACGCCAGGCTCTTCGCCTGGCGATCGGCGACACGCTTCGTCGATCGGCGACAGGCTTAAACAGGTCGCCTGCAGAAACAGGGCGACTTGTTTGCCTGGCTAGCAGAAACAGGGCTTCGCTTGCCTGGCTAGCAACCATAGTTACGCGGCTTCACCGCCTAACTATGGTTGCTAGCCAGCCAAGACGGCAAGACGTTTGTTCACGACCTGCCTCGAGTGCTTCTACTGTGTCGTGTCGGAGAGTCGAATAACCACAGAGCCTTGTGCGCCTTGGAGTGGAGGAGAGTCGCGTTGCTCCTCGGCCGCGCTGGTAAAGTAAGGCTCGCTCAAACCCGTCTCCACAATCTTTGACGCTGCAAGGAACCAAAAAGAAGTCCTGGCTTGTTTATTACACACAACCATTCGAGCAACCTTTTTCCAGCGAGAAAAAGATAAATGCTAGCTTTTCTGAACTAGAGCGCTTATTTGGTCCTGTTTGTACATGTCCACTCATAAAGAGAAACGGTGCGAGCCACAGGACAACAGAACAGTGCTTAGTACGTCCATGTCGTGTTGTTCTGCGGTTCGCAGTGTTTATAGTTTCCTTTGCTGACTTCTCTAGTAACTAATAGTTAATTCGAATGATAACCCGACGACATTATCATACTTGTTTCTTTCTCACGGTGCGAACGCGTGTCGTGCAGGACTAGAGTGGAACCACACTGACCTGACGCAGAACTACGTGAGTTACAGTTACTGTTTTGGAGCCATCGGGGTCTGGAAAATGCGGTGGTTGTGACGCAGGCACCCGAGGCGAGCTACGACTTCAATGACGACGACCGCGATCCCTTCCCACGGTACGACCCTCAGGACCTCAACAAGTAAGCGGGCGCTCACTCAGATAACGTTTAGATTCGCGCTCATCGAAAACGTTAAGGCGGCTTCGCAGGAGTGCCAAACCTGAAGGATCGTTTCTCCTTGGTTTTCTATTTCTTTATTCTGTCTATATATATATATATATATATATATATATATATATATATATATATATATATATATATATATATATATATATATATATATATACGTGGCTTTGCGTTGTGCTTTTACCCATAATGGAGCGTTACACCAAGCGAAGACGACAACACACGACAGCACGACAGCCTGGTACAAACACGAGCGTTTCAGATGCTGTCTTATAGAAAACATTATGACGTAATCGAACAAGTGCAGCATAAAAAGTTTCATGAATATTATGGTTACTCTGTTAACAGCTCAACATTGACGTTTTTTCTTTCTATGCCTGCATGAACCGCCGCGATGATGATGGTGTCATTATCCATAACGACATGTGATTTCTTCGCAGCCACGGAACGCGCTGTGCCGGAGAGATCGCCATGACTGCCAACAACCGAAACTGCGGAGTTGGCGTGGCGTACGAAGCACGCATCGGAGGTGCGCATATTGGTATTACGCGTGTGACGTCGTACGTTGCTTCGAGTTTAGCAAACGTAACCGGTACGAATTAGATTGATTGATTGATTGATTGATTGATTGATTGATTGATTGATTGATTGATTGATTGATTGATTGATTGATTGATTGATTGATTGATTGATTGATATGTGGGGTTTAACGTCCCAAAACCACCATATGATTATGAGAGACGCCGTAGTGGAGGGCTCCGGAAATTTTGACCACCTGGGGTTCTTTAACGTGCACCCAAATCTGAGCACACGGGCCTACAGCATCTCCGTCTCCATCGGAAATGCAGCCGCCGCAGCCGGGATTCGATCCCGCGACCTGCGGGTCAGCGGTACGAATTAGACATCTCGTATTAAGACTTGTGACCACAGAAACAAATTAATCATATTCTAAGAAAGCGATGCACGACCGGTTATCAAAAAGAATGTCATCAATCGGATTATTTAAAAAAGGATCGATCAACCGTGCAAGAAATGTGAACGCACGCCGAGAAGGCAAAAATTAAAAAGAAAACAAATAATTAGATTATATTAGCAGCTATAGACCTTGCCTGTTTCTGAAATGATATTAAACACCAGGCAGTGCAGAATATCAAAAAGACATCCTGCGAAGAAGATTGCGAAAAATATCACTTAAGCTACGACTGAATTGATTATTCGGTGTCTCAGAGCCAATTCATAGTTCCTGGTTTAGAAACGGTTCTTCCACTTGGCTCCTCGCACTGAATTCTGCTACTCGTTTGTTTTGGAGCCAACTTCTTGTAAACCTGTCGAAAAGGTAGAAGTCGATGTCTGAAAGCCACCACTGCTTCTTCGGAGGTGTGAGGCTATGTAGGTCATTTTGTTTTCTATTGCGCGCTAAGCAGATAGCGCTAAAGTGGTAATGCCAGGATATACGCGATATACAGGAAGCGAGCATGAACACTCTCTCTTATTCACTACGCTTCATTTTGATCTGTCCAATACGCTATTGCATTTCTTTTACATGTTTTAAACTTACCTATCCATGTGGAATACATACGACTACTTCTCTACTTGGACATATTTTTGCTGTTGTTGACGTACTACACATTGTTCTTACTGACTTGTTAACCCAATTTGTTATTACTTTGTATCGACCCCCCTTACACAATGCCTCTGCGAGGCCTGTAAGGTACTTGTCAATAAATAAATAAATAAATAAATAAATAAATAAATAAATAAATAAATAAATAAATTACTTGGTTGGCGCAAGTGTGAATCGGGAAACGACGGATCTCGCAGGTATCCGCATGCTGGATGGGGACGTAGTGGACGCCGTCGAGTCCACATCGCTAGCGTTCAACGTCGAAGGTAAGCGGCCCTTTCTAATTAACTGTAGACACTGACATTTTGTCTGGCTTTTATGAATACTATCTGGTGACTGTTCTGGAAGCGATTGAGAAATGTGGCGACCCCGACCCTATCCATCGAAAACGCAACAAATACTTCATGACGTCACTCTTTAGTACGACTGGTGAAAAGCGTATACTTCGTGCATACAACGCTGCTTATAACGGGAAAAAAAGAGATCGGGAACATCTCCGAAAGTTATTGCGACGGCTTCGCGGCACCAGGCAGCACTTACACGTGCACGTATAGTGTGACCATGGTGCAGACAGCTGAGTCTACCAGAATGTATAAGAGCGTCACGTTGCGACACGTGTTACGTGCACCATGACGACGAAACAGATGTTGGCAACGTGTGACGTCATTATGACGTCACCTCGTGATGATACCTTTTGCATGACTCGCGTTGACACCTGTGGAGCGGGACGCCGATGGTAAATTTTCAGGTTTTATGAGGCATCTAAGGCATTTTTCTTATTACTAATAATCAAGGGCAAGCACAGATTACGCGATTGGTTGGGGCACCACGCAGCGATCGACGTGTTCAGCGCATCGTGGGGCCCTTCGGACGACGGGCGCACAGTGGACGGCCCCAAGCGGCTGGCCAGCGAGGCCCTCGAGCGGGGCGTGACCCGTGGCCGCGGGGGCCGCGGCTCCGTCTACGTGTGGGCCTCGGGCAACGGCGGCGCCAAGGGGGACAACTGCAACTGCGACGGCTACGCGGGTTCCCCGTACACCCTGTCCGTGTCCGGCGCCAGCCAGCGCGGCCGGTTCCCTTACTACGGCGAGAAGTGCGCCTCGACCATGGCGGCCGCCTACTCGTCGGGCGCCTACACCGACCAGAAGGTGTCCACCTCCGACCTGCACGACAGCTGCACCACGCAGCACACGGGCACCTCGGCGTCAGCGCCGCTGGCAGCGGGAATCGTGGCACTCGTTCTCCAGGCAAAGTACGAGACGTGGAATCAGGGATAATGTGGCTCGGTTGTAGGAAAGGTTATGGCGTAACTTTTCTGAGTGAAAGTATTCCTATGGCAAGCAATTCAAGGCATTCAGAATGGAAGACTTGGAGTGAGCTGAAAAGGGCAATCAGAATGTCGAGAAGCAGGAGTGGATAGACATGTGCGCGCTCTAAAGACATGTGCGTGTTCATTGCGTGTGCTTACACACACGCAACGAGATTCAAGTAAGCCACAGGTGCTGGTCAAGTTCCGTGTCTCGTAAGAAAGTCGAAAGCCTCGGCAGCGCATGCACGCCAATCGACTCCTGTAGCAAATGGTAGGACAATGGTGAATCGGTCGACTATCAAAAGCTGGAGCACCAATTACGATTAAGATATATAGATAGATAGATAGATAAATTAGATAGATAGATAGATATATAGATAGATAGATAGATAGATAGATAGATAGATAGATAGATAGATAGATAGATAGATAGATAGATAGATAGATAGATAGATAGATAGATAGATAGATAGATAGATAGATAGATAGATAGATAGATAGATAGTGGTTATTTTAGCCACATGGAGTTTCTACGTACATTATAACATAGGAGCACAAACGATCGCAGCCCGGACCTTGGCTGGCGTGACGTGCAGCATCTGGTAGCCTGGACGTCGGACTTCGCACCACTCAGCTCTAACCGCGGCTGGAAACGAAATGCTGCCGGCCTGCTCTACAACAGCCGCTTCGGGTTCGGACTCATGGACGCGCATGCCATGGTACAGGTGAGCACTAGGTCACGCACTGCGCAACCTCATCGCGGCCCAACTTGTCGCTCCTTCTTCGGTGTGTGTGGATGTATATGCGAGTCGAGAGACGGCGTACAGTGTGGGCCATTCGGGAATGTTCGCCAGCGAAAATTCGAGATAACTGCGAACAAATAGATAATAATAAATCTTCAGTTTAAGTTAGAATCGAACCAGGGCCGTCTGCGTGGCAAGCAGGTGCACTACCACGGAGCCATGCCAGTTACTGAAAATTCCTTGTAAAAAAAAAAGCGGTAAGGTTGTCATGTAGTGAAATGAATCTCCTTAATGCATGTAATCCTGTACGGCAGAATCACACCAGGTGTCTAAACATGTGAATTGCCTACACAAAGTGCTCAGGTAAGCAAAAGCACATGGACACGTAGTAGGTGATTCGCCAGTTTGCAAAAGAAAGCTTTAAGGAGAAGTGCGCGCTTCGCGATTGCACTTCCTGTATTTAGTTTTCTAGGACAGCGCGAAACGACCAACGTCACTCGCACAAATCGTTCTTTTCTTAGAGTATCGATCGATTGATTGATTGATTGATTGATTGATTGATTGATTGATTGATTGATTGATTGATTGATTGATATGTGGGGTTTAACGTCCCAAAACCACCATATGATTAAGAGAGACGTCGTAGTGGAGGGCTCCAGAAATTTCGACCACCTGGGGTTCTTTATCATGCACCCATATCTGAGCACACGCACCTACAACATTTCCGCCTCCGTCGGAAATGCAGCCTTGAGGGTCGGTTGAAGGCGATGAACACGGGGTCCGATCAAGCAGCCGCATTCCACTCTTGATGGAAAAGCGCGAGTCATTCGAGTTCTTATAATGCTGTGCCCACGGTTCGCTGCCATGGCGTATGTGCACTAGCGTTCTTTTCTCACTGCTTCTCTCGTCCATGCTGCGCTGCGCTGCTACTGATAACGACTATAACAAACCGAATTTTCACTCGTGGGTGGTTGACGCGCTTTTTATCTGCTTTTAAAGACGATAGTCTTTCTTGGGAGCCTTGGGGACCTTCCACAAAAAAAATTTGGTCTGTCTGTCTCTCGGTACATTTGTCTGTTTGTCTACTCTCACGATACCTCAAACGGCAGTAAACGACCAACCACATCAGCAGAGCCCACCAATATTGCTCAAGGTTTAGCGTTCATAGTTGTGCGATTGTCAATTAAAAAGCAATTATTGCACATATCTGAGGCACCATAATAACACGTCGATGTTTTGTATGTCTGTCTTTATACTAGAAGAGGCACACAAAAGTAAGCCTAAGGACTGTTGTGTTTATCGCGCTGCGCTGACAGCGCAACACGATGCTCAAAAAGGTGTTTCAAACATTTTGCTAAGACAGGTGGTGTCACCTGCCCGTCGCTTTGCGTTCTACACCTTATTACCTCCGAGACTGGCGCGCATCTTTCCCCGCGGGTAAGCACGCCTTCGTTTTCGGAGATAACTGCGCGATGGCGCTCGTGTCTAACGTGCCTCGATGCGCTCGTTCGTCTCTGCTACACGCTCAAGGCGCTCTAACGCAGCGCGAATACCATTCACCGATTTTCTTGCGCAGAACATCAAATAAACGTCTTGTTCACTCTCCAGACGCAATACTATCGTCTTTCGACGACATTTGCAGTGTGACATGCAGATTCGGGCCAATTTTTTTTTCTCTAGCTCTCTTTCTTTCACTTGCTCGCTCGCTCTCATTTCGACTTTCTTTGGTCAGTGTACACCTTGTAAAAGAGCACACACACACACACGTACTGTGACCGCCCTCTAAAGCATCAATGCGGCCATTTGAACACGAAATCGGACAATACATTATTGTCACTTATTTATTTATTTTTCTCGCTGCGAGCCAACCTCTCAGACTCTCAGAGTAAGCGTCTCTGTTAAACACAATGTGAACAAGTGGAAGAAAAGATGACTTGCCGCTGGCAGACCTGACCTTCAAATAACGCGCCCTATCACAAAAAATATTCCCCCTCTACACTTCATTAATAGCTAGGCTTTCCTTGTGGCAGACTTTGGTATGCGAGATATCATTGCTCAGCTACAACCTCGTAATAAATACCACGCGTGCTTCGCGACGCCAGCAGACTAGAAAATAAGAAGTGCTCGACACTCGCCGTCATGGCTACTAGCGGCGCTGTCTAACACCCCCACGGTCAAGTGCACGTATATATACTGCAGCTGAGCTTGTATATAGCATCGAACGCATTATTTGAAGGTCGCGGGTTCGGTCCCTGGCAGCGGCAAGTTATTTTTTCATCCACTTTACGTTCTTCACAGTTACATCATAATCACTAGAATTACTTTTTTTGGCTTTTTTGTCTGTAAGCTCTCAATAATATTGTGCTTAACAAAGAAAAACGAGCCCTTAATGTTGCCCTACTTTCGTTTGTTAATAGAGTCTCGAAACAAACCCAGCAGGAGTTCATACACAACCAAATAGTTCCAACAGCTAATTAGGCCGAGGAAAGCACAAGGGAGATCAATTGTTGTCTTTTATTGCGATAGCAGTCGTATGAACAGTTCTGACTGGTTTTCGCCGTCACCGTCATGTCACGTGTAAAGTCCCTCGATTTCCAACTGTGACCTTTGATTTTATTAGTGCGGTCATCGCTGGCGCGCGCTGTCTGGCTGTATATCAGCCGTCAGGATGCGTCTCGCGTACCCATCTACGTGCTGCGTTTTCAACGCCAAGAGACGGTGCGAAAAGTGAGCCTGGAGCGGCCGCATTCTCTTACAGCAGCGTTTTGTAGAGTTGCGTACGATGATATCCAAAGTGTCAGCTGCCAGCCTCTCACATCGTGTGACATTACTATTAGTTGCTATCGCATTCATTGCTTTACCCTTGCGGTGATACTATGATATTTAATTGTAGTGTAGTAATTATTGCGCGAATTGACATGATTTAAAGTGGACCAAAAATCACCCTTTGATTCTGCGGGATACGAACCCATAACTTTCGAATTAAACACCCGATGCTAACAGTGGATGGGGAAGCGTCTATCGTCAGCACATCTCCAAACACTTGTGCTTACAGATACCTTATTAGTACAAGTGCGTGGAGTTGTGCCGTATATTATAAACAGACGAACGACGCAGGCCGCCCTGAACTGGACCAACGTGGGGCGTCGCGAACAGTGCCGACTCGAGCCGTCGGCACTGCTGCCGCGCCGGCTGGCCTCTCACCAGCAACTGCAGCTGGCCTTCGACGCCAGCCTGTGCCCACTGGCGGCGCTCGAACACGTCCAAGTGCACCTGGACCTGCAGTACTCGCAGAGGGGAGCCCTGGACGCCTACCTGCGGTCACCGGCCGGTTCGCTCGTTTCCCATCAGAAATTATTCACTCGCGGGGCACCTTCAGTTTAGTCGGCTACAATATCTTCATTTCTTTCCTTCTTCCTTTATTTATTTATTTTGTCCGCCATGTTGATGTAGCGGTCGCGGTGCTCAGCTGCTAACCTGGCCGAAGGTCGCGGGCGGGACCTTCGGTTGCGGCAGTCGCACTTGTTTACCTCACCTGTAATAACTCCCACGGAGGGTTGATAGTATTCCGTAAACAAATTTCGCTGTAGGCGAAATGGTGGAGGTTCGTGTACTGAGCGATGCCGGATGGTCGCAGCTCTACGCTACGCCATCTCTCATAATAGCACCTTGTTCTGGGACATAAAGTCCCGGTTATTATTATTATTATTATTATTATTATTATTATTATTATTATTATTATTATTATTATTATTATTTCCTTCTTTGTTTGTTCGTTGGTTTTACCGCACGTGTATACAGCAAACTCATCAACGTGCTATCCTATGACCTGTATACATCTGAAAATATTTCACGACTATTTTTGGAGTATAGAACACAACAGCGATACCAGATAAGCAGCGGGTAATATTGTTCGTTTCGGGCCTGTCGTTCAAACTGTGACGCGAAAGGAAGCTAACAGAGTCGAATGCAATCTAACGTGGGAATCGGCACAGTGGGTTGTGGAGGATGCCTTGCTATAGGGGGTTCTGGGCTAACCTTGTTAACATGCACCTAATTTTTGAGCACACAAGCCAAGAGTTCCTCCCTTTTGCTTCTCGGAACTGGACTTGGGAAGCCAATTGGCAACACGTGACCAGGTTCGGCGAGCCTTGTAGTGGAGCCCTTCCCCCGATGGGTTCTTCCTGCAGTAACCAGGGAGCCTCATTTTTATAAAAGCTGTTTTTCACTCTCTCCGTCGAAAAACAGCTGCTGCTACAGCTAGCAATAGAACCCGGAACCCGTCGTACAGGAATAAAATTTAGCCACATGACCTGCCATATCATAGGTGATGCTGTAATACAAGTACAGCCATACATACAAGGAGGTCCACTCGTACGGCGTCGTCTACCCTGCGTTCAAGCGCAACCGCTCACGCGTTGCAGGCACCGAAAGCGTGCTTCTCTACCGCCGAGCCAAGGACACCACGGGCCAAGGATTCCGCAACTGGACCTTCCTCACGGTCCACCTGTGGGGCGAAGACCCGCGCGGCCTCTGGGTCCTCGTCATTAGGGACAAGGTGAGCTCGCACCTGGGCAGGACAACGGGCGTGTCTCTCTAACTGGGATCACTGCAGTACGGTCAGGACAACGTCGGACGACTGAACGCGGTCTCAATGACGCTCAGTGGCACACGTGAGCAGCCCGCCTACCAGGTGATGAACGACGGACGTCGTCGATACGACGACGAACAACTGGCACATGACGTCATCGACACAGTCCCGGTGAGTAATAATAAACATAGGCTGCACACTGTACGTGCTGTGCAGAGGAGCCGTTCTAATAGTGATGGATAGATGAAAAGCACTTTTATTGTGAAATGGGGAGGCGCATCTAAATCCTCGGTATAGACGGGACATTGCCAGACTATTGAAATCATTCACAGTGTCTTATAGGACTTCGAAGTAAGTCAAGACTTTTCAGTAATTTAAGAAGTAGTCACTTAATGTGGGCGAAGTACGGATACATTGATCAGGCCGCGCTGACTTCGATAGTCCTCATATAATAGCTGCGTGTTCGGATTCACGAGCAGTGCCTCATGATAACTCGCGCATTGTACCGGGAGCTGTTCCTTATAAATAAAGATAATTCATAACCTCCACCTTGACTTCCACGCCCTAAATGTTCCACGCCCTAAATGATCTCCACGCCCTAAATGTGAGCTGTCTTGCAGTTATTTCAGAGAAACGTGCATACGTACTCTTTACAAATTGTCAACAAACATTACATTGCGAGATATATTCGGTAACAGTAGGACCACGTGGCTGCCACCTTTTATGGAAGAAGGGGATTCCCGGCGCGGTCTCAGACCGCACTCTGTATCGGAACAACTGCATGCACTGCCACGAAGGGTATAGCGCTAATATTTGCGTATGTGGACGGCTTACCCATTGTTCCCAGTTAAACCTTCCGTAAGATTTACGTTCAGTTAGGCATCGGGCAGAGGGCAAAAGGGGAGGACTACACATACAGGAGTTAAACCATCTGCTAGATCTCCTGAATGACTGGTTGTCACAACCCCGATATCTCTTACAGCTGTATGATAAAAGTGGGCATTTCAGATAAGTTGAACCTCGCTATAGCGAGCACTGAAACTGCGAAATGTTGGTTATAGCGAACTAAATATGAACTCTGTTTGGTCACGCTTATTTTCAACTGCATTGGTAATCTGTATGACAAAATCGAAACGCGAGCGCCGCTGCGATGTCAGCCACAACGAAGAAATATTTGGTTTGCGCGAAATCCAAAGCTGTGAAGGTTGCGTAAAAAAAAACAAAAAATAATTATTCGAAAACAATTCCCAACAACAGTATTTCTTTTTTATGTAAGTGTCGTGACACCGAAAATTTACTTTAGGATATGGTCTCTACTTTCCTCAATTAAATCTCAAATAAATGTAAACTCAGACCTGTTTTGTCCAACGAACTTTGTGATTTCACCTTTTTATGCTGCAGGCTGTAGTATAAAACAGCAGAGAGAGGCAAGTAAGAATCACCTCGTTTATAGTGGGCTATGAGGCTAAAATAATTCGTTTTTGTATCTAGGAGTGTTGCACTAGCCAGATTGCCACTTTGCGACGATTTTGATATTTACAGTTACAATAGACATCGGATATAGAGAACTAATTTATGATCCCCGTGCTGCTTTGTTATTCAATTTGCGGTATTCGTGCTTGACGCAGGAGTACGAAGAGGAAGAGGAGGCACATCGCGCAGCGGTCATCCAGCGAAGTCGCCTGCAGCAGGTGCTGCTCGGAGAGAACCTCATCGCCCCGAACTGAACAGCCTGTGGGTGTGTGACCTTCGCACAGTGTCTGTCTGAAGTTTAGAGTTTGCCGCTTGATTGATCGACCTTCCGCAGCTTCCGACATCCCTTGTCATGCGCAGAAGAAAATGGATGTCACTAGAGCCAGCGTATCATAATCAGATGGCAATGTGGTATAACCCATGTGGTATTACACGGAGAGAACTGAACATGCTCTAAAGAACGAAGGAAGCGTGTGGGGTCTCGGCGAGGCGAACGCGCGCATCGCCACGCCACGCTCTTGGAGTGAACGGACACAGTTGACGCGGTCGGTACAACGTACACAACATACAAACATTTATTAACTAATTTAGACGACGATATCGTCCGCCGAATGATACACCAATTTCAATTAACACGTTACCAGACAAACACCATAACGCAATGACACACTAAACACACAATAACATGATAAACATACACTAACACATACCCCAGGCGGCGTCGCCAACGCCTGACTTTCCACGTGGGACCCCGGCGCGAAGCCCGCGGTGCGGAGCACCGGGACCCCACTCTACAGACAACCGTTCGCGGCAGCCGCCACGCGCAGATTTGAGGGCAGGGAAGCTATTCATCATTTGAGGGCAGGGAAGCTAGCAGCAAGATAAAATTTGAGAAGCGATTGAGAGAAATGGGGGAAGAGCGTTGGGCTAGGAAGGTTTTCAGCTACTTGTACATGAAGAATGTCGATACAAAATGGAGGAAGCGAACCAGGAAGTTGACTGGTAAATACTTAGAAAACAGCAGGTGGCCAAACCAAAAAGAACTATCGGTTAAGAAGAAAGTGAAGGAAACGGAGACTGACATGTGGAGAATGGGCATGATTAAGACGTCCGCACTAGAGATCTATCGAACTTTTAAGCAGGAAATTGCCAAGGAAAGGATGTATGATAATACTCGGGGTAGTTCTCTACTGTTTGAGGCCAGGACGGGAGTACTGCGAACCAAGACATATCGGGCCAAATACGAAGGGGTAGACACAGTATGCAGTGCGTGTGGAGAGGAACAAGAAACGGCCGAACACTTGATAATGTTCTGTAAAGGGCTTCACCCTATAGCTCAGGATGATGGCGCAGAGTTTTTTAAAGCACTGGGGTTTAGGGACCGGGAAGGCAAAATAAACTTTAAGCGGGTAGACTTAACTAGAAGGAGGTTATCTGATTGGTGGCTAAAGTCAAGGCACGAGTGAAAATTAAACTCTTCACTGCAAAGTACGAATCCTCAAACTCCCTTTTTAAGGGAAAAAAATATAGTTTTTGGTTCATTAGGTATTACGGCTTGGTGGCGCTAGCCACCGCCCGATCTAAAGGGTACAGCCATATCCATCCATCCATCCATCCATCCAGAGGCTCGCTCAACCCTCGCCCACCACCAAGGCCTACCTTCCACCAGGGGCCACCGCCGGCGCTACCACTCTACCAACAGTGGTACTCAAAATGAACACAACGCCATCTATCGCCCGGCGGTGGTCACCACCGAAACAAAGCCTTGGAGCGAGACACGTGCGCCACGCGGCGCACACAACTTTACAGGGGGGGGGGGGGGGGGGGGGTGTCAGCACCCCCACAAGCGGAGAATAGTTAAAGTAGCGGAGGCGTTTTACAGAGATTTGTACAGTAGCCGGGACAACCGCAACCATAATGTAAGAACTAGCAGTAACCTAGATGACATCCCACCAGTAATGACAGAATGGAAGCTTCGGAAGGAATGTAAAGAGGCAAATCTGCCATTGAGTATCAGGTCACATCATATCTGAAAGACGGAGTACAGATTGCGTTTCAAAAACTATCCGCCCTGTTTACAAAGAGTCTTCTGACAGGGAGGGTACCAGAATCATGGAAGAATGCTAACATCATCTTAATCCATAAGAAAGGGGATGACAAGGACATGAAGAATTACAGGCCGATCAGCTTGCTCCCCATTGTATACAAGCTATTTTAAAAGGTAATTGCTAACAGAATCAAGACAACATTGGAATTCAATCAACCAAACGATCAAGCTGGTTTAGAACAGGCTACTCAACAATCGACCACTGTCATACTATCAATTAGGTTATAAAGAAATGCTCAGAATACACCAAACCACTATATATAGCCTTCATAGATTACGAGAAGGCATTTGATTCCGTAGGAATATCAGCAGTCATGCAGACACTGCGGAATCAGGGCCTCAACGAAGCATATATAAACATCCCGGAAAAAATCTGCTGAAGATCAACTCCCACCATAGTGCTCCTTAAGGAAAGCGACAGAATACCAATAAAGAAGGGTGCAAGACACGGGTATACGATCTCCCTAATGCTATTTACCGCGTGCTCACAGGAGGTTTTCAGACGCCTAGAATGGCAAGAGTTAGGGATAAGAGTTAGTGGAGAGGACCTTAGTAACCTGCGCTTCGCCGATGACATGCATTGCTGAGTAACTCGGGGAACGAATCACAATTCATTATTACTTAATCAGACAAGGAGAGCCTAAAGGTAGGACTTAATATTATTCTGCAGAAAACGAAAGTAATTTACAACATCCTCGGAAGAGAACAGCGCTTCGAGATAGGTAGCAGTGCACTTGAAGTTGTAAAAGAGAGCGTCTATATGGCAGGTAGTAATTTCAGAGCCTAACCACGAGATTGAAGTAACTAGGATAATAATAATGGGGTGGAGAACAATCGGCAGGCATTCTGAATTCACGACTAACAGATTACTCCCATTCCTCAAAAGAAAATGTCTATAACATCTGCATTTTACTGGTACTTACCTACGGAGCAGGAACCTGGAGTCTTACAAAGGGACTTCAGCTTAAATTGAGGACGACGCAGCGCGCGATGAAAAGGAAAATGATAGGTGTAACCTTAAAGACAAGAAGAGAGAAGAGTGGGTCAGGGAACAAACCGTGGTTAGATTACAGAGTTGAAACGAAGAAGAAATGGACATGGGCCGGGCACTTAGCGCGTAGGCAGAATAACCGCCGGTCATTAAGGGTAACTAACTGGATTTCTAGAGAAGGCAAACGCACGAAGGTGAAACAGAAAGTTGGATGGGCCGATGAGATTAAAACGTTCGCAGGTATAACGGGGCAACAGAAAGCACAAGACCGGGTCGATTGGCGGATCATGGGAGAGGTTTTTGTCTTGCAGTGAACGTAGCCAGCGTGATGAAGTTTGATTGATATGTGGGGTTTGACGTCCAAAAACCACCATTTGATTATGAGAGACGCCGTAGTGGAGGGCTCCCGGAGATTTCGACCACCTGGGGTTCTTTAACGTGCGCCCAAATCTGAGCACACGGGTCTACAACATTTCCGCCTCCATCGGAAATGCAGCCGCCGCAGCCGTGATTCGATCCCGTGACCTGCGTGTCAGCAGCCAAGTACCTTAGCCACTAGAACACCACGGCGGGGCGATGATGAAGTTTGGGGATGTTGCCATTACATTTCAGCATCTAGCGCACAACACAAGACTAGTCGATAGTTATAGCGCGAGAACAAAACGACGACATAGAGACAAGAAGTTTTGTTCTCGCGCTATAACTATCGTCATGCCATACCAACTAGCCCAAGCTTCCACACTTCTAAGTTACAAGACTAGTATCGAGCGACAACCGGCGAAGACACGAGTCCGAGCCCGGTCTCTGCGATGTCATTTCAGTGGAAGCGAAACGCTAGAGGCTCGTGTGCTTACATGCAGGAGCTAGTAAGAGAACCCCAGGTGGTCTAATTTCTCGGAGCCCATATCGCCCCTTATTATCGCTCAGTGCACGATATGATATGATATCGCTCCTGTCTTCGTCAATTGTCAGTAAGTCCTTTCCATGTGATGTGTGCTAAATGCTGAAAAGGCCTTATCTCGGTCACGGCAACAACATGCCTCCTTTTAACGTTTGCAAGGAATGGAAGCAGCGTTTTCACGTGCACGTTGTGTTTCTCCAACCTCAATGCAACAGGAGGAGGAGCTGGGGGGTAAGCAAATATTGGCGCTATTGAAGGTTTGGTGCCTGTATGCGGGGAACGGGGGGAGATGGACTTGGGTGCCTCGGTAAATGTGCCGTGTGTTTGCACCACTTCAATTATTTTTCAAATAATCTACCAACTAGCCAAACAACAAGTTATTTCATAATAGTCAAACTAAAGTGCCTCGACAGTTCGATCTCAACAGCTTGTCAATAAGTTGTGCGGTCGGCAGCCCCATTCAACTTTTTTTCTAGTTGTGTTTGCCCTTCAAATACACAGGCTTTAAAAAAGAGTATGCTGGCAAAACGGCAAGAAACACTTTACAATTATCTCATAGAGAAGGGAAAACACTATTCAACTCCACCGCAATGCCGCAATGTTATGCGCTGAAGCATATAAAAAAATCAGAAAGGGTGTTATTAAGGGAGCCCCTGAAAAGCGCGTTTTTTTTTTTTTTTCGTTTTCTTTTTTAGACGATGAGCCTAAAATTACCTTCGTGGAACGTCGGCCCGCGTCGGTGGCTTTCGTCAGTAATAACCACTACGAGTAATGCAAACACATCATCTCTTGATGACACCATCATATGACGCCATGATTATGTCACAGATCCCCAGAAGTTTTGACGTCACCTGATATGACATCACACAGTGACGTGATCACGTGGCACCTTTGATTGGTCGAAGGTGCGACGATCACGGAGGCAATGTAAAAGCAGCCGAGGTGTCTGCGATCGTGGGGGCAGTTCAAAACCACATCAGGTGCAGAAAGTATGGCTGGGCCAGATCAACACATCGACTTAAAAAAAAAAAAAGATGGCCCTCGCCTTTGAGTCGTTTTGGATGTATGCATGAATAATGTTTTTTGTTTGTCTGCTCATTTGTTTTTCCTGGTCGCACAAGTAGACGGCCAACACTGTTTTTCCACATTTTTAAGTCGCGCACTATACAGTACTCGATAAGAAAAAAGGGGTCATTTGACTTTTTTTGTTTGTTTGTTTGAGACCTGACTTACTAAGTATGACTCTCTTTCTATGAGCTCTGTTTGGGGATTGTTATAATGCCCTGTTCTGATAGTCACGACACCCTAGAAAGAACTGACGTGTGTATTTAAAGAGAGTCAAATACGTGGCGAATCAGCCAGGGCTCACAGAAAAGAGTAGCACATACTCTTTGTTTCCTCAATATGTACCAGGTGTACACAAGAGTTCGCAAAACGTGGAGGGAGTGGGGATCGCGGTTCAATCAGTGTGAATGTTCGTGTGTGCGTTTGTAAGCCTGGGTGCACGCATAAGCTTACACATGCAAAACTGAAGTTATTACGCATGTGTGGAGGGTTTGAGCCTCTAGTCCCAAGAAATCCCCGCACCCGTAGAGCGCACCAAATTGACTGTTGACTTCTTCGTCACTGTCTGACTTTGCAGGGCCGTCTCGTCGCAGAAGACTCTCCTCCCGGTTCTTCGATTGTGCAACACAATCTCAGCCGCAGCGGTGGCTGTTGCAGACGTGTCTCGATCCTTCTGCGCCCCGAAATGTCACCGACAGAACTCACGGTGAATGCCGGCATTAGCCTTGTCGGTCCTTGCCTACGAGCCCCAGTGCGTGGAACGTTATACCAATAAAAAGACCTGGGAGCCAGAGTTTGTTGAAACGTCTGGCGCCCAGGCACATCCCCGCACCATTGACAAGATATGTGTGACCTATTAAATAACAGGACGAAAGAAGAAAATTCAATGACTTGTTCTTTCTTTCTTGACACATCTATAAAGCGACACTAAAGGTCACTATCAAGCAGACATTGTAGAAACAGCGGTCCAGAAACATCGTAGCTGTTACTTTTGTGCCGAAGAAATGTGTTTTTTTTTTAATAAAATCACGTTTTAGTGATCCGCATCGCGTTAGCGCACTTCAAAGTACCCGCCTCAAAGTGGAAACTTTCCCGTCACTGTTACCATGCGCAACGTTGCCCCGCTTTACTGCGCAACCGCCGACACTAGTAGCAGCAGAGCGAAAGTAGCGGGAGCAACAACGGCCATCGCACAATTTCCTGCCATAGCCTCCGAGATGGCAGGCATGCTTGGTTCGAATGGGCCCCGCTAGACGGCTCGAGTTATGCAATTTAACTAGGGAGCCTACATACGCCGCCCCGCGCCTTCGTCGTCGAAGGCACGGCGTATGTAGGCTCCCTAAATTTAACTAGGGTGTACTAGTTCAACCAGTCTAAAATTGAACTATTGAACCACTCGCGAGTCGTGTCATTCTCTGTTGTAATGTCCTGTGTTTTTTTATGAATCAAACAGAAACAAACAATCAGCATTTTATTACGTCTTTTGATGCACGGACGGTTCTTTATTTAGTGCAGCTAGTTTGATTACTAGTGATTCATTGCAGGCAATAATGCTGGCGTTATTGGGGTCATTTTTCAAATTGCCTAATCACAGCGCATGTGTTTTCATGCATTTACCTTGATTTTTCGGTAAGTAGGGCACTGCCGTTGATAATATTGTCGATGTAGACGTTGTCATACATTGAGCTTTCACTCTGACATAAATTGTTATTTGACTCTAGTGTCTTAAAACAAAATGACAATCAAGAAAAGAAACCATAGGGAGGATATTTGTAGTTTTTAGCTTTGTTGTATAGTAATTAGGATAATTACTACAGTGCTGATAGAATACAACAAGTAAGGTCCCCTATATTTCAATTCCTTGTTTGTTGAAAAAAACAATTTCTGGGGTTTAACCACCTAAAAACACGATACAATTATGATGACCTTGGGGGCTCAGGAAATTTCGTTTGTTTTTTTCATAAGGTACAGCTAAATCTAAGCCAACACGGCCTGTAATCGATCCTGCGATGTTCGCGCCAGTAGACGAGTATCACAACCACTAGGCCACCATGGCGGGTTTTATTGTCTGTTGGTTTTCATTGATTAACAGACAAGTCAAGTTGTTGACCTAATTGGTTAACTATTCATAGCTTCTGTGAAATAACACATATATGTATAAGTTAATTGTAGCATAACATAGCTCTATAGCGAAGTTCAACAGTGATCCAAACTTCGTCATAAAGATTTTTTTTTTTTACTCATGGACATTATTGGACGTCAGCAAAGTGCTGGAGTGCGCTTATAGCATGTACGCCGATGCACTACGACATCCACGCGCGCCCGCCACGGCGACGTCGGATTACAGGCATACGAAAGCATAATGATATAAAATCCCACTGGCGACTTGGCTGCGGCTCGGCTCGCTAAGGCTGACCGCAGTAAGAATGATTCTTGCTATCAACACAAGGTAGCGCTGACAAACATTCTGCTTCACGATTACACTTCTGAGTTAGGTAGTCTGTGTTACCAGGGCGCAAGCTCTATCCCGCTATACTATAACTCACTTTTGGCAACACACGGTACCGGTACGGTAACGTTATTCCCGTAACATCCGCTATCACGGTAACGGTATACTATAACTCTCTATTACCTTTTACGGAACGTCTAGCGACGTACGTTGGACCTATTGCAGGCGCAGCACTCAAGTGGCATGCACTACTCAGTCCTTCCGGCTTGACGATAATAAGCGAAAACAACTTCTTAGTCGCCAAAACCCCCAGGAGGCACACGATAGTGGAGGGCTCCAGAAATTTCTACCATTCTGGCTTCTTTAATTATGACATCCACCTGAATGTGAGCGCACGTTCCTCTAGCATGGCTTCCATCGAGATGACAGCGGCGATCGAGCATGCGTCTTTCGGCTCAGAACCTGGCGACTCAAAGAGGGTGCAGTGCTCAAACGTTGAGTTGGCGCAACGAAGCAACGCGTTCGTGCCTGGCCGTGATAGTGGAACGTATAGCGCCGATTATGCATACCCCCTATTATACTGTGCGTACCCAAATTTGAACAAATCTGGACTGTTTTTTTTTTTTTTTTTTGACATTGTCGCATTTCATATGACTTCGGCGACGGTTGTACTACCCTTAAGCTGTATGCCATCACGGTCCTTCGAGCAAAGCACAGCAGCATGGCACAGGAAAGACCAAGAGCTGAAGGTGCAGGCAGATCGCGCGTGAAACTGTACACCATGGAGAAATGAAATATGGCGCCGAAAAACTGGGACGCCGGGTTTGGCGCCACTGTCGCTTAGTCACACGAACAGCCAGTCAACTTCAGGTTTAAATTTTCAAGCGAAATATCTAAGCGAAGTGCAAGAAGAGTCATGTGTACACAGGTTAAAACGCTCAAAAATGATATCAGTAAAGGTTCATACCTAAAAAGGGAGGTTTGTTCGTCCGCAAGAGAACTGTTTGAACAAGTAGGTTATGGACAAATCTACGTATATGTGCCACGGTGATATGACTAATAGCTCCACGCCAGACAATCTTCAATTTCAGACACTTATTTCTGCATATCCTCGCCGCCTTATATAAAGCTGCGTAGCTCTTTGTCACAAGGGATATCCGACATTCAACACCTGCAGTAAAAATTACATAAAAGCCCTAGGAAACGTAATGAGTGAGACAGGAAGCCGTCATGATAAATTGATCAGTTAAGTACTTTAGTATGGTAGGAGAGATTCAACGGCTGATGCGAAAACAGCTCAATCGAACACGTACAAAGACCACATAAACTGAAACAAGAAAGACTGACAGGGGCCGAACAATCCCCTAATTCTTGCCACCTAGCTAATATTCAGCAGCGGCAGGAGTCGTCGCCTTCCTCTAAATAAATGTATCGTTAATATCATTCATTCAAAGGGCATTCTTGGTTTAAGACAACCTATACTGTTATTCTATACAATGATGTTTGACGATATATACATGTACGGCCGAGGGCAAAACAAAGAAGTATTTTTGATATTCCGGCTTAACGGCCCAAAACTATAATATGATTATAGGAGACGTACGTAGGGCTCCATAAATTTCGATCTTCTGGGGTTCTTCGAGGGGACACTAAAGAGAAACAGTGGCTTAATTTAGATTGACAAATTGCGCTCTGAGAACTCTAATGCCATGTGTTTCACTGTCATATGTCCATTATTAGCGTAGGAAATCAAGGTTGGAGTTTAATTTTTAAACTTCGCGCCGAAATTTCCGCACGTGACCGGAAGCATGTAGTTGATTCGAGAAAGTTACTTTTCGGCGATCTGATGAGAGTGGGAGATCTAAAAAGGGAAGAGCAATAAACACGTGGCGCACTAGACGACGGCCGACGAGGGCCCCGACATATATGAATCCGAAACACATGGCCACCCACGACCACGATAGCGTCATAGAATGCCTTGAAGAGCTACGCTGACGTCGGAGATCGCGAAGGCACAACCGGTCGGCACGGAATCCGGCAAGCGAGTCCGACTCCTACGACAGTGTCCATCTTTCCTATCTTCTCTTTAGATCTGTCGTTCACTGTCCCTGTGCCTCGCTTTCTCCTTCCTATCCCTATATATACCTTTTAATCCTATCATTTTAATCCCTCCTTACCCCTATCCCTTGTAAGCTACTGTTGAGGCGTCGCACTCTGATGCAGACAGTTACGGGCTCACTTTTATTTTCCCTTTGAGAATCTTAAAACAAGAATAATTCTGTGTGTATCCTATACTCTGTAGGCGTACATGGCCAGCTCAAAAACTCAAAGCTGGCAATATTTTTTTTAATCTGGAAAACTGAAAAGTACGCTACAAAACATCACCATTAAAATAGCTTTAAGTTAGCAATCTTAAACTCCGAAAAAATTTAAACAAATGATTTATAAGAAGAAAATGAAGTAAACTTTTACCTTGTTGTCATCTCGGTCTCGATGTTTCTCTCCTCGCGCGAATTTCTCGTCTCTCTTGTACAGATTATTAACAGGAAGTTTACCAGCAAGTGATAACACACTTCAGGAACAGGTGGCCTACCGCAAAGAGAAGTGTTGAAAGAACTGCAAACACGCAGTTAGAACGTGTGTTTATCGTAAACGAAACTACAACTGCAAGAATAAAACCAAGGGCTTTACGACGCTGTTGATCGCACCGCCCCTCGCGTCAGCGCGTGGCGTAATTTTCGCGCGTCTGATCCCGCCAACTAATAAGCGTCTCCGTTTCGTATTCACCCAGCGCCCAATAGGATCCCTCCACGAAACAGGGAATACTCTGGAATCGGCGTGGTCGAGCCGGTTATGAGTGTTTGAGATGCATTTACCTGGGATGAGGTGCCCGCGCGAGCTTCAGGTAAGCTGTACTTGGCGAACACTTTCGCTGGACGCGTTCTACGACTAGGCTGCCGTGTTGGGCCCGCGCCCTCAACAGCCATCGGCGAGCACAGCGTCAATTTACTGCGATTACAGTGCAGCCCATTTTCCGGTGTAATCGATTACTCGTAAGTGGCTGAAATTAACTGATTTAGCGAGCCCGAACGTGAACCTTCGGATATCCTCCGGACTTTTTTTCTCATCATTCATATCTTTGTTGGTTGTGCTTAAAGGTGAATAGCTTGCATGGCTAGGTCCGTTGCAACATCGCCCGGAAAGAAAGTTGGCTTTTTTGAAGTTCTGCTAACCTTTGGGTGTTCCGATTTTACAGGTAATGTATCTAGGCTGCGCATTTTTGGTCATCCTTGCCTTGCCGGGGTCGCTTGGCGTCCCAGAAGAGAAAAAGGTTTGTAATGATTTCTCTTTGTCATTTGTTTGGTTGTTTCTTTTCCTCCCCGCTTATTGCGGAAATTGCCTAATCTCGTTAGCGGTCCGAACAGGAATAAAACTCGCGTTGGGCCAACGTTTTTCCTTTTTCTTTTAGCCGGCGCCGAAAACCGAAACTCCTCAAGCTATCGTTTATAACATTCCAAAACCCGTAGGATTTGCTCACATTGCGGAACATTTCGACGATGTTGAGGCATTCAAAGAACGGTGAGTGAACCGATTTCTTTTTTTTTCCTACTTTCTCACGCAGTACCTCTATTAGATCTATTTAGGCAATAGATGAATGAAAGTGCAACGTTTTTGTACTGTACCGCCATGGAGGAAGGAATGTTTACCGCAGATCACGTCGCGCCCGCATGTTGGCACGTGTGTTTAACCCTCAAGTTGGCGTGGCGAATATGGTACCGTAATATTTAAACCGGACTTGCACCTTAATTTAATAAAAGCCTGTTTTATTAAATTACATCGTCGTGCGTTTTATAATGTGCAACTCACGGTCATGCGTGTTGTGCAGGTCATCGCGTCTCTGCAGAAATGTAGTTGAGGTGTGAAGTAGACACTGCAGCTACATTGGTGTTACGCATGGCAATATATTGTTACGTGCTCACAATCACTGTGCGATAACAGGATTCGTGCATACATTTTGCACCACCTGTGTCCACTGTGTTATGCTTTTAATATAACATATTCATGCCAGTCTGTTTTGTTCTTTGAACCTGTATCCCAGGTGGGTGCTGTCTGAAGCGAAAAAGGATGGAGCAGAAGAAAGTCTAGCAAAATATGATGGTGCGTTGAAAGCTTGTTTGTTGAATGAGGTTCTTAAAAGCAAGAAAATTGTTTTTGTGGCAGCGTTTCGTGACTTACATCATTCTAGCTGATTTGCCCGACATTGATGCTTTGGTTGCTGCGCGCATACAACGTTAGTGCATCAAAAAGCAAAGCATCACTTCAAGTAATTGCTCAAAACAGTCAGCATCTCATTGCACCTGTGTTAAAAACCTGTATAAGCTGTGCAAGTAATCTATGCAAGTTTTCTCAAAGTATCTATAATTACTCTGAAGGCCCCTATAGAAAGAAAACATTGTGCTTTTTTACAGCGAAAGCTGTTATGAGATCACAACTGGGGTTACGCGCAGTTGTCCGTAGCCACATAGCACGTTAGCAAAAAAAAACCTAGCGCTAAAATCACAGTAGGGCTCCAAACCTGTGCCTGCTGGGTGCCAGCCCAGTATTCTACTATTAAGCTATGCCGGTGCTTGTGATTCGTTGGCAAACCTAGCACCGAAGACACAGTGAGCTTCATCGATTTACCAAGTCCAGGATCACTCGCGGATGGCCCGCGAACGCCTTGGCTCACAGGCGGCTACGGCACATGCACGTGATCTAAACGTCCCGAGCCAGCCCGAGCGGCCTCGGGCCATCTGCGCGCTTAATGCTGACTGCATCCGCTATCGCGTCTGCTATGCCAGGCTATGCCGTCCGCTCCCTCCGTAGCTGTGACACACGCCACAACGCTGACCCAATTCCAACCTAAACAGCAGTTAGGTAGTGAATTATACTTATTTTTGTTGTGATGCAACTTACTGTAAGTGAACTACTCGAGCGCGTGCGCATCGTAGACCGGCGCAGTCATTCTACCGCTGTTTCTCCTAGCGAGTATAACGCGTGTTTGCCTGACCTTCGGAAATACGCACATGCTCGACGTGGCTCAGAACATTGATGACAAGAACTGGGTGCACAAACAATGCGAAATCCAGAAACATGCGAGAAGTGGACAGAAAAGCAAAGAGAGAGCAAGAGCGCATCGAAAATTTCCCGTGTCTAACTTAAAGATGGCCGCACAGCATGCGCACCGCGCTGTTGTCTGCCAGCTGCCCGAAAGAAATTGTACAGGCGGTCCCGGGCCGCCCGCAGGCCGCCAGGCACACGAACAATGAACATGCGTCCGAGCGATCCCAGACCTGCGGGTGGAGCTTCCAGTTGGACCCCGAGAAAAACGAATGCGGCGCCGGTGTCCGAAGCCGTCCAAGACATGTAAATCGATGAAGCTCAGTGGGGCTCGAACCTGGGTCCGTTGGGTGCCAGCCCAGTATTCTACCACTGAGCTACGCTGGTGCTTGTGGCTTGTTGGCAAACTTGCCTTAGGCAGGCTTGATGTCGCTAAATCAATCGCGTTGAACAACTTATTAAGCGCTTTAAAACAGCAGAAGAATAATCAGTCGTTACACAGTGCGAATAACGTAACGAGTGGGCCGTCCAATGCTCCAACCAATTACAAAAAACTTGTAAGCGTGTTCTTGTTCCCCTATTAACTGTGGCGCATATTCACTTCAGAGTCTCGCTTCAGAACAGGTACTCGGCTCTTCGTGAGGAGACCAACCTTAGCGTAGATACAATGAATGATAATCTGACGAGTATCATTACGGAGTGTGCAGTGGAAGTTGGAGGCAAGGTTGCTAGACAGGACACTGGCAAGCTTTCCCAGAAAACGAAGAATCTCATTAAGAAGCATCAAATCATGAAAATTTCAAGTGCAAAAGACAAAATAGAACTGGCAGAGCTTTCAAAGTTGATTAATAGGCGTAAAGTATCGGATGTAAAAAGGCATTACATGGAGAGAATCGAACACTCTCTGAAAAACGGAGGAAGCGTCAGAGCAGTGAAGAGGAAACTTGGGATAGGCAAAAATCGGATGTATGCACTAAGGGACAGAGAAGGCAAAATAACTACCAATATGGATAGGATAGTTAAAATGGCAGAGAAGTTTTAGAGATCTGTACAGTAGCCGGGACAACCACGACTTTAATACTATAAGAACTAGCAGTAACCCAGATGACACCCCACCAGTAATGATAGACGAAGTCGGAAAAGCCTTGGAGAGCATGCAAAGAGGTAAAGCTGCTGGTGAGGACCAGGTAACATCAGATCAGCTGAAGGATGGAGGAAAGATTGTGTTAGAAAAACTAGCCACCCTATTTACGAGGTGCCTCCTTACGGGAAGAGTACCAGAGTCTTGGAAGAATGCTAACATCATCTTAGTACAAATGAAAGGAGATGACAAGAACTTGAATAATTACAGGCCGATCAGGTTGCTCTCTGTAGTATACAAGCTATTTACAAAGGTAATTGCTAACAGAGTAAAGAAAACATTAGAATTCAATCAACCAAAGGAACAAGCAGGATTTCAAACAGGCTATTCAACAATCGACCACATTCATACTATCAATCAGGTAATAGAGAAATGCTCAGAATATAACCCACCACTATACATAGCCTTCATAGATTACGAGAAGGCGTTTGATTCAGTAGAAATATCAGCCGTCATGCATACAATGGGGGATCAGGGCGTTGATGAAGTATATATAAACATCCTGTAAGAAATCTACAGGGGATCAACTGCTACCATAATGCTTCATAAAGAAAGCAACAGAATACCAATCAAGAAGTGTGTAAGGCAGGGGGACACAATCTCCCCAATGCTATTTACCGCATGCTTACAGGAGGTTTTCAGAAGCCTAGAACGGGAAAAGTTAGGGATAAGAGTTAATGTAGAGTACCTTAGTAACCTGCGCTTTGCCGGTGACATTGCATTTCTGAGTAACTCAGGGGACGAATTGCAACTCATGATTAGGAGTTAGACAAGGAGAGCAGAAAGGTGGGTCTTAAAATTAATCTGCAGAAAGCGAAAGTAATGTACAACAACCTCGGAAAAGAGCAGCGCTTCAAGATAGGTAATAGTGCACTTCAAGTTGTAAAAGACTGTCTACTTAGGGCAGGTAATAACCGCGGAGCCGAACCACGAGACTGAAGTAACTAGAAGAATAAGAATAGGGTGGAGCACATTTGGCAAGCACTCTCAAATTATTACAGGTAGATTGCCACTATCCCTCAAGAGGAAGGTATATAACAGCTGTATCTTGCCGGTACTTAGCTACGGAGCAGAAACCTGGAGACTTACAGAGAGGGTTCAGTTTAAATTGAGGACAACGCCGCGAGCAATTGAAAGAAAAATGGCAGGTGTAACCTTAAAAGACAAGAAGAGAGCAGAGTAGATTGGGGAACAAACGGGGGTTAAGGATATCATAGTTGAAATCAAGAAGAGGAGATGGACATGGGCCGGGCATGTAGCGCGTAGACAGGATAACCGCTGGTCATTAAGGGTAACTAACCGGATTCCCAGAGAAGGCAAGCGGGTAAGGGGGAGACAGAAGGTTAGGTGGGCAGATGAGATTAAGAAGTTTGCGGGTATAAATTGGCAGCAGCAAGCACAGGGCCGGGTCAACTGGCGGAGCATGGGAGAGGCCTTTGTCTTGCAGTGGACATAGTCAGGCTGATGATGATGGTACCCACTTCACCCATAATTCCTCATCATCGTCAGCCACTGCATGGACAATTCGCACAAAATTCCTTGCAAGTGTTTAGCGAATACCACGCTTCTCAGAAGAATTACAAAAAATAGCATAGCTAATGCCGGCCTGCTACCCAAAAGTTTATTATCAATGCCCTATTGGGTATCAAGCAAGTGTGCTTGCAGTAGTTGCCCAATGAGTGTTTTGAAAAGGCTCTGAAAGGCCGCTCTTCTAGCTCTTGCTGTAACTGTGCTGTGCCTTATGCGCAGGCGTGGCGTTTTTTTTTTTTAATAATTATTATTATTATTTGCCGCTTATTTCTATACACGAAACATAAACCATGTAGCACAGAGAAACTGTCGTCATGTTAGGCACAAAGTAAACGCAGCTGGTGGTAACATCACTTTGTCACCACTGCACGTGGTTAGTTCTTTATTTTGTGACCAGCATCTGTACCACAGCTTCCAAAAGCAGTCAGGCTTCGTTGTCTTAATTTGGAGCGACATTATGGGATAAACATTACTACTTACGCATTATCCGTTAAGGATATGCAGGTCTAACTTAGCACATTTGCCTGTACTGTAGCTTGCATCTCACATGAACTGTAGTTCTAATTTTTTTACATGAAGACTTAATCTAATCGGGGGTCGTACATTTTAACTATGTGTCCAACACACTCTGTATAGAGAAATAGTGGAACGAGGGAACAATGCACAAGCTGCCTGCCTTGCTTATACTGCCCTTTCTCGCTATGTGATGGCATTTTTCAGATTTTAAATCGTCTGAACATGCCCTTAATATTAAGATTAAATAGTCATTAAGTTAAGCAGTGTTTTGCATTGTACGCACAAATTCATTGCGAGCTGTCATTTTACCCTTGCTGCCGTTTTTTTTTAATGACCTGCGAGGTAATTTTTTCAGAAGGCAGATATCTTGAGTGGGAGAAAGATTATTGGCTGTTGATTTATACAAAGGTAGCATTTTTGTGAACTCATTGAAAATCCTTGGTTAGAGATCACCTGAGGCAACCTGTGTAATGTTTTCAGGGAAATGGGAAGTGGAAGCGTCTTCCAAAAGCCACTTGAGAGGAGATCTAGGCCTTGTCCTCAAGGTAGACAGTTTGGTTTGACCTGTTTTGTCCAACGCGATAATACAATGTGATCTGTGCATCGATTTGATTAACCTGGTCTTTTACAGTCCAAAGCACATCACCATGCAATTGCGTCAAAGTTGAGCAAGCCATTTACCTTCGACCACAAACCCTTCGTACTTCAGTGAGTATTCCCACTATCCAATTGGAGTGTACGCTTATTTTCAACGCATGCGGTCTTGTAGCTACATGGCACGCCGGTTTTATAACTACACTGTTTTGTGACCAGCGAGGTTTGCTTGAGGTTGTCGAGAACCCCTTGCTGTCGATGACATTTTACCATGTTCAGTTTGGAGATAAAAATTATTTAAAAACAAAATGTTACAGAAATTGTCAATTCCCAGATCCTAAAGTAACACTGTAATGATTAAGCAAAGTTTCATTACAAAATATGATGTAGGAATGTAGAACCTATAAAATTAAAGGGACACTAATGCGAAACAGCAATCCAGTTTAGATTAATAAACAGTACTCTGAGAACCTATACAATTTATCAGTAGAGGAGAAAGTCGTGTGTTTTAATTTCTCGCTGAAATCTGCGTGCATGACTTCATAGATTTCAAAGAGTACTTTGTCTTATTTTGGCATTATTGGTTAATGAGGTTTGCTGAAACTTGCTAAGCTAAGTCTATATATAGTTCCTTAAATGACAATGTACTTCACTTTTTACTGATCAGGAACACCATCATTATTTGTGTAGTAATTTCTAGGTATCCTTTTCTTGTGCGATTTCTCGCTTAGCGAGCATCTTCTTGAAATGAGCATCGTGATTTTGGTATTCCAAAAATGCAATTTACTAGTACAAAAGAATTGTTTTTCTATTAATTGCTCTTTTAGATTCTGATAATTACTCAGTGAGAAACTGACTGAACTTTTTTCAGGCCTGTCAAAATTTGCAGAAATTTACGTGTCCACTTCAGGTTTTGGTGTTTGACTGCACTTGGCGTTTGGCACTGAGCACTCATTCACTTAACGTTGTGTGCCAGGTATGAAGTGCAGTTCCAGGAAGGCCAGGATTGTGGCGGAGCCTACTTAAAACTCCTTTCCAACTTGGACGAGAACAAAGACCTGAAGCAGTTCCATGACAAGTCCCCATACACCATCATGTTCGGACCGGACAAGTGTGGGTCTGACCATCAGGTAAATGTTTTGCACAATCACCTGCTACTCAAACAAGTCATTTAAGGTTGCATCTCGAAAAAAAAAAAAATAAAAATCTTGGCATTTATATATCAACTGCATCTTACAACTTTGCAAACTATATTATTATGCTAAATACCTGTCTGTACTGAGGCCCCTTAGTTTTTCTGCAGATTTTGCGAATATATTTCAGAATTCTTGTATCTGCTATTAATGAGCTCACTGCATCTCTTAATGTTCTTAACTTCATGCTATGTAACTCAAAAGTAGAAGCAAGTGGCCCTGATAATCATTTACAAACTTATAAATGAATCATCTGGAATACAAACGGCAGTGTACTTGGTGTAAACAGCAAGACTGTTGGTTCAGTCTGCTTTCGATGTTGCTAAAGCATTGGATCATGGTGTACAGGTTCATGCTGATGCATTTTTCTTAAACTTAACTTCAGCATTCTAGTCTGCTGGTCACTGCTAACTACAGTACAAAATTGGCCTTTCTTTCATAATCCTAAACTTATGGACTGGATTGGCAGTTTTCTCTCTAGTTGTTCGCAGTATGTTTTTATGTATCTTTTCTGCTGCTCTTGTGCTTACCAGTGCTGATATCGACCTTCTCTTGTTTTGGTTTATATTATTTGATGCTAAATATAACTGTTGACGTAAATATCGACACTGAAGGCTGCTATTGTAAAATGGATTCTCCTGAAATTCAATTTGTTCTGGATTCTGTCTCACACATTTGGTTGTGGTGTGATGCCATTTTGATTGGACTCTTTAAGTATAGATCCTCAAGAGACCATAGCTACTAGTGTTTGTAACACTTCTATGCCCAATTGTTGAATATGCATCTGTAGTGGGGAACCCTTTTCAGTAAAGTGGTATTACCAATACTGAGTCCCTACAGAATAAAGCCAGAAGATCTAAGGCTGTAGATGTGACTAGTACTCATCACACTCCTTTAGCTTCTCTGGCCTTAGTCTTGCCCATCTCAACAAGTCACCAGATTGAAAGTTTAAGGCTTCTACACACTTTAACTGATCCCACTTGTGCTTTCAGTTCTTGCAACCTAAGCCTTTAGAATTTCCACCTATGACGGAGATGTGGAGATTTTTTGTTCAACAATATTGCGTGCACAAAAACGGGACTTGCACTTCTTGACCCTTTTCATGCAGAAATTTTGGCATGAATTTGCTGAATTTGCAGAGGTGCCAGGAAAGCTGAAGAATCTAGTAGCTGCAACAATTCTAAACTCGTCGATTTTGTGAGGCATTTAGCCAGAAAAAAATGTGTAAGCATATAGTGTGCTTGTGCGTTTTTTTTTTAGCTATCCAGTAGTCTTAGTATTTTGTAGCTGTGGGATTTCAGCTGCACTCCTTTTTTTGTGCAGCTGCATTTCATCTTTCGCCATCGCAACCCCCGGAACGGCAGCTATGAAGAGAAGCACTGGAAGAAGTCCAAGAGTGTGTCAAAGTTTGACGAAATCTTCAAGGACAAAAAACCACATCTGTTCACACTAGGCAAGTGCAGCATTGCTTTTCTCACTTGTGAACATGTGAAAACCTGGTACGCTTGTGAGCAAATGAATAATGTGGGTAAAAAGTTACTTGATTATACAGAGTACAATAGTTTTGATAAAACTACGTGCCACTCTTATAAAAAAACAACTCTTACTAAGCAAACCAGTACAGTAGAACCTTGCTAAATGAAACCTGAAAAATGTTCGATTTAACTGGAGTTTAGGGGCACAGGCATGTAGGCATACAAATACTTAAGCGAGCAAATTAGAGGCAGTTGCTCAGTCGGTGATTCAATTTACCGAGATTTTGCTGTGTTTTACTGAAGTCTTTTCTCGCTATCTGCTCATTTATGCCCTTTCCCAACTCTTCGAAGCAGTGCTAAGTCTTTCACCTTGCACTAGTGGCATGGTCTTTCAATCCATTTTTGAGGCAACATGAACGGTGTTAAGTGCAAATTAAAGCATTCTCTGCCATGTTGAATATGTGTACAATGTGGGACCTTTTGCTAATGGGATGAATGGATGTTTTCCGTTCACTACTTCTTTTGTACATTAGGCATCTGGAAGGTGTATCGCAACGCAGGCCTTTCTGAGCATATCTGAAGCGCAATCAACTTATGGCCCCATATATAATAACAGGTTGTATAAAGATAACAGGCATGCTTTTGGCTTTGACATCATACGTGGGGGTTCATAAAATCTTTTTTTTTTGACTTACATCAAATGGTGGACGTACCATTGTTAACTGAATGACTGGCAACCTTGCTCTTTTTTGGCACCTCATTCAGAAAGTAGTCGACACTGATTACACAAAAGGACAAATTACAGGCAGCAACATAGTAGTTCACAGGACATTTGGCTGGCAGTCCCAGCAGTGCAAGCAAATAGTCATTAGAGCCTGGGTGTTTTGTTCAAACAGTCGTACTGGATGTTCTTTTGGTGCTAATACCTTGTCTGGACATTTAGAATTCTTTATAAACCAGGGGGTTTTGAAGGATAAATTTCCTGAACTGAATTGAATTACTAATAATGTTCCCGAATATGGAACGAAATGCATATTATTTCATAACATATTATTTCAGCTATTTACGTATCACTACATAGTTGCATAGTTATTTGCATAGTTACATATTATTTCAGTTATTTCTGGACAACAAAGCCACTTAAGCCTCCGAAATAGCTGCTGCTGATAACTAAGAACAACAACAACAAAAAAGAGGGGGTGCGGTGCGGAGAAGCATCATGGTATTTGATATATACTGTCCGTCGATCATCTGTACATCTTTGACGTAGTGCGAAACAAAACACTGACATGAGAAGGCAAATAAAAACACCACGCTGCTATTATGTTGATTAAAGGATGTAAATTCATAGTATGTAGCACTGTATATTGTATTAAAAGGTTGAAAGCATGTTGTAAGTGACCCGCTCAGTTTTACATGCCTATGTTGAAACATTCTCATGCGACATGAACATTGTCGAGCTCAAGATGTTGACCTCACCAGTTAGTCGGAAGCTCTAGCCCTGTGGTTCTCAAATGGGGGTCCGCGAAGCCGTTTCTATGATCCGCGATACGCTCACCAGCATTTTTTTTAAGTGTGACTGTGCACATATTGATAGAACTGTTGGAAGTCAATTGATGTGGCACGTTTGATGTTTTTGGTAGCATTGAAAGGCACCTGTCTCACGCTCCAATTGTGTTAATTTAACTACCTACCCACCCACCTCTCCTCTCCGCTGCAAGGGGTCCCTCATCACTTCCACCAATCCACAAGGGATTCCAGACACATTCATGGTGGAGAAATACTGCTCTAGCCCATGTGCAGCCATCCAATTTTCCCTGTAGTGCAACCATGTGGAAGATCATCATTTTCATTGTCTTTTTTCCGTGAGAATCTGATCAACCAACTTGATAGCAGTATGATTACCTTGTAAAGTTAATATCTGCACATCCCATAAAGATGATATTTTACAGCAATTACTACAATCTTTTCAAAAGTTACTGGCACTATTAGTTAACATGGTTATTTCTCGTGTTATATATAAAAAAGGATCCTGCATGTAATGTTATCAAGCACTTAGCGATGATCCAAGCAGTGGTAGGTCTGCTGTTGCGGCATTGCTTTACTCAGCAAGAACTTCTGGGCCTTGTTATTGGCAGTGCTGTCACCTGACAACAAGTTTGAGATTCTCGTGGATCAGCGAAGTGAGGCCAAGGGAAGCCTCCTGGAGGACTTCGAGCCACCAGTCAACCCCCCGAAGGAAGTGGAAGACCCCAACGACAAACGCCCCGAAGACTGGGACGAGCGCGAGAAGGTGCCCGACCCAAATGCGGTCAAGCCCGACGACTGGGACGAGGATGCACCTCGAGAGATCCCTGACCCCGACGCCAAGAAGCCTGTCGGCTGGCTCGATGACGAGCCGAAGCTGGTGCCAGATGCGACGGCTGAACGGCCCAAGGTGAGACCTGCGAATGTATTGTTACATCTTTAGAAGGGCTTTTTGCTGTAACCTGTATTATTGCATGGAGATGCAATACAGATTGCTGCAGTTTGCCTTTCTCTTATTTAGGATTGGGATGATGACATGGACGGTGACTGGGAGCCACCACTGGTCAACAACCCCAAGTGCGAAGCTGTGGGCTGCGGAGAGTGGAAGCCACCCATGATCAGCAACCCGCGCTACAAGGGAAAATGGAGGGCACCGCTTGTTGACAACCCGAACTACAAGGGCAAGTGGAAGCCACGCAAGATCCCCAACCCAGACTTCTTTGAAGACCAGAATCCCTTCCGCATGACTGCCATTGTGAGTTCATCTCTGCAGTAGCTCAAAGTATTGGGGAAATGTTATCCCTATGAAATACTTGTTTAAGTAATCGCCTACAGTGCAAATGGTGTGCCGTACAAACTGCGGTAGAGGGCTGGCTATGGGATGTTCTGCTATGACACACCCCAATGTTGTCTTGATGACACTCTGCCTTTAAAAGATCATTCAACTGATATTGCTTAGCATGCAGCAACGAAACTCACAAGGTCCCTTATGCATTCGCCTAAGGCTGCTTAGGCAAATGTGTGTGTGCGTGTAATATAAGAACTTATAAAATTTTGAATGCTAAAATTTTTCAGCCTTCCATTTTTCAGACTTCTTGCCCAAATTTATGGTTCAAAAGAGCATTAAGCGAGCCCTCACCTCTGCCAAATCTATAATCTCCATGTTAGAACCAGCATTTTCTTAAATCAACACATTTGTGACCATAGCAGACCCTCAAATACGAGTGTCGGAATGAAGCCTGTTGAAAATCTGAAGGAGCCACTGTCAATCAAACGTTCACTGTATCGGTCTTTGGGAAGATCGAATAGTAAAACTTTAGTATGAATCAAATCGAATCTAAACACTATTCAAAAAATATTTGCAATTTCGAATATTCGCACACCCTTACTGCTTGAATACTGTGCATCGAATCAAAAGCTCTTTTGTGAAAGTACATATGTTGCAGAGTTTCCAGCGATTTTGTTGCAGTAGTACCTTTTTATTATGCCAAATGATTTTTCCTTCCAGGCAGCTGTGGGCCTCGAGCTTTGGTCCATGTCCGATGGAATCCTTTTTGACAACATCATCATCACCGATGACACTGTGGTGGCCGACCAGTGGGCTGCTGACACTTGGGTCCTTAAAAAGGAAGCTGGGGACCTTGAAACGGTATGTCCTGCAGGTCATCGAGTGCATGTATACTAGGGTCCTTAAGTCAACGGGACCGAACAGGTTGTCACATTCCTTGCACTGGAAGAGAAACTTGGACGAGTTTGTGGCGCTTCTGAACTGACAATCTACAGCACTGAACAGATGTGGGCAGAGGAAAGACGAGCACTTGTGTGGTGATCTTTTTTTTTTTTTTTTTTTTCAGTGTCTTTGTCTGTCTAGTTCTGTAGCTTGTCAGTAATGTATTACAACAGTTGCTGTTTCGGTTTCTGCATTTCATGTTAGAAAGCTGATAAAATTTATAGCATAGTTTTTATTGATTAAATTTTATAAAATCTTGATAAGGTACCTTTACATTTCATTAGTTTCGATCCTCACATAAATCCAGTTGTTAGTGGTCAGGGTAGTGTTCAAATTATTTGTTCAAGAAATCTTTTCAAGTTCATGTACTCAGACTATGTAGTATTATACAAGGAAATAAAAATGCCCAGTAAAAGCAACAGTTCAGTACATAGAAGCATCTAAATAAAGTATTGCACCAGACATAAGTTTCACGTGCTGTGTCGGGTCGGTATACAGTCAAAACCACTTATAATGATCCCACATATAACAATCTATCGGTCATAATGACTATATTTTGGTGCAGTTACGATTTTCCTATGATGCCCTTTGAAACTGAGTCCACATACAAAAAACATTTTTCAAAGCCTCCTACCTTTACAACGAACACTTCAGACACTGTTGCGGTAAAATATGGCGCACACCAAGTGAAAAAAAAAATTTTTAAAAAGGCATTCTAAAGCATGTGATAAGCGCACGCTCGTGCGTGCCCCGCCGCAGACTTATCGCGACGAAGATATTGCAAATCGTGGCAAGCACCGCACGCAGATTTCGAATGCTGCGAGTGAGGTCTCTCACTTTCCAAGCGTTTCTTTACCGGCAGAACGGAAGAGAGGAAAGAGAAATAGGAGGCAGCATGAAGACTTAGTCAGCTGTCGTACAGCCAACTTTTCCGACGTTATCGGCATCTACGACCACCACTAATTAATCAACTATGTCTCCGAATGCAAGAAGCCATATATGTGAGAAGCGATAACTTTTTGTCGCATAAAAGTTAACTGTGGCGCTCAACGTTCTGACACCACAACATGCCGCAAAAGGTTTTCTACCTTTCAATAACGGAAAAGGCCGATCGATTACTGATAACTACTTCCGCGTAGTTGCGGCGATGCCTGAACGGATAAGCATCAGAAAACAGTGATCGCGAAGTAGCCAGTGGCGATAAACACGCAATATCGACTCATCGCCGCCAACCTTATCAGTCGTCTGACAAAGTGACTCGACAAAGTGACTGTGGTACAAGTGCATCATGCTGCCGTTCAAAAGTTATTCACCGCTGTGTCGTGCGAGGTCGCTTGCAAAATCAGCCTTTATTGTGTTAAACGAATAGGCTACACGCTGAACCTGAGCATGATCCTGAGTTGAGCACTCGTGAAGAACGCACAAACATGTGCATATATTGAACTGAAAACTACCCGGCATGCAATAGCAAGAGCCGAGGAAAAATCATGGTGGTCCCGCGCTTTAGTGGAACAGCGAGAGTTCATTGCGAACGTGGTCTGTTTCTTCACTTTTGAACAGATAATGGATATTGATTAACACTCCAAAAGGCCCAACTTCTCAGCGGAAGGGTTAGCACTTTTTAATAAATGTACACAAGAAAAAAGGAACGGTTTGATCGCTAAGTGGACGTTTGTTATGGGAAAGTCCATATACAACGAACTACTTGTATAAAGACCATTTATCGCGACACTTTCGTGCTATAAGCGGGTTCGGCTGTATATGGGAGTGATGCGCCAGTGGGAGTGACGAGTAGTCACTCCCATTATTTTTGCAACCATGGCATTTTTTAACAGTGCTATCATTGATTTCGAGGAGGAAAAAACTAGAAGGTGGCAGCACGTGAAAACCTTGAAACCTGGGCATACAAAAATTTAAGGGATAAGTAGGCCCTGGACCCATCATAGGGCAAGTGCTATTAAAATTGCAAGGAAAGTGTGATTGCATCTGGTATTGGCACTGCAGGGGCCTAATTATACCTAGGAGGTGCCGAGCACTGGTAGGAACAGGTGGTGTCACTGAACGTTAGCTTACTGAGGCTAGTGGAATCGTGCGACATTTCCTCCTAGGTTTTTTCCTTCCTCCTTGATTAGTTTCCTCTTTCTAGTGTGTGTAGTTGAATGTGCTCTTTACAGCCGACTGGGAGGCTTGATCGCAAGTACCGGCGCCTCTGCTGGTGCTTGTACGTGACCTACATTGGCCTGCCCGTGGGACTTTACTTGTACTACATCTGGGGAATGTTACAAGAGGTAGCCTATTCGGCAGGTAGCCTGTATGTGCTACATGAAAAAAGCTGTTGTACACCATGCTTTAGATCATTCAGCAAGAGCTACAAATTTTGTAGTGATGTACCATCAAAACAGCACTGATGCCTAGACATGACTGCAAGCTTTGCATCACCATCAGGTTCACGTTTTTGTTTGTTTCAATAGCCCTGCCTGATCTTTCTTGTGTGTGTGTATATGTGCTTGTAGTATGCTTTCGGCTTTAAGATTGTTAGTAATTATGTACAGTAACCTTCATTTTTATTCATGCTTAAGGCACTGAAGCTTTGCTGAATGATCATAGTGTTCAAGAACACTCAAAATTCTTGCATGACCAGTTTATTGCAGTCTTTGATTGCAAAAAGGTGGCAAAGCTGCTCATTTTTGCATTAAAGCATTTGTTCAATTGCAGTATGTATATAATCATTGCTATCATCTTTCTTGGTGGATATAAAAAGCAATGATGTCAAGTGTTTTATTGCATGATGTAGACCAAGAAATGGCTACGCAGTATAAAACTTGAGTGATGATAAAGAAGCAGAAGGTGCATAATCTCTCGGAAGAAAAACGAAGGTTACTGTGTTTCCAGCTTCATATAGAGACTGGTGTAGTACCTGCTGTGCTTCAGAGGAGAGCCTCGTGCTTAGGGCTTTTGCTGCATTGCTTCTTGCATAGGACGGCATGTTCATGCGGCTCGTCAAGTACACCAACAAGTACCCGTGGCTCTGGGCTGTCTACGTGATAGTCTTGGGACTGCCCTTAGTTCTCATCATCACCTTCTGCTGTTCCAGCTCACAGGTGAGCTCGCGAGCCTCAGCATGCAGGCATGTGTCGATTGCACATCCTTCAGGCTGTAGGTGCCATCAAGCACCAGAAAGAATAGAACGAGCCAGAGCAAACTTGAATGTACATCAAACAATGTAGTCTTTTGTCTTTTAGGCAACTATAGAAAGAAAAAAAAGACTGTAGAAAAAAAAAAAGTAGAGAAAAGCGTGTGTTTTTATGCGACTTCTGCAATCACAACCAAACGGGCAGCCTGTTTTAAACCTGTCAAGTTGAGACTGTTTTAGCAGACTATTTCCAACAGGCTTGCAGTGCCATTATTCCACACTTGTGGTGTGCCACTGTTGCAACACAAAACTGGAAAGCAAGCACGTAACCCTGTGGGGAAAAATGGTGCATATGTTTCGTAGCACAAAGTCGGGGGGAGGGGGGGGAGGGAGTAACAGGGTTGTGCATTTCAACGAGGTTTTGCTGTAGTAGCACATTTACCGCTTTGTTTGATTTCGCCATTATTTTGGCCTGTATACTTTATTCAATACCAAGCTCACGCTATTTTTGGCAATGATACAACCAGCATTGCGATACTATTTTTCTAATCTCTACCACTTATAAAATCATGTTTTGCATTGTACATTCACGTAAAGTTGGGGTAACTCGCATTTGCTCTGGTTGGGATCACAGCATGTAGATGCTATTATTAAAGCACTGCCATTGTTTCTCCTTGTGGATGCTGTGGAAGACATTTATATTGCTTGTTACTAGCAGCTGTTAGTACAAATTCAAGCCTACAAAAATGTCGTCAGACAAGGCTAGTGAAGTGTGACATATAGTATTAACTAGGCATGTGCGAGCAGTAATTTTAGGTTTGATTGATATGTGGGGTTTAACGTCCCAAAACCGCCATATGATTATGAGACGCCGTAGTGGAGGGCTCCAGAAATTTCGACCACCTGGGGTTCTTTAACGTGCACCCAAATCTGAGTACACGGGCCTACAACATTTCCGCCTCCATCGGGAAATGCAGCCGCCGCAGCCGGGATTCGAACCCGCGACAAGCGGGTCAGCAGCCGAGTACCTTAGCCACCATCGCGGCGGGGCTAATTTTAGGTTTGGGTTTGAAGTGAATTCGAAGCCAATAGTGATTTTGTCAAATAACGTCCAATTGAATTTGAATAGTGCACATCATAAATTATAAAGAAACATGTGCATATTTATGATGAACCATCTAACCTGCAAAATATTTTCAAAAATTTAATCAAGGCATGTGCAAATGTCTTTTTGATTCAAAGCATGCTAGTGATAACCTGTAAAATATGTTATGCATTTCATGGTTTAAAATTTACTGCTTGTAGAACGTACAAGCCAGTATAAAAAGCTTCTAAACTTTAGAAATGATTATTGGATGCTGGGGTATAATATGGAGAGTGAGGCTTTGCGGCAGTGCAAATTTTTTTTGGATAGGCGTATTCACTGTACAGCACCCCTCCACTGCAGTGAAGCTACCTTTACAAGGTGGTTACATACAGTTTACATGTTTAGTTGTTCGTTCAGCATGCTGGAGATTTTAAAATTTATATTCATGTTTAAGCAAATTTGAATGCTGTAATACCCAATCAAGTGTTCCAAATGCTCGAATGCTCGCACATGCCAAATATTAACCCTTTGTGGTGCCTCCCAACAGCACCATACGACCGTAGTGGTTCGTCGTAGAGCACTGCTCCAAAATATCTTTTACGTTTGATACATCCGCTTTTTTTTATTTTTCAGATTGTATATCAGTCATCTCTAAATGAGTAATTAAACTTGTTTTTACTTCAGTTCTGATTTCTTTTGTATATGTTTGTACCAGACTGGACGGAAGGTGGGCAAAGGGATCTGACCACAAAGGTTTATTGTTGCTATTTGTTCCCGTAGGAAACGTGCATTGATGCATCTCACCAGAAGCTTAGCCTTAACGTGTGCAACACCTTGAGGGCATCTGTAATCGACAATTTCAGCAATAAGTTGTAGATTACAAATGCAATTGTTCAGCTTTTGTTCACCTCAAGTCAGTTGCATTATAACTATTAATACAAGCATAACATTATAATTTAAATAGCAAAAGGCAGTGAAAGATGTGCGTGGTGTTGGCTCACATGTAGATCTTGAACACATAGGCTGACTTCACAGGTGAAGTGATGCATGTCTGTATTATTAGATTCTGCTCTTGCACTACATTACGTTGTCATGCATGCACTCTGATCTGAACTCGCCCTGGTTGTGTTGTCGCCAACTGCCTGTGTATCAAATGCAGGACAAGAAAGTGTCTGCAGCTGCCGCGCAGCACAAGAAAAGCGACGATGCCCCCGTGGCCGAGGAAATGGCGGAGCCAGTTGCAGCTGAAGAACAGGGGACTGCGCTTATAGAGGAAGTGGAGGAAGAAGTTGAAGACGAGGAACCAGGGGCCAAGGGTGCCGACAGCGCAAATGCGGCATCTGGCGACAAGGAGACCACTGCTAGCAGCAACGAGGAAGGAGATGGGGTGGTGCGTTCCTCTCCAGGCCCTAACCTTTGGGCATGTGCATGATGCTTGTGGCGATCAAGATTGTGGGGCATCCTTATACCTAAAAGATCAGTCAAATGTTGCATTGCGACTTTTTTAGTGGCAACCTTTAGTGTGGGAAGCCTCAAGCTGCAAGCTCATAAAGAAATTATTTTAATCTTCTTTTTGAGCTTTCAGAACAAGCTATCGTCACGTCCATGTCAGCCATGTGAAGTCCGCTATAACAACGCTTCATCTGGCGAGCGAAAAGACTCCCAAGTTCAGATTAGGAATAGATATGTTAAATTCTCTTTTGATATTGCATCACGAGTAGCCTGTGCCAAAGCATGCTGTACACAAAGAAAAGGCAGTCGAGGAAGGCAACTGTAGCCATTAAGACTTTCATTGCTAATAGACATGACTAATAAGAAAGAGATGGGGTTAAGGCTCATTTGTGTCGCCAATGTTCGGCCTGTATGGTGGTTAGGTTTCTCGGCTGCTAAACCAAAGGTCAAGATTCGATCCTGGCTGCCGTGATCGCTTTTCGGAGGAGGTGAAATCATGGAGGAGTGTATATTATTTAGGAGCTCATTAAAAGAACTCTAGGTGGTCAATTTCAGTTGTCCGCCATAGCATTCCTCGTAATCATGTAGCGCTTTTGGCATGTAAAATGGCAGGAATTGTATTACCCATATTCATCCATTGAAATTAAGGAATAAGTAAACTACTAGAGACGTTCAGTGGGGATAGTACTATGACTACTGCACTTCTTTCAGTTGCACTTTATTTTGGATTCAACCTAAGTACAATAGTAAATAGTTGTCACACCATGTAACAGTCAAATAAATAACAAAAAAACTAACATGTATAAACACTCACAGTAACAAACAATAACATATGTTCCACAAACATTAACACATTTGTGAATACTGTTTCTCTTTGTTGCGTGCATAATCTGTACTTACGATGATTAACTTGCAAAGTAAGGGTTTCATAACTCCAAACATTGTTGGCCAGCTGCTTCCCGACAATTGTTCCAACGAGCAGCTAGTACAAGTTATCCGTAATTGCTAGCTATTTTGGACTGCATTACAGCCTTTCACGATTCCAGCTACAAACGCGAATTATTCTCTCACGATTGGCAGTGTAGGCAGAACTATCAAAGTGCTACACTGTTCAGTGATTGCCACTTCTCTGCAAGCAGCATTGTTTTCTAAAGCTTTGGCGTAGAGCCTAACTATCGCAATGTAAATATGGACGTCGCAGTAGTGTCTCGTTCACCTTGGCTAAACTTTGTTGTTTTCCATGCATAGAATTATGTGGCTTGAGAATATGTGACCTGAGAAGTTGCCATCCCACCCCCTTCTCAGGATGGCGAGGATGGAGCTGGGGACTCGAAGCGGTCACCACGACGACGGAGGCCCCGAAGGGAGTGACGCCCTGTGTGAAACTTTTTTTGTACCCTGCCCAGCGGCAAAGGCTTGGTAGCAGCTGACTGGACTGCTTTTCTCCGTGAGGGTTGGGTGCCTGCAAAGTAGTGGCATCAACCAGTGAGTGTTCGTATGACTGAGACTGTGGTGTGAGTGTGTGCATGTCTGTGTGCTTCTTGGCAACTTAAGTTATTATACTTATTACTGTTCAATAAAGGTTGCTTTAGTTGTACTCACCTTCCTTCATCACACCATTCCTTGAAGAACTTGCTCTGCTTGCTCCTGAAGATCCTCGGCTTTCTTCAACAGTAACAACTGCACAGAGTTCAGAACAAGAACTTGTTTACAATATGCAGGAACTGAAATGATCACACCATATTACACTAGCACAATACAGGCTGCTGTTTTCGTGGCCACATTTAACGAAACGCAACATTCCGGAAGTGCGTGTGCGCAGGAGTGTGATCCTCGAAACCATGAACGATTGCATTTATTTAAGAAACTATTCTTCCAGAGCAATCTTGTCATCTTCAATCTGCCCTGAACCTATGCAACACCCTTTATATGACATACTATTAGGCAAAAGAAAGCCTTGGGTGGCACATAGCATGGCAACCTTGAGCAAAACGCTACAGTGGTACCCATGCAACCACACGGGTTTAGCATGATATAGAGTTCTAAAAGATGAATAGACTGAGAGAGTCAAGGTAATTTAACGCTTTTCTCTTGCAGTACAGCTTATGTCTTGTTAAAACTTGGTCCTATATTATAGTATAACTTCACGCACTGCCATGTTTGCAGCAGGCCTCTATTCGAGAAATTCTAATGTGCGGCACAAACTTTCATGTGCAGCCATAATGATGGCACGTTAAAGTACTCTAATGGCACTCTCGCCCATCACATGATTGTTTTGTCCACATAGGTGGTCGGTATGAATTGGCAAAACACTTGCTATAGACCCATTCCATGTCTATAAATACAGGTAGACCGATGTCGACATTGGGGGTAAAATTATAGCGACGCCCACACGTAACTTCCGCCATAAGCGCCGAGGGCTGCGATGTGCACCAGCAAAACGACGCGAGACTTCATAAGCATTGTGAAAGCCAAAAGCGCTGAGGGCTGCGATGTGCGCCAACAATCAAAACTAAGTTGTGAGACGCGACTCATATCCAACCGCGACGCAGCTCGTCCGCATATCAGTTTTTTTTTAGGGGCGAAGCTCCTTAAACCCGTTCGTCCCTCGTAATAGTCGTAGTGTGTAACCAGTCTTGCGTTTTGACCTGCAAGGTGGTGCCGGTGGGAGATTTCTTCTGTGCGTTGTTGAACAATAACAAATTCGCAGCGTGCGCGTTACCTAAAGGCCGAATCCTCCTGTCTCTCATTCCCCCTTAGCAGCCATTAACATTGAGCACGATCTGACAAGAAAGGGTTGCTACGTTATACTCGCTGGGTGTAACCTCCTAGGTTTTAGAAAGGTTTAGCGAGCGTTGGGCCGCAGTGCCATGAATACAGTGAACTAGTATATACCATGAGCTCGAGGTGGTTGAAGGTGGGAAGTGGACCCAAAGCGCAGGCCGTAAGAAAGTGTGCGTGTGCCACCTCTCGTTTAGTCCTTCGAATGTCCGATGGATGGTGGTGCTTTATATGGGGAATATATGATGAAAAGATGCGAGATGGCGGTACTTGTAGCGTTGAATAGATGGACAAACGGACACACAGACAGACGCACGGACGGACGCACGGATGGCTGCACGGACGGATGGACGCAGTGGCGGATGCATGGACGAACGCACGGACGGTCACACAGACAGACTCATGGACGGACGGAAGCAAGAACGAATGAATGGACAGATGCTTCGCCCCACTCTCCATCATTCACTCCGTGAATATGCTGCCATTTTTTTTTCCCCTTGTTGCTTGACCGAGAACACCACATGCACCATGAAAACCCAGCAGAAACTGCGGTAGACAGAGCGTCTTTTGCCTACCAAGATAGTGCCACCGCATTTTCGTGACGCAAGTCTGGTGGAATTCGTCTATAGCAAGAGCAGCAGTTAGGGTGACTTGCTATGGGAGACCAGTGCTGGATAGATAGCACACCACAAAAAGGCACGTGGTGGCGAGTAGCGGCAGAACTCTGCCGCTTGCACCCAGACGATTGACCACCATGGACTGCGGAAAAAGCGTACCTGTGCGCTGTTCCCGTGCTTGATCTTAGCACTAACATCTTCAGCAAGCAGCCTATGTGCCAGAAATACTGCGCAGAGGTTTAGAAAAATATAACTTTGTCCAAAGGTTACTCTTAGGGAAAATCATTGAAAAACGAAGAGAAGCTCCACAAAGCAGACTGCATCCACATATAGCATCAAAGAGAGAGCTGTGCAGAGATGGCGATTCCCTTAACATATTCTAGCTGCTTGCTGGGATTTGTGTCAAGCTAGTGCAGGCCGGTACGCCTCTATTGATAAGGATGTGCGAAGTGGTCACTGCTCTGCTCAGTTCTGAGCAAGAAAAATAGAGTTGAGGGGTAGCTGCATCTCTCGCATTCTTTTTTTTTTGTTAGTATGTACATATTGCCAATGCATGTTACGTGTGCGCATGGGCATTGATCAACCAAGCCGCTGTGGTAGCATAGCATATACGGCATTTCGCTGCTATTCTCAAGAGCGCGGTATAGGCTCCAGGCCATGGCAGTTGCATTTTGATGGTGGCGAAATACAAAGAAGACCTGTGTACTTACATTTATGTGCAAGCAGTCAAAATCAATCTTGGTACCCACACAACTGCATGCTTTATAATCGTATATTGTTTGCCATGTAAGAACCTAGCAATTATCGATGTTGACCAAACACAGGCATCCAGAAAAACTAAGTCACTTGGTTGGGAGAATTAAATATTTGCACAAAGCTTTTTCAACCATGCTCATCCATGCTTTTTTTTTTATCAAGTGTACACAAGCTGTACTGCCTCCATTTAAAATGCCTCCATTACATGTGCGTTAACATATTTTTTGTAACAAAAGCGAGTTACTGTGACTATTCTTTGTATTTTGTCGCCATCACTCCCTCTGCATGATGTAATTGGGGGCTGGGAACTTAGTCAAACCGCCTGTAGCTCTTTTTCCTACTCCCTCCATGAACACTGTATTGTTGGAAATAAAATTATTATTATTATTATTAAACGACGAGTAAAAGACATTAGACAATTCTCTAGCGAGGCATAAATTTCAGAAAGAAGCTTTACTTGCATCGGCTGACTCCAGAAAGCTAAGCTTCGTGTAGTCCTCTGCTTTGTTCGTGACAAGAACCATGTCCGTAGCATGAAAGAAACTGAACGAAGACTTCTTAGCATTAAGTATCTATCGCGTGCGTATTTTTTATAACAGCCAGTTCAGCGGCTTAGACGAACGTGCCCCCGCAAACAGCTCGTAGACAAGGCAGCTCTCCCTTTATGAAACTGTTTGCAAATAATGTGGACTGCCTGTCTATGGTATCTTTCTGCATTACATGATGGCGTCAAAAGGAGCTTAACGTTAAGATGGTGGTAAGTTTTTTTTTATTATTTACATATGCCGCATGCTGCATAATATGCTCGTTTATTTCCAACAAACAGCCAGTTAAATCCTGTTGCTTGGCCCTGGTTTCCACTGACGTCATCTATAAATCCAGCAGACATGCACAATTCAATTCTGGAACCAACCCCACGCCACGTTAGACAGGAGAGCAAAAGCAGAAATGCTCTGCTCGCCAGACTGCTTCACTTGCATGCTATGCCGCCTTCGTTCTTATTCATATGATTGGGAAAAAAAAACGTAGCTGGATATGTACTGTTTCATTTCTACATATTGCGGCACTTGAATACTACCAGCGCCCTTTGGTTTTGTTTTAGCAATGCGTGCCCTCCTCGCTCTCACCTGCAGGAGTGGCTGAGAAATGTGCGCATTTACTACCAGGGCGGCACTGCCTGCGTCATCGGAACTCTAGCGCTGGTACCTATAGCACAACATTAAATGTTAAGCACAGCTTAAATAGAGGCAAGAAATGAAGGGAAGGGGTGGACAGGTAGGGAAAGGTGAGTGCTAGCTTTCAAATGGTTTTTCATTTCTTCAGTGAAAGAAGCAAGTGTTGCACTTTTTCTGGTACACCCACACGAACGTTTCGTTCCACTGTTAAGTGCACTTGCCTTGGCTGCATCAACAATCTGACGGGACTGCCTCCGTGATATGGGGCCCACTTTCTCGGCCAGCTCCTTTGGATCGGCACAGGCGACATCCATAATGGAACGAAACCCCGCCTTGTGAAGCTGCCTGGCACGGCCCTGAAAGAAGAGCACAAATTTTTCTACGACATCTGAATCACTGCAACTCATTAGGCTTGCAGTTAGGACGTGCATGTGACGTGTTTCATTGATTTTAAATGATTCTTAAAAATCATTTTGTTGATAAAAGGTACAAATGTGTGCTTGAGCGTTCCACAAGGCTTGGGAGAACTCTCTGTTAGACTGTTTCAGAAGTTCATGTCAGAGCGTAGTATTGAAAAAGAAAATGAGGTGTGACAGTGTGTACAGTGCTCACCTCGGCGTTCATAACCACGGAGGGTTGTGCGGGAAACAGCACGGGTGAAATTCGCAGTCACAAATACGTCACATTTGAGCATGCGCGGCACCAGTGATCTGCCTGCCTCGCAATACTGATTCTTGTTTATCACCGCGGATGCAACAATGGCTTTGGCCGTCGAAAGCGCTCTGAGCGATTTCGCGAAAAAACAAACAAGAAAGAAAGCCATAGTATAACCGTTGTCGCTATAATATGGTATCATGAAGAGAGAACTTCTTTTTTGTTGTTGTTTTATTTCGATTTTGTAATGTTGACAGAGCTTCGACGGCCAAAGCAGCCATCGTGGCCGCGAAGATAAAGAAGGGTGGAAACTGCAGGGCAGGCACATCATTGGCGCCGCGCATGCTCAGATGTGGCGTATTTGCGACTGCAGATGTCGCTCGTGCTGTTCTGCGCGCGATGCTCCGTCGTTATAGACAGTTGAGTTGAGCACTGAACATGTAATATGAGCTGAGTAGATCATTCACTTTTCAGTATAACTGCAGCTTGTAATGCAGTGTTTTACACAGTCCACACTCGTGATAAAGTTGCATAAAACACAAATACACTAATATTTGATTAAACATTTCAGTACACCTACACACAGGATTATGCAAAAAAAAAATTGACACTCTAAACTGGAAAGCTTCTCGTAAGCCAACTAATATTTGCAATGGCTTTTCTTTAGAGTGTCAATACCCAGAAGAATTGCTTGCTAACATGTTTGCTCCTTTCTCCTACCTACAGCTAAGCAGCATAAATGGCTTCGTTTCAATGAAAGAACTCACCTTTCTGACGCTTGGCAGTTCCATCAGAGGGATGAGCTCCATGGTGACACAGTTTGATAGGTGTTCCGTGAACTCTGGCAGTAGTACCCTATAAGCCCAAAGTTCGGGCAGCTCCTATGGAGGAAAAAAATATTCGTACAGATCCAACGCACATGTTACGAGTTTTCGTAAAGCAAGCCTTGAAGTCGAGTGATTCATGCTAAATCCTGTACAACTTGTGAATCATACAATTCTACTATGTGGAAACAGCACAGGAACGGGACAAGTAGAAGTAACACACAGCACAAACACGTTCATGTTTTGTGTTACCTCTACTCGTCCCGTTCCTGAGCCGTTTCCACGTGATACCATACATAGTAAACCCTCGTTACGACAAACTCGCTTTATTCGAATTATCGCTTTTATCGAAGTGTCATGCAGTCCCGACACCAATGCATGTATTTTAGACCGGGTTACTCGAAGCATGTTGATAGCTTGCTCCGCTTAGAGCGAAGTAACAAGTTGCCGATCCGTATTCACGGCGGCGCTAAGAGAGGGCGGGCGACTGCCCAGGCCTCTGCGCTTTTTCCATGGACGTCCCGCACCGAGGTGGCCTTTTCTGCGCTGAGCGAGCAATATTCACGCTAGCATCACCAGGCTAAAGTGCACCAGTGCGAACCACTGACCTCCATTAAAAAGGCTAGATGACGCATCCCCACTCTCTAATGTGGGCGCTTGTGAAACCTTACCAGCAGGTCCGTTCACTGTCCCGGAAGCTGGTGTCTTCTGGGCGTTTCAGGCGAGCAATTCAAATATTATCTGGTCGCAGTTGTGATCGCGTTTTTTGTTTTTTTTTAGCATTCCCACGGTCATTCAAGGCAACACAAAGAACGACAGACGCCTTCCGAATACATCACGGAGTGCTGTAATATACAACTAGTGCATATAACAAACCCTACGATTAGGCATGACTTGGAATGCTGACTAACGCTACCCAAAAATGACGCTGTAGCAATGGCTTCTGAATACTGCAGAGTTCTGTAACAAACAACTTACAATTACTCATCAGTCAAGTAACAGAGAAAAAAAAATTGTCACGGAATTTTTTTTGCCAAATAAAAAAGAGCAATGGTTGCAATGATAGCCAAGAGTGCAAAGGTTTGCCTTTTGTAAGAGATCCGGAAAAGAAAACGGCGTTTGGATGGCACCGTTTCAAAGATGAGTTTTTGTAACAAAGTAGTCAAAACAAGACTGCAAAATGGTCACTGCAAAGTCTGCTTTCTGGAGACAGCGTCCAGCTGTGCTTTTTTAGGTTACTGACCCACTTCTCGTATATTTGTGGTCTCGAACATATCAAAAAACCAAACACCCTCAACACACCCCGTTAAAAAAAAATTGCCCCCGTATCTGCATGTTACACTGCAATTGTCATCGAAAGACGATAGTCTTGCGCCTGGAAAGAGTGAACGAAACGTTTATTTGATGTTCTGCACAAAAAAAAATCAGTGAATGGTATTCTGGAAGAGCTACGTTAGAGAGCCTCGAGCGTGCAGCGGAGGCGAACGAGCGCATAAAGTCATGTCACACGTGAGACATGAGCGCTAACTGGCAGCTAGTTATCTTAAAAAATAAAGCGCGCAGCCTGTACACCTGTCTTGTAGATGATAAGGTGTAGAACGCAAAGCAATGAGTAGGTGCGTGCCACCACCATGTCGTCTTAGCAAAGCGTCGGAAACACTTGCCTTTTCGTGCAAGCGTTGCATGGTCAGCGCAGCGTGATAAACGCTACGGTCCTTAGAATTACTTACATATGCTTTTTCTAGTAAACGACACACATACAGAATATTGACGTGTTGTTATGGTGCCTCAAATATGCGCAATAATTGCTTTTTAATTGACAATCACACACGTATAAACACTGAATCTTGAGCAATATTGGTGGGCGTTGCGAATGTGATCGGCCACTTGTGGTATCGTCTGGTGCCTTTTAGGGTACCGTTAAAAGCGGACAAACAGCCAAATTTACAGACTGACAGACTAAAATTTTCCCTTTGACACAGAACGTGACGAAGAAGCAGCTCACGGGATCCGGACCGGACATTTGAAGGTCCCAAAAAAAGACTATCGTCCTTAAAAAAGGCGATCAACTACTGCAACTTCCTCGCACAATGCATAAAAAGGAATATAATTTTGAGGTACTCATGCGTAAAATGTCTTCGCAATGGCGATTCGGGTCGATTCATACAGCTTACTGTGCTACAGGCCGCCGGCATTTCATTAAAAAAAAAAAATAGCTCTCGTGCCAGCAGCAGGCGAGTGTTCATGGGAGTGGCTTCTGGGACACTAATGGTGGCTTCCGGTAGCTTCAATCGCGTGTGCTGGATCGATGGATGGATGAATGGATGGATATGGCTGTACCCTTTAGATTGGGCGGTGGCTAGCGCCACCAAGCCGTAATACTTGATGTGCCATCCAGCTCCCCCTAGGGAAGATCAACAGTGAAGACTGGTGCAGACAGCGTAAGCCTCCGTGGCGCTAATTTTACCCTCCCCCTCAGCACCCTATTCTGGTACTATGTAGCCAGTACGGAGGCACTCGAAACATGCCTGGTCCTCCCCACCGCTACACCACCGGCTACGCCGGTAGTTTCACATGACCAGTTCGAAGCCTCGGCATGTTTTCTGAATTTTTTTCATTTGTGCTTGAAAAACACACGTGCGCGTGCGTTATGCGAGGCCTGTGGAACTCGTGATGTGTGTTTACATCGTGAGTGCTTTTCACTGCAGTCAAGTGAATATGGCACCGCTGGTGCCTGCACGGAAAAGCCTCACATTGGAGCAGGAAGTTTAACTGATATGTGACGTGAAAAAAAAGAGGCTGGCAAAAGTCTGAAATCACAAGACAATTTGAAATACCTGCCGTCCACATTATCAACTGTTCTGAAGAATAAGGATGCCATACTGGAATGCTTCGAAAAGAGTTTCTCAGCCAAACGAAAGTGCAATAGTGATTCTATGTATCCTGAAGTGAAAATATTGATTGAAGTGAATATCAAAGTGAAAATAACGATAGAAGTGCGAACCTTCCTGTAAATGGGCCTGCATTTACCGCAAAAGCCAAAGTCCTAGCCACCCGAATGGGCAAGCAAGATTTTAAGCACAGCAACGACTAGCTTTAACATTTCAACAGACAACACAGCATGTCTTCAAAATCGATCATTAGTGAAAGCGCAGTTGCGCTTTCACTAATGATCGATTTTGATCGAGACAACTCGGGAGAGGTGACTTTCTTTTACAAACTACTGCCGAAGTGCACGTACACTACACTGGGGGGAACCTCATCAAGGTGTAAACAAAGCGAAGAAAGCGTTACAGTGCTGTTTGTGCTAAAGGGACGGGGGAGGGCAAGCTTCCTTTGCTGACACTGGGGAAGTGGGCAAAGCCCCAGTGCTTCCGCAATGCAATAATACCCAAAGACTGCATATATACGGAAGCAACAGACGAGCCTGGATGACCGCAGTCGTTTTCAAGAGTATGTGTGCCTGCTCAATCGAAAGTTCAGGGTAAAGCAAAGGCGTGCGCTTCTTGGTATCGACAAGTGTTCCAGCCATGGCACGAATGAAAATCTGCAAGTGACCACTTTGGAATTTCCATCAGCAAATACGACCACAATATTGCAGCCCATGAACCAATGCAATATTGAGACAGCACGAAAGTTATACCAGAAAAGTATTTTACAACGGATGCTCGTTGCGTGTGATGCCGACAAGGGATACAGCATCAACTTACATGGAGCAGTGCATTTACTATGCTATTCATGGAAAGAACTGGCACCTGCAAATATTGCACACTGTTTTGCACACGCCGGCTTTTCTTAGTCGCACGCAGAAGACTCTGATGATGACTGCGACAATCTCTACGAATCTGTGAACAGCATCCTTAGCAGAGATCTGGAAGGCAACTTCGAATCATTCGCGATGGATGACGCAAACATACTCATTGCTGTCCCAGCTACGGATGCTGAAATAGTCGTCTTGCTTAGAGGCCCCGATGAGGAAGACGAGCCGCTAGACGAACAGCCTCGCGAAATACCAACAGTGGCACAAATGCAAGAAAGCCTCTGTCTGTTGCGAAATAGAATGGAGTGCGAGGGCGGTGACAATGACCTCATAGTTTGCCTAAACAAACTGGAGCAGGTACTTCTCACACCCAGCCAAAGCACCAATCAAAGCCAGCTGACTGACTTGTTTGTGTGTGAATAAAGGTTTGTTCCACTGAATACCACTTCTGCGAAGTTGTCATGGCTAACTTAGCTGTACTTGCTGAGCTTTTATGGGGCAGTCGCATATATCGAATTACCACTCATATCGAATTTTTTCGCCGTCCCACTGACTTCGTTATAATAAGGGCTTACCGTACCAATGGTCCTTCAGGACACCCTTTCGCACACAATTTCTTGGAACATTTATGTACACACTGCTATGTGCATCACCGTAGTCGCAACTAGAGTGTGATCTTTGTACATATATCAACCGGCCCGTCCAAACAACTCTGAATGTGTGTGCATGTCAATTTTTTTTCTCATTTATTTTATATCTCTCTATCTCTATCCTATTTCCGACCCTTATTACCCCACCCCTGTGCAGGGTAGCAAAACAGTTCTTCTACGTTAACCTCCCTATCTCTTCCTTTTATTCATTTCTCTCTCTTGTACATATACTTATATTGCTGCACCATTACCAAAGTGCAGTGCATGATGTCTATGCAGTCGCATGCAACCCCTATTGATGGCATAATGGTCATGAGAGAACAAACTTTGTGCAGAACAGCATGCGAGTGAAGCGAACAAAGATGTATGCACATAGTATTTTATACCTCCGGCATCATTTTGATATCAGTGGCTAAACCACAGCATCGATTAATCAGCTAGTATATTCTAACAAGAGTACTAGTGTTCAGACTTTCGAGGAATAGTGAGAATAACACAAAAAAGGGCACAAATACTCAAGGTCCATTTGTTTCTTTTGCACTCGGTAAATCGGTTTAATATTATACTGCATTCTGGGATTTGTTTCACAAGCTGAACACAGCAACGTTGGCACTGCAATAATCCTTTCAAAAAAGTGCAACTACACTCAAACCTCGATATAACGAACCCAGATGTGACGAAATATTGGTTATAACAAAGTAAATGAAAAATAGTCCAGCAATAGATATGTTAGGATTAAAGCTTTATAACAAATTTTCATGTAAGATGCAACTTTGTTATAACGAGGTTTGATTGTATCGTGCAAGGCTAGTTCATGAATTGTCTGCACCTACTTGCGAGATAGCGCAGAGTCTGTGCCGCACAAGATGGCTGCATTGGCCACAGCAGGCGACAAAGCTGACTGAGTTCGTGTCTAGTTTAACAGCGTCCGACAAGTACGTCAGGGAATGTTCTCTGGTAGTAGCAAATACCAGGCAACGTAAACAGCGTCTTGTCTTGTGAGCCACAAGCTATAAGACAACTGACCCATAGCAAATGACTCGTGGGACATCTGCACTCTCGTATTCATTCTGGCATCTCGTTGCTGCTACACTTGCTGAAGCATTTCCAACATGATGATGGCAACCGGACAGCACTACCATGAACCATTTCACATAGTGCAGGACATTCGTCGGCAAAAAAAAAGGTGGAACTCACTCAGGACTATATCTTTCGCTTTGGATTCACTCAGACTGAGACTTGTCAAAATTTTCCTGGGCCAAACTCACTCGAACCCAAGTTCTCCTAAATATTACTCACCCAGATTCACTCAGATTGAGGCTCACAGCTTGATCTGAGCCCAAATGAGTCAACTCATGAGTGATTTCGCCGACCTACGAAGCAAGGCGATTAGAATGAACCTACAGTCCTGTGTACTTTTGTCTTCTTTGTCTAGGTCAGTTGCACCACTTTTTGAAAGCTAATGCACGTACCAGCTGGGTCAAACCAAAATTTTCACACAAATCTCCAGCTTAGTGCATGAAAAGGGTGGCTATGAGGTATGAGCACTCAAAATTTGGTTGTCGCAGCCTTAAAATCGGACGCTTGAATGCTTAGACTCTCTCTCTGGGAGTGGGTACTACAAGCAGCAGGCACTTGTGATGCTTCTAGGCTTGTTGCTCACCTTACAGAAGTGGGTCAGTGCAGAAGCAAAAGTGGAAGCAGACGCCAGCAGTGTCTGCACCTGGCCCCTGTGCTCCTTGTACTTGGCAGCCACTTCCCAGACACTCTTCTGGTGCCACAAGTCATTCAGCTGCATGGTCTTATAGAAGCCCTGCAGCAGCTGCTGCTCACCAATCTGCACGAGGGCAATGATAGACATTTGTTTAGACTTAGAAGGCACACTAGACAGAGAAAAATAATTCTTCTTGTACAGTCAACGTCTGATTTCTCGTACGCCCGAAATTCCAGACATGCTCGATTTCCCAGACTCATCCGTGGCACCCTGAAGTTCCCCATAGAGTCAATGTATTAAAAAGTACGAAATCATGGACGTTCATAGCTTTTGCCATCCAATTTCCCAAACCTTTTACCACAAACTGCAGACTCGAAGTTACTATCGATGCCACCATTTTGATTGTTTTCAGATCCTCGAACCCACTGAGCCGCGGCTGTCGTACTCTCGAAACCGAAAATGCCGCAATCCAGCACACACCAATCCGTTGCCAGCCATAGCCTATAGACTACATGGTGCTGTGCAGCCTGTGCTCTAACAGTGGCAAAAGCTACGCTGTTGATCTATGGTCTGTCGTCGGCATGCTTGCAGACTTGTAGATGGCAGTTGTGCAACAGACCCTCCGGAACTGTTCTCACCACGCGAGCTTCATACTGGACGCTGAGACGCCCATCTCGCCCACAGTGAACAGCACGTATGACGAACTTCCACCTACGAATGTTACCTACGACGATCTGCACATTGCCATTGTTTCGATTCCAATCGGGATAACCATTGAGGGCTTCGCTGACACTAACAAAGACCTCAAGCTGTGTGCAGAATTGACCGAAGACGAACTCATTCGACAACTTACAAAGAACTCCGAGGACTCTGACACCCAGACCAAAAAGGCAGCGCCTATACAGCCAATGAGCTCGGAGTGGACGCGAGCACTTACACTGGTGTACAGCAACAGCATTACATAACTGAAATTGAGGCAGACATCATTACGAGCAACTGGAACGCCATGCAAATAAAAAGAAGCGACTTTTTTTGTCTTCTTCTTTCATTTTTTTGCACCTAAGTGCTTACAAAAGCTGGGGCGCCAGCCACATCACATTTCTTTTTCTTTCTTTCGACTCTTTTCAGAGCCACATAAATAATGCATTTTCTGAATCGCAAAAGCTCCTACCGTGACCCTCTCCGTTAGCAAAAAATACCTATTGAAAAGTGTCTTTTCACTTGCATTCGTTTCTTCAGACTGCCCAAATCTCCAGACCTTTTTGCGGTCCCTTGAGGATTCGAAAAATGAGGGACGTCGACTGCAGTAATAACTCTTTTACAATCACAATACCACCATGCCTGTCAGGAGAACACCTTTGGTAAGCGGGAAAACGCACCAAAAGAAAATGAGCATGGGGACGCAACATCGAAGTTCCCGCATAACTCGCTGGGCGTCATCCATTTTGACGGCATCTACTAGGGCTTGCATAGCCCGTAATCGGTAAAAATGGAGCGCATTGTCTACTGACCAAGCCAGAGATTAAACGTGCGAAGTTTCAGTAAATCTTGTTGGTCAACATAGCCAAAATAGGGAAAAAACACTTTCGAAATTTGTGGCATCACCATTGGAGGTTTCAGCAGGACATTCAAAAATGAAGCATTTAATATTGATTTTTTTTTTCTTTTAGACATACGGTAGCAAAATTGACAACACTTGGTTTTTCAGAGCATAATTTATTAGTCTAAACTAATTTTTTTGGAATACAAAGTTTTTTTGCGATACTGTCATTGATTTCATGTCATCAAAACCCTAGCACTTGAATGTCAGTGCAATGGCATGGAGCTTGGTCTTTCTTGCTTTCTTTTTTTGGCAACAATGGGTCAATAAATGTTCTGAGAACTTGTTTTGTGATGTCGATGATTTCCTTGAAGCACAGTATATTAATTAATTTTTACTGATAAAGAATTAAATAAGCCCTAGCATACAGAGTGAAAATCTGCATTGTCATGGCAAGTTACTTGGTGTGAAAACGTGAACACGGCGCCTCTACATGACTGTTCACGCTATCGAAAACACCACTCTTGGTGTGATAACATGACCGGTTAGCCATAAAAGTGGGAAGACTGTATGACACTATGCACTTTGATAAAACTTGGCACAGAACAAAGATTTCCAGAATGCCAGCTAAAGGTAGCCTGCTGTGTGCAATTTGGCACAGCAATAGGCCACATGCATCCCTCTATGAGTTCAGAACACTGGATGATAAATTAATGCTAGTGACATGCACAATTATGCATGCTATTGGTTCACACCTTGAGTGAGCCTCCACTGGCCAGTTTGGTGACAAGGGCCTCTGAAATTCCAATAAGTTCAGCCACTTGGAGCTCGTTTTCTTTCAGATCGCCATACTGCAATGGAAAGTGAGACTGCTGATAAAAATTATGCTAAATTTGTGGAGTCATTTGAGAGACCTCTTATACGCAACCACTATAGCTTTGTGATATCTAGAATTACAACCGACTTGATCTTACTTCTTACACTTTATGTGTGCTTGTGTGTGTATGTGTGGTTTGATGATTACGCGAATCTGCTGTTTGAATCATACCATTTCATTCACATACAATGCTTGTAGCTTCTTCAAGACATGATGCCTGTATCTTTGAGCAGGCTGTTCGTTTTTTCGCTTCGATATTTTATGGCAAAACCATCTTTGTTTTTTATTCATGCTTAAACCATAGCTACCATAACTGATCTTTTTTTTTTTTTTTCGATATCGATAGGTTTAAGTGCCTCATCAAACACTGGCTTTAAAAGTTTTGATGTGCGGTACAAAACCTCCTGGGACCTCAATAAATATCAGATAAATAAAATCGGGGTTAGAGCCTGAATTGAACACAGGTGCTGTGTATGGCAGTCAAGTATTCTATCACAGAGCTACAGCAGTGCTTGAAACCACTTTGATTATAACGCCAACAGATGTAATACTGCGTGGCAAATATGAAGAATCGCACCAGGCATTACACAATGCGAATTGTGCAATGAGTGGGTAGTTGAAAGCTGCCAACCCACTGCAAAGATTGATATGTGGGGTTTAACGTCCCAAAACCACTATATGATTATGAGAGACGCCGTAGTGGAGGGCTCCGGAAATTTAGACCACCTGGGGTTCTTTAACGTGCACCCAAATCTGAGCACACGGGCCTACAACATTTCCGCCTCCATCGGAAATGCAGCCGCCGCAGCCGGGATTTGAACCCGCGCCCTGCGGGTCAGCAGCCGAGTACCTTAGCCACTAGACCACCGCGGCGGGGCAACCCACTGCAAAGAGTTGAGCTATAATTATCATCATCAGCCACAACATCAAAATGTGCAGTTACTCGTGTGAGCTCTCAATATCCAATTATGATGATGATAAAACAGCCACACCAGCTAGCTTTTCCCTTTGAGTTGTATCAGATGAACACATTAAGGACCCTGTGAGTTTTTTTTGTGCAGCATTTATATGATAATACTATTTAATAATATCCAAGTACATCGTTAAACAATTTTATACTAAGAGACAACCAACAGATGTAAATCCAAAGAACGGTAGGAAGGGGAAGACGCAACCTTGCGATGAAAAATTCGTAAACAGGGGTTGTGTCGAGTCGACGTTTCGACAAGCGTACTACTTGTCTTCCTCAAGGCCGGAACAGAACTAAACGAGCGTTGTGTCGAGCCGACGTTTCAACACAACCCCTGTATACGAATTTTTCCTCGACCAACAGGTTTGAAGTAGGAGATGTTGTGAAGGCACACAGAATAAATCACTGCAAGGAACACGTGTAATCATCAGTACTTTACTGCCCTTGCCTAGCGTGCAGACATGCCACTACCTAGACTCACCAAGCGGTAGTATGTTGGGGGATCGAGCCTGGTATTGGGCAGCTGCCTTGGTGTGACCAAATGCAGCAGGTGTAGTGGGCATCGCAGGGACAAGGAGGACAGTGCTGCCCAGAGCTCTTGACGCAGAGTGTCTGCCATGGCCGGATCTACAAAGCCTGGGCATGCATTCACCAACAGTGCTGTCAAGCGACACTGCCAACAAGTCAGGAAAATTAATTGAATTCACTCACTCACTAAAAAATATTTTTATATTTTTATTTTTTGTTCGGCTCACTCAAGTCCACTCTAATAAAAATTCTACTCAGTTCAGCTCAGTTATGCTCAGATTGATGAAAAGCCTGCTCAACACAACTCACTTGGACTTGTGAATTTACTTATAATCTTACTCACCAGCAATTGCACGAACTTCAAACCACCATCGTTAGCTAGGCTATAACGTTGCTAACAAAACACAGCCAAAGACTTCTAGCACTGTTGTCGATACTCCCGTTTAAGGATAAACTTTCTAGGGTATGGTCCTGCTACCTAAAAAGTATACCATAACCTGATTTCATGGTGCCAGCTGACATGTCCAGCTGCATGAGAGGTTTTTTTTAAAAGCACATGCAAACCCTTTCATTTCCAATTTTCGGTGGCCCTCCCTAAACCTTTCTTGACCTTTTTGTGACTGGGTATGTACTTTCTTGTCTCTAGCAGTCTACAAAAAAAAAACAGGGACTGTTCTTTTCCTTCTTTTAGAACATTTGAGGTTAAAGGGTGAATAATTTCCCACTCTGTTCATTGCCACGAAGTGGTCCACAAGTGCGTGCATGGGAGTGTCTTTAGCAACACCTATGTGACATGAACCCTTCAAATAAAGATAGTGACTCCCTTTCTATCAGCCTATAGTTCATTTGCATCAGGTAGTTAAAGACAGCCAATACTCCAGATTTTCTAGCATAGTTATAGCACTGGTAATGGTGCAATCTGCACTTTCAGATAGAAAAAATAAAAATCAGTTTTAGGAATGCTATCTTCTCTCTTGATTGACCTCTTAACAACTGGTGCTGGGAGTTCACCTTGCTACAAAAACTCACAAAAAAGCATATAAATGCTTTGAAATTAGGGTGGTAGGCAGAAAGTGGAGAAAAATAACATCTTGTTCATTTCGAAATGTCTCAGCTGAATGACTAAGAATGTCACGAGATGGCGCCTTCATTTCCTGTTGTTTTGAATCTATCCATGCCGTGTAAATAGCAATGAGTGACGCACAGTCATCGCTGGCCCGAGCAGCGGTGGAGGGCACAATCATTTCAGTTCACATTCAAACAAAACAGCTGTACTTCTGGAGCATAGAGTCATCGTCCCTGAGGTAAGCAACTGTCACTTAGCTATGACACATGGACTCTATACGAAACTTCAAAAAAGTACAAGTTTACTCTCCTACCTTTGAAAGCAGCACACCCAAGTGGAGTAGCACGTAGCTCTCCACTAGAATTGTGTTTCAAGACAAGGCCAGCCGTACTAAGGTCATCAAGAGCTTGGCGCAGAGTTTGCAGTGGATCTTTGCCCTCCTTTCGTTGTTGCAGGGCAAGAAGGGTTGCTTCCATCACTCTGGAAAGAGAGTCCTCAGTCTTGGCAACCTGTCCAGAGACCAAATGTTTTTATATGCTTTAATGGGCATAAGACAATACATAATATAACCACAGAGAAAAACAAAATCGAACAATCTTTTTCAGAAACAGCCATAGCCTAGTAACGTATGCTGTCAGGCTAGTTGGTGTGTAACTGTGCAAAACATTGTTGGCACAAACTTTAAAGACGAAAAAAGAGACTCGGAAAAGCGCACACTCGCAACTGAATTTTATCGAACCGATGCTCGTCTTATAAAACCCTCACGCATGCGTACAACCACAAGAAGAGACCAACCAACTATAATCAAAATCTGTCATATAGAAAATCAAATTCATTATCATACAATGACAGAGATGGAACACTGATACATTGTTCGCCAAACTGTCGAATAAACATCGCCTCTGCCAATTCACGTGCCACTTTGTCTTTGCTTCTTAGCAATATTTTCGTACGGTGCATTAGCGGTTCACACAAGCATTCCTTACAATGATGCAGCAAATGCGAACCCGTGTGTGTAGGAAGTGCCGGTTTTCGCCCCCAAGGTAAAGTCTAAGGCTGTTGCCTTGTGTAATGAGCACGGACTGACAAGGCTGGCAAAGAGCATTAGTGAGTGCAAAAGAGACAAGCTATATGTATTTTTTAGTGCAAAAAGTCACAAACCAAATACGCCTTTTAGGACCATTGTCAGCGAAAATAGTATGTGGCAGGTAATGTCGAGTCGGTACTTGTTGAAACAATTTAACACTCTTTTGTTAGACGACCCGTTCGCTGTCAAGAATTCCTGTGACATAATTGAGTATCTTCAGGACAGTAGCTCTGTAGGACATTTTTTCTCTGTCGATGTCGAGGATCTCTTTTATTCTGTACCACACAGGGAGTTACTTGGGTGTGTGCAGTCGTGCATAGAGAACAATGGGTCTGTGTCTTTTATGAACCATGCCGGAGTTCCGGTAGAGAGTTTTTTAGCCCTCTTAGAATTATGTCTTAGAGCAACGTTTATTTCATTTGAAGACAAGTTGTTTCGACAAAAGGAAGGTAATTGTATTGATTCGTGTGTAGTGCCTGTGCTGTGTGATATCTTCCTGGCTTAGATTGACCGACACATTGACTCTGTTTTGTCCAGAGACAAGGTGTTACGCGTTTTTAGATACGTCGACGATTTTTTAGTTCTTTTGAAAAAGGAGTCAAATGAGCACTACTCTGCATGTGTCACTTTTGTTTTAGATAAGTTTAGAGCATTTGGACAAGGGCTCAAGTTTACACATGAGCTTCCTGTCAATGACGAATTCCAGTTTTTAGATCTTCATCTCAGGCTTGACAAAAACAACGTGTGTTGGATGTATCACCCTCGTGCTCAGAAGGCTTTTTTGCCATATCATTCCGCTCATTCTAAAGTAGTAAAAAGGGCCATTGCTAGTATGAGCTTGCAGTTGGCTCTTACTAGGTCTTACCACCACGTTCTTGATGTAAGTTTCAGGGAGCAAAAAACCAGGCTCGTATTTGCGGGTTTTCCTTTGTTGGTGTTAACGACAGTGTGCGAAGCTCTACTGAGAAAATGTCGACATGACGCCACCGGCGATTCTGGCACAAAGGAAAAAACACAGAAGCGACCTGTTGTCATTCCGTATGTGCACAGAGTGGCTCATTCATTGAAGCACGTCGCATTTCGTTTTGAGATCCCTGTCGTGTTCTTGGCACCTCGGAGGATTTCGTGCATTTGTGCTCGTTCGTGTGGCGTACCAAGTGCTCATTGTTTAAAGAAGCCCGAAAGAAAGTTTTTGAATTGTTTGGTAGGCATTGTGTACTTGAGTCTGCTCAGTTGTGGCAAGGTGTACATTGGCCAGTCGGGCCGTTGTATAAACGATCGCTTAAGGGAACATGCGCTGTCAAAAAGAAACGGCACGAGTTCGCATTTGCCGCATCATTGTAAGGAATGCTTGTGTGAACCGCTAATGCACCGTACGAAAATATTGCTAAGAAGCAAAGACAAAGTGGCACATGAATTGGCAGAGGCGATGTTTATTCGACAATTTGGCGCACAATGTATCAGTGTTCCATCTCTGTCATTGCATGATAATGAATTTGATTTTCTATCTGACAGATTGTGATTATAGTTGGTTGGTCTCTTCTTGTGGTTGTACGTATGCGTGAGGGTTTTATAAGACGAGCTTCGGTTCAATAAAAGTCAGTTGCGAGTGTGCGCTTTTCCGAGTCTCTTCTTTCGTCTTTAAAGTTTGCGCCAAAGATGTTTTGCACAGCCATAGCCAACCTTATTTTTATTAGTGCTTAAAAATATTTTGAGACTCCGAGCATAATAAAAGCTACCTCATATTTATTTTTCTGCTGCTGCATGAACTCCCTACATGAGCTGTAAATCTCAAAATGCATAACTCATGTAAAATGGTTGCCCTCCTAGATACTTCATTGCAGGTGCAAGTGGGGAGCCTAAAAGAAATTTTTCATTATTACGTAATTTAGCAAAGCCCTTACCTACAAAAACTGTGAATTTCTCCATTTGAAAATTTAGTGAAGCCCTAAAACCATACATTTCGCAATGCAAAGATTGCTGCGTGCTCCTTCCCCTCGCAATATTAACACGATAAATGCCTTACAGTAATTACATATTCAACAGCAAATAAATCAGGATAAGCAAATCTATAGTACATAAACTGGCAAGCTCTTTTTTTTCATATTGAATGGTTTTCTAAATTTCAATTACTCTTTTTAGTGCCAACTAGAGTATTGAAAACTTACATTTGATGACTTAATTTAATACCACCATCTTTCTTTTCAAGGGCGTAATAACACTGCTTGAGATAATACACACGAGAAGAACTGGCTTGTCACCTTAAACTATGCCCACAGCAAGCTGTCCAACATTGCATTGATTGTCTGTGCCATCAGATTATCCTGTACAAAGTGACAGTATGCTAAACTTACTTCCAGTCCTATCAAACTGAGCAACAACATTTTCAGGGCTTTCTGCTCATCTTGAAGAAGATTGGAATAGCAGCTGTCGACTGGAGCCTCCAGAAGCTTCCGCACCTAAGTAAACAAATAGAGGCAAAAAATTATATTGGGGCTTCAGGCTCATTATAATAACATCCGTGTGTTACCACGAAGCAGGACAGCACCTTTTCTTTATCTGTGTTGGGTACGATGAGAATGCTCTCTCCAGACGAGTCCATGCCTGCTCGCCCAGCACGTCCTGCCATTTGCTGATAGACGCTCCGGGTGAGGAACTCGGTGCCGGTGTATGGCGACTTGAGAATCACTCTGCAACAAACCACCGATGCTTGCAAATAAGTCAGCACTAATGAGACATCACTGCATATCCTACAGTATAGTTGCACGGGTCAACGATCGTGAACCAACAGTTACTATTATTGAAAGATCCCCGAGCATGCTTAACGATGATAGTGCCTGCTCGTGGTGAAATTGCCTTAACTTCAAACAAAACAGTCATTCTTATACAAGTAGTAAGAGCTTGCACTGCCCCAACAGTGCCGTTTGGGAGTTGCATGAATCAATAGGCAGCTTCCCTACACATAGACAAAACAAAATACCCACCGAGATGTAGTATGCCTATATAATAATAACCACAGAGATCAAATCTGTTTTTACCTTTCTCTAATTTCATGCATCATTGTGCAGAATGGATGCATTGACATTTCCAAATCTATGTTCATAAAACAGTCACAAATAAATAGAGTCAAACCAGAAATATTCAAATGCTTTGAATATTCAAATGAATACTACTGTTAATTGAATTTGCTTTGATTCGAATTTAAATTGTTGAAAATTTCAAAGAATTCGAAATGAACGAATAGGGGTATACTAATCTGCATTTAACACACTATAAAAGTGGTTTCACTGCAGTAGAAGGGTGCTAAAAGCCGTGAAAGCACCTATCTAACTGTATATTAGTTTGCACGTAACCCACTCTAAAGATGTTTTCACTGCAGTAAACCAGTACTAAACCGTGAAAACACCTATCGAGGATAAATCTATGCTGCCGCAAAGCTTCTCTTCTAAGGTTAAATGTCAATATACTACCCTCTACTCGACTCATATTTTTTTTTTAGTTTCAAAGCTTCTTATACCGGCTTAGATGCTCTAAGTATAGCAAATTTTAAAACGCAACATATTTACAAATTATCACTTGCATTCTACCGAAAGTCAAGTCCTGCTACTATTCAAAGTTGTTTCCACTTCCTTTGAACCAAGAAGAATGGTATTTGCACAGGTCTTGTTTCAACTTTAAAAAAAATATTGTGCAGGTTAGTTGGGTCATGACAAATATGCCCATTTTTCTTTTTAATACATGATATATACTATTCGAATCTGATTCGAAATTATTCGATTTGCTTTGAACCTAAAATTCACTATTTGCAAGCCTAACCATGTGGCATAAAATATTCTAAATCATTTTATACATTGGGTGAACAAGTTAGCTTCTCGGCATTGTTTTACAATACTACAAGGAAGGTGGCTTTACAGCATAAACAGGATCTTTCTATTTTCTATTGTGTAGTTTGTATTTGGCATGTGCGTTATGCAGGGCTAAATGAAATATTGATGTAAGCAGTGCATCGTCTGAATGACTGCTTTTTATTTTCTGAATACATGCAAGTAGGGCATATCTCAACGTGAATAAAAAAAAGTCTGATCTTTTGCTTTTCACACAGCAAAGGGCGACCACGTATGACAGGCAGCACTATTGGAGGAATATTACTGGAGGAAACATGAGATGGCAAGCGGTAGTTTCTACACGATCTACCCGACACCCTTCTAATCACACCGCTCACTCTCCCAAATGAATGCGAGCAACCTCCTTTTCACAAGGAAAAGCCACCTTTTTAGCAACAACTTGTATATTTGGGTGAGTCGGTTCATCTTGCAAACAGCTTGAAGCAAAGTGAAAGAAAAAGTAGGACAATGAAGGAACACACACAAGCAGTGCTTGTCCTTTTAGAGTGGTCCTATGTTGTCCTCGTTTTTTCTCACTGCTTCAAGTTATTCGCCACCTTCCAAGGTCATTTTTGCTTCCCGACGTTTTATCTAAACTTTCTGGCGATTTCTGTTCAGCACAGCCGTAAATTTTCCTGTGCACTAACATTAAATCATTGTCAAGTTCAAAAAGTAGTTTGAGATAAAGAACAATTTGATTTACCCAAGTTTGATACAGTATTGTAGGGTTCGACTGACATATCCTACATAAAACTGAATCGTATATAATACATTTGACTTGTAATTCAAAATATCAGCATATTCGCGCACCGCTACCAGCGACCTAATTTGCGGTAACTATTTACTGAGTCAAATTTTAATCACACTCTTGTAAAAGATAAGTAAAAAGAGGTAGCACCTCTTGGCTGGCAGGTTGACACCAGCCGCCAGAGTCGAAGTACACGTAAGACAGCAGAGCACACCAGAAGTGTACGCATCTTCCACAATGCGGCGTTCCTCCACCGTCAGTCCGCTGTGGTGGTAGGCCACACCCATGGGCAGAGTTTGCCGCAAAACCCGACAAACCTGCCCCAATTCCGCACGCAGCGTCTGCAGCAGGGCTTCCTTCTGCTCACGCTTGTGGTCCAATAACGATCTGAAATGTAGCCATTGAAGAGCACTGTTCGGACAGCTGTGGTGAAATAATCAAGGTTGTAATAGCATCAAAGATGAAGTGGCTAGACCAATAAGAGTGAACAGCATTCACTCAGCTTTAACTATACAGTAGACTCTCAGTAATCGGAAATCTCTTAAGTGAAATAGCTCTCTAAATGGAACAGTTCTTTCTTGTATGATTGGTTTCGGCCTTGTATATAGAAATTCTGTTCAACTCTCAGTTAATGGAACTTCTATCCAAAGGAACATACTTTCCTAGTCTATTCAGGTTGCGTATAGTAAGAGTCTACTGAATTTACTGGTTCATTCTTCAAAACTGCGTTGCAATATGCAGGATTGCCTGTCTAGGAGACGGAATTCTCACTGTAAACATTGTTACTGGCAGTGCAAACACTGCTTTGTTAGGAGCATTTAACATTTAGGACAACACCCAACACATTTTTAACTCTCTATGTCAGACACTAGTCTAGTCGCATAAATAAAGCTCTTGAACTGATTGCCTGCAGAAACCAGCAGAATATCTATGTCTGTAACATAATGTATAAGACTCAGATGCAGGCAATGACAATCACTTACTGTGGCAGGAAACGAGCCAGAAGCAAAGCCACGCTCTCACAGTTTTGCTTTGTTGGGCAGAAGACGAGACAAGAGTGCTGCGGAACCGTCTCTGCTACCAGGAGAGACAGCTGCTCGGGATCCTGCATCTGGGCTTTCTACAGTACAGATGTGGCACGAACACAGGTCTGATAAGCAGAGCTGACATCGCAAGCAATATTCGCAGGCAGAAACTTCTTTATTCAAAAGTGCAGCAAACATTTCAGGAAATTTTATACTACTTAACATGCAATGCAGTGTCACGAAATATATGTCACTGTTCCAGTGAGAACAATGTCATGGCTTCAATTGCCAGCTGCACCAGCCTCATTCTAATGAAAGTGGCAGGAAACAAAAAAAGCTATACAAGTGCATCGAGATTTTAAAAAAAGTTGAGGGCCTCACTTAGTTACAACCTCCCATAGAGCCCTCCATGACAGTATCTCTAAAAGTCACTGTACTGCTTTGAGAAATCAAATGCTACCAATCATGAATCAGCGAATTAATCTATGTTCATGTAGTGCATACAAGTAAAAATGTTCAAGCTACTTACTCTTTCCTTTAGTGTGCCTTTAAGCTCTGTAATAGAGTTATCAATGAATGTTCACAGTGGCAAAGCTTTGAAATGAGGTATGGTTTTCCTTCCCTTGTAAAGTCTTAAATGTCATATGTATCATTAGGTTGCCACTACAAGCAGGCAGTCAACGTCAGTGGCACATTTAGTTGACTGCACACTTTTTGTAAGGTGGTGCACTTCAGGCATGCTAGAGGTCAAAGCCCAATAATATCTTGAACTTTAGATGCACTATGAAAAAAATATGACAGAAACTACCTTGGGAAGTTTGCGGACAAGACGAAAAGGTTCCTCTTCGCATTTTCCCTGTTGCTCAAAAATGTAATCTTCCACTTTGACGTACTCCCTCAATTCAACCTGTTCGAGAATATAACAAGGGCATATCTTGAAGTGTTTCCACAAACCAGCGTACAACTCACGAATGAAATATTTTTTTCAACAAGTTAGTCTAATGCCAGAGAATCGTACGTGCATCAAGGAGGAGGTTTGGTACTAACAATATATGAGCCGTTAAGTCAGAATGCGGACTCAAATGTCAGCTTCACTTCCCACATTATTAGGCAGTCATCACACTGACAACTTAATAAAGACGGAGGCACTGCACTCCCACAATAATTCACAACACTGTTCAGTACTGATAGTTTCAAGGGGTCCTAAAACGACTCCTCAAATTATTTAGCTTAAGATACATGATAAGACTTTTATAGAAGAAAAAAAAAATTTTGCAAGCATTTCATACACACAATGCAGCAACAAATGTAAAAAATTGACCAAATCTTAAGTCTTTTAGATAAAGGTTAGTTCGTTCTTTTAAAAGGACCAACAACTGACCACAAAATGTGATTAGATCCTAGTATAAATGAAAAGACCATGAAATAAAATCATAGAGTCCAGCATTTTTTTCGCATTGTGAGTAGAATTTATATTTTTAAATTGCACATAAAAGTAACAAAAACCATCATGTGGCACAACCCAGCTGAAGAGGATTGAAGCTGGATTATGAAATATCGAGTTGATCACGTTGCTGTACATAGTCGCGTAGCCTGATGCTGACATGAGTGCCAGTCCTCAAAACAGAGTTTGAATATTATTACCCGGCCCCGCTAAATTCTGCACTGCTTACGACTTAAAAGGAGTTGCGCGGTGAGAAGCAGCGCTGCTGTCGAGCCACGGTGCATGTGCAGTAAAGTACCATGCTCGAACAAGAACCCCTCTAGCGCTCACTGTTAGCAGCATGCAAGTATACAGCTTCATATTTGCTACAGATTTCCAATTCAGATTACAAGTGCTTTACGGCGTTTTTCACTTTGTTATTCCGTGACTAGACTCGCTTATTGGTAATCTTTTCGCTCCACTAAAAAAAAATGGCACCAATAAAATTGGTTGTCGGTCCCTTTAAAGAGCGATCTCATATGCATTAACAAGTTCATAAAAAATATTCATATTCAATTCAACTGATAGTTTAAATTAAATGTAGCTTACTTGAAAGTAACGTTCCAATCAAACGGACAATTCCGGTATGATAGGCATGCCCTTATACCTCACACCGAAATCTGAGATGGTGAAGGAGTTGTTTACTTACGTTAAGTATAGAGGAAACTGACTGCGCACACATATACATATCAATTTGTAAGATGCAAATGAAAGACAACAGGATGAGGATGCACGTATTTTAAAAGGTGACAAGACCTTATGAAGTGAGACCTCAACAATGTGAAATGCTTGGCTTAGAACGAAGCCGGTAGGACATACCGGGCGAAAGGACCCGACGAAAACCTCTGCACTGAGAAAGGAAGCAAGGTCGTCCATATTTCCAATAGTGGCACTCATGCCCACAATTTGAGTTTGTGCTGAAAAAGAAGGAAGTGTAAGGCATTGTTTTGGCTGCAAGACACTTCTTTTACTTGCCGAGCCTCTGCCCGACAACACAGGTCGGACTGATGATGATGAGTATGTACATATAAGATGACGCGCATGAATAATGCTCACACTTATTTCCCCCCCACGCGTGAGCGGCCAGCCCTGACGCGTCTTCGACGGAAACGGAACGTCGAACGAATGGCTTCAGACATGATACGTGGACAATCTCCGAACCACGACAGCGACGATCCGAAGAAAGGTCGCTGGGAGTGACACGGTAGTTCACTGGTGACGTTTGTTCATTGATTGTATAGGGTCCAATGAAGCGTGACTGAAATTTATCGCACAATCCTGGAGTACGAATGGGCATCCAAAGCAACACTTCATCCCCCGAACTGAAGGAGACGTCGCGATGAGAGCTGTCGTAGCGCTGCTTGCGATCTTGCTGATTGGCTTCTGTATTAAGGGGAGCCCGTTGCCGACATTGCTCGAGCCTTCTGATGAACTGCTCTGAAACGGTTGCCGAGGCGTCACTTGGAACATTTAGGAAAGAGACGTCGATGGTGAATGTCGGTGAACGGCCGTAAACGAGGTAGAAAGACGAGGTAGCCAGGATTCTTTGAACAGCGGTGTTATGGGCAAATGTCACAAAAGGCAAAATCCTATCCCAGTTGTCGTGGTTTGATGCGATGTACATCGATAGCATGTCTGTTAGTGTCCGATGAAATCTCTCTGTCAGCCCATTAGTTTGGGGGTGGTATGCTGACTTCGTCTTATGTACTGTACCAAAGGTTGTGAGCAGGGTTTCGATTATGGTGGACAGGAACGTTTTGCTGCGATCACTCAGGAGGACGCAAGGTGCACCGTGAGGCAATACAATGGCGTTGAGAAAGAAGCCTGCGACGTCTGAAGCAGAACTTGTGCGTAGTGCAGTAGTCTCTGCGAACCGTGTCAGGTGATCGACAGCAGTCACAATCCAACGATTATCTGCTGGCGTGATGGGGAGAGGTCCTGCTAGGTCTATGCCAACGATGGCGAAAGGAGTCTCGGGACACGGGATGGGTTGCAGAAGGCCAGCAGAAGACAAAGTTGGTCGCTTCCGCCGTTGACACAGATGGCAAGACGCAACGTACTTGGCCACAAAGGTAGAGATGCCAGGCCAGAAGAAACGTTTCCTGATGCGGCATTGTGTTTTGTGAAATCCCAAGTGGCCTGCACATGGGTCGTCGTGAAAGGCTTCGAGGACTTCGTGACATAGAGAACGCGGAAGTACTGGAACCCAGCGGTGTCCATCAGTAGTGTAAACGTAACGATGGAGCACATTGTTATCGAGCTTAAATTGCCGTAGTTGTCGGCGCAATCTAGCATTAAGAGTAGGTTATGTACCATTTAGCCGTTGAATAATGCTATTGCAATATGGATCATCGCGCTGGCGTGTGGCTAACTCGGTGCAGTGATTTGAAGCCGGGGTGTCGATAACCGCAAGTTGCGATAATGTGAGGGGTGCAAAGTGTTTTGCCCACCAGACGAGCAATTACCTGACGTACTCGATGATGACAGTGGAAGGGGGCAACGAGAGAGAGCATCTGCATCTTGGTGTCTTTTGCCAGACTTATAGGTGACGTCAAAATCGTACTCTTGTAGGCGGAGCACCCAACGACCGAGGCGGCCAGACAAGTTTTTCAGTGACAATAGCCAGCACAAGGCGTGATGGTCTGTAATAACTGTGAAGTGGCGTCCGTAAAGATACGGTCGAAATTTTTGTACGGCCCAAACGACAGCAAGGCACTCCTGCTCAGTTATGGAGTAGTTCTGTTCAGCAGCCGTAAGAGCACGACTAGCATACGCAATAACTCTTTTTCGTGAAGTGGCATCCCGCTGTAGAAGAACTGCACCAATGCCATGGCCACTCGCGTCGGTGTGGAGACTTGTAGGTGCGTTCTTGTCGAAATGGCACAGAACAGGGTCGGATGTTAGAGCATGCTTGAGGGCTTGAAAGGCACGCTCGCAGTCATCGTCCCAAGCGACAGTTGACCCGGATGTCAGCAGCTTATGCAGTGGTGACGCGATGGCAGCAAAATGGCTGATGAAGCGCCGTAAGTAGGACGCCAGGCCCAGGAAACTTCGTAGGTGTTTCTGATTTTCTGGCCGAGGGAAGCGTATCACAGCAGCAAGCTTGTCAGGATACGGGCGAACACCATCTCGATAACGTTCACCCGGATCCTGACAAGCTTCATGCTCTTGTTGGCATCAAGCTTGATGTTCTTGTTGGCGAAATGGCATTTCTTTGTGTTTAGCTGAAGTCTAGCATTAGAAATACACGTCAAAACTTCATCTAAACGATCAAGGTGCTGACGAAAGGAAGTGGAGGAAATAACGATGTCATCTAGATAACAGAGACATTTTTTCCAATTTAGGCCACGTAGAACTGTGTTAATCATACGTTCAAACGTGGCAGGAGCATTACATAAACCGAATGGCATCACGTTAAATTCATACAGCCCGTCTGGTGTTGCAAAGGCAGTTTTTTTCTTTGTCCGCTTCGTGCATAGGTATTTGCCAATAACCAGACCGTAAATCCAGGCTGGAGAAAAATTCAGAGCCTTGCAGAGAGTCAAGTGCGTCGTCGACTCGTGGAATCGGGTACACATCTTTTCGCGTGATCTTATTAAGTGCTCGATAATCGACGCAGAATCGCACCGAACCATCCTTCTTTCGGACTAGCACTACAGGTGATGACCACGAGTTGGACGAAGGCCGGATAACATCTCGTTTGAGCATATAAGCAACGTTGTTGTCGATGATTTTCCGCGCTGCGGATGACACTCCTTATGGGCGGCGGCGTACAATTGTATTGCCTTCCGCTTCAATGCTATGTACGGCGACGAAAGTGCGACCCAAAAGCTTGGAAATTACATCAAATGAAGCACTGTGTTTTTGAAGTATACCCAAAGGTTCTTGCTTTTGCGCTGACGTGAGATCGGAATTTATTGTAGCTGTTAAAACAGCTATCGTAGCATCGTCATCAGTACTCGTAGAGAAAGATGGTGCGTCTGCGTGAAGGGGCACCAGAGAAAGTGATTCGGTATATGTGAAGCAAACCACACTAGTGCCCTGGGGCAGTGCAAAAGGCAAAGAAGTAGGGTTAACTGCCGTAACTAATGCTCTGCCATCATGAAAGCGCACCAGGCTAGGAGCGATGGTAAGTCCACCAGAGATGTAGCGTCCACACGGTGCTAGGAACACATCACCAGTACTGATCTTATCTGATGTTAGGGTCAGAATGTGCTCATTGCCTGGAGGAATAAAACAGTCATCAGCGGTGACGAAGCGCTGGCTATGAGCATCTTTATCGGACGAAAGCGCAGTATCTGACATACGAATGACCCTCTGACGGCAAGATATCACGGCTGAAGCTGAGGAGAGAAAGTCCCACCCTAAAATGAGCGCATTAGTACACGATGACAGAACGAGGAACTGTATATGATGAAGGATGCTCTCAATAAAAACTCGTGCTGTGCAAACACCAGAAGGCTGAACAAAAACCGCATTAGCACAGCGAAGGGGAGGGCCATCATATGGTGTCTTCACTTTGCGTAAACGGGAACACAAGTCCACACTAATAACTGAGAGTGATGCACCCGTGTCCACCAAGGCTTCATTCAGTCCATATACCCTCAACACACACTGAAAGTACATTTGAAGGGCGTTCCCAAGGAGTTCGATGCAGTCCGCCAAATGCAGCTTTCCCTCCTGAAGCTGCACTGTTTAGTTTTCCGGGCGGTGATCAGACGCCGTGGTAGCCGGACGAAGTGGTGACGAGGAATGGCGCATAGGTGACGGGGAACGACGGCGCGAGGTGCGGAAGGTACTGGCTGCGTCGAAGTGCTGTGGAGATGGTGAGCGGCGTTGGTACAGTTGGTATGGGGGGCGATGTTGTGGAGCAGGGGCAAACTCATCCTTCTCGAAGTTACCATAGCCCCGCTTTTCGTCTTGTTGACGTCGACGACACAACTGTGAAATGTGGCCACGTATTCCGCAATGATAGCAAACCGGTCGAGTTGGACGCCAGGCATGGAAAGAAGGAGGTGCCCTTGGGGCGAGGGCATTCAGTGAGGGCTGCGTAGTTGACACATACTGCGACGATTGCTGAGAAGGTGACGCTGCAACCACCTGAGCGTAGATCGTCTTTGGAGTGGTATGCGAGCTCGGGACTTGCTCACTTGTCATGGACGCTAGTTTCTCCCTCACAATGTTGCAGAGGCTGCCTGCAGAAGGCGTTATGCGGAGCTCATAAGACGACGAGGTGGCCTGGAGTTGCAGCTCTTCGCGGATCATGGACCGTATCAACGCACGGAGCTCATTGTCAGTCGTTGGCCTGAGATCTCCTGTGACAGGTTGTAAACGTATAAGTTGAAGGTCATCGAGTCGCTGACAAGTACTGATGATATCCGCGATCGTGGTGGGGTTCTTTTCCGCTAAAGCGTTAAATGCGGTGGCGCCTATGCCCTTGAGCAGGTGGCGAACGCGGTCATGTTCCGCCATCGAGCTGTCGACGCGACGGCATAGGGCGAGGACATCTTCAATGTACAAAGTATAAGACTCGCCAGAGTGCTGAACACGTTCAGCAAGCTTCCGTTTGGCTATGTCTACACGGACAGAAGGGTTGGCAAATATCTGACGGAGCTGCTGCTTAAAGGTAGGCCAGTCCGGGAAATCCAGTTGATGGATGAGAAACCATGTCCTAGCGACCGCCGTCAGATAGAACGGTACACGAGACAGCTTCACAGAATCATGCCAATAGTTAAGCGCACTCACACGGTCGTACTCATCAAATCAGTCTTCAACGTCTTCACCGCGAAGGCCGGCAAACATCGGGGGATCTTTTTGAGGGGCAGTGACAGTCCATGAGGGCATGCCCAGGGGTTTAGGCGGGATGGATGGAGCCGTGTTGTTGTGCTCGTCTTGAGACATGACCGTGGGCTGACTGCGCAGACGGCGACCCGACCGGAGCTCCAGGCATGGTTAGCGCTGCAGAGAGAGGACCAGGGGACCGGAAAGCACCCTCCACCACTTGTAAGGCAACGTTTTGGCTGCAAGACACTTCTTTTAGTTGCCGAGCCTCTGCCCCACAACACAGGTCAGACTGATGATGATGAGTATGTACATATGATAAGATGATGCGCACGAATAATGCTCACAGAAGGTACAAACATTTCCTCATACAATGTGGCAACACTTGAAGGAAACATGGTTTAAACAGTCTGAGAGACAACAGGTCTTCTGTACGAGCTCTCAGAAGTCTCAACACATTGAAGTTACTAAAGTATGCACCAATATAGAGCGAGCAATGACTTACAGCCTACACAGACAAGTATTCATATAAAAAATCAGTACCCAATCAGTACACTAAGCGAATAACTGTGTCCAACAACTTTGAAAAGCAGTTTTCAACTTATTCCAAGGGTCCATCACCAATTTAAACATCACATCGCATACTGTATCGTAGCAGTTTAGGTGAACCTGATGTACAACAAGAACAAGCAAATGAATAGGGTCCACTAGGAGTAATGTCAACAAGGTAATAGCCTCGAGTGATGCAATGGCCACTGTTAAGGCAAATATGCATACCAGCACACCTATGGTACAAAGTGTGAACCCTCATCTCAGAAAAGAACAGGACTCACGGGAGATGTGCTTGACTTTAACAAGTGTGCTTTCAAGTATGGCCCCTCTGCTGCTCCCAGCGCCCAGCATATGTAGCTGGAAAACCAAAAGGGGGGGGATTCTTAGTACACTGCAGCATGCTGTGCAAACCCTTGCAAAATGATGTAGAATAACAGCACCAGACATTCCAGCCTTACAATATAAAGAGGCTAAAAGTTGTGCTAAAAGCTCCTGCATGCATTAATCACTTATGTTGACACTGCTCCTAAACATCTTGATGAACAGGCAGTGTACCCCATAGTAATATGTAGAATTATATACACCATGAAAAAATATATGTTATGTTCATTCATGAGATAGTTCTACTGCAGCATTAAAAACTTCAACTGCCAATACACATTGATTGAATAGATTGGTGCAGTCATTGCAATAAATAAGAATAACCAACCAGCAAATCATTCTCCAAAAAGTTTCTCAGTAATTGTATCTAATGTAACATTCGTAATTATTTGTACCTTAGTTGGATACAAATTTTTTCAAAGATTGCACAAATATCAGCTACAAGCAAAATTAAACCTGAATGTTCTTACAAGCATTCTTAAACTAAATCTTTCTAATTTTGGTCATGTCACACGGGCTTCTAGTTAGGTGTAGCATAACTTAACCTTAATCAAAACGCGAGGTCACATAACATGATCAAAAGGGTAACTTTAAGCCCTGATATAACAATAATATAAAGAATTTACGTGATAAGATTCGCTACTGAAATCAAGCAGGAACGATTTCAAAATTTTTTTATGGGGGGGGGGGGGGGGGGGGACTACGACAGGCGAGTTCGTTCATCATAGGGGCAGGAATGATGGGCTGTGTTCTGAATACGGTTTACTCATGAGTAGCCAAAGTGGGGACAGGTGAAAATCTTAAAAGCGAACCGGCCCCTGAAATCGAGCTGCCACATTACTGCAAGAAAGCTTCCACATTGTGTCTCATAATGTCAAGTATACACAACAAAATTATGTTGCTCCTGTCAAACTGATACCTCAGGATGAAAAAACACTGACTGCTTGCGCATCACTGACACCCAATATAGGCGCCATAGTGCAGCTACAGCAAATATGAATCACCTCATCAACCACGAGCAGGCCTAGTTCGCTTAGCCTGTTTTGTTCGATCAGTGAGTCCACCAGGAAGTGCGCCTTTTCAATGGTGGCAAAGTAGACGGCACAGCGCTGCTTTCTTTTGGGAGGTGGCAGCGCACCCCTACTGCCTGCATACTCTTCCACCAGAAAGTTGAGGTCCACTCCAAAGCTCGACATGGACCGCACCTTCATTGGAAAAATAAAATACACACTTTGCTTGCACATACAGCCCATGGCCAGACCACCCTGTGCTGTTCACGACATGAGTGAGCAAAATACAGAGCACTACTACTTCAGCTACAGAAGCACTCAAGAAACAATGCTGCGAAAGGGTTGATAAAAACTGCAGTTGGCAATTGAATTATCAAGACTAAATCACTAAACTCATTAGGAAATATAATTAAATAATTTACTTATACCTTGTATTCATGACAGTAACGAAACATGCACACTAACTGAAAAACAGGAAATAATTAAATGAAGCTCTGATTGCTTCTGTTCAGATTTGAGAATGTAATTATTCTGCCAATGTAGGTTCGCATCGAGCCTTATGCATTCTACTAAGATGACTTGCATTCTTTTACCCAGCCAACATACCCCTTTTGAGCCATGGCCCTGAATTTAACCAATGTATTACCTAGTAGAGTGTATTGTTGGCACACAATCTGATTAGAATGCCACAGATGCAAAAGCGAATGATTACGATACGCACCTTCTCCTGAACAATGGACACATATGGAAGTATGAAGAGTACATTTTTGCGTGAGCACAGTATCTCCTTGAAGGCCAAGATTTCGGCGACCAGAGTCTTGCCTCCACTTGTTGGAAGTGAGTAGATAAGGTTCTTCCTCTGACTGAGAGCAGGAAGGCTTAGGCATTCCTTTTGCCAATCTGTAAAAACAACAGAACAAAAACCGATGCCCAATGTTTGAGGTGACCTTACCCATTGAATAACAGACATCAAATGCAGCAACGATGAAGCAACTGAATTGCACAAGGATATGTGCAGTTAGCTGATGAGCTATTGTTGATTATTTTTCTCTGCTACTTATGCATCGTAGAAAATATCCTGAATAAAAAAAATGAGCAAAGCATTATTTTCACTTTTACTCTATAGAAGTTCAAAATCTAAGCTGGTAAAGTTGAATTGCAAAACATCAAATAGAGCAGCGGTTCTCAAATGGGGGTCCGCAGAACCTATGAGGTCCGCGAAGCCATTTGTATGATCTGCGAAACCTTCACCCGCATTTTTCTTTACGCGTGACTGTGCCACATATATGAACTATCCAAAATGAAATGATGTGGCACGTTTGTTTGATGTTTTTGGTAGCAATAAAAGGCACCTGCTTCACGCTCCAGTTGTGTTAATTTACCTACGTACCACCCTCTCTCCCCTCCGCTGCAAGGAGTGCCCCATCACTTCCACCAGTCCACAACGGGTTCTTGACACATGGCTGAGAACCACTGCAATAGAGCTATTGATATGTTTATTTAGGGTAAATCATGAAAACAATCCAATTAATTCCTTGACTGCTTGCACACAGGTGCACCTACCGATATTCTAAAAATTGCAGCAACCAACAAGGCGAGGAGGGAAAGAATGACAACTACATGCCCTAAATTACGATAGTGAACACAGTACACCATAAGGTTACTCAAACAATATAAGCAGCAAACATTACAAAATAAAAATCAATTTTACTCACTAGAACTACAACAATAACTATGCTGTGAGCCTTCTCTAATATTTAAGAAAAAAATCTTTCTCATTTTTTTACTAAATGTAAAAACAGTGGTGACCACAGCTCGCAAAGCGTCATTTCTAATCCCAGTTTTGCCCTGCACACTTTACACAAGGAACAAAGAAACAATAAGTGGCTTACACAGAGACAGTTATTATAATAATTGTTATCATTACTACTATTTGCACTGTAGAAATATGAAAAGGCCCTTTTGCACATTCTCGGTCCGGCTATGCCTTATCCTGCCCAGCGGGGAAGGATAGTGGAAAGAATAAACAGCACAGCAACAACAGCAACAAAAGACAGATATGGAAAGCAGGGGTAGTGCATCAGGCTAGAAAGACAAGAACAAAGCTGTTGTCTTTTTTATTAATGCAGTTCTATTGAAATGTCCACTTATGCAAGCTAGTGAGGCAAGAAAAATAAGAGAGAGAGAGCTGCAGCATTGCTGGTTCAAATTTGACAGGAAAAAAAAAAAAAATGAACCAGGGTTTTCTCTCCATTTTCTAGTTTTTAACATTATGTGTTCTTTAGGTTAGTGAAATATTATTATGCAAATTTACATATTATCACATTAGTACTTACAAAATATATTTTGCTATTATTATTATTAGCAGTATTAGTACATTATTTTACACATGGGGAACCTAAGAAAAAAAATTTCCAAAAAAAGCAAAAAAAAAAAGCCGTTTCTGTTCATTATCCGGTTTAAGCACTGTGGCAAATAGCACGATACTAAATTCTGAACTGAAATGCTTGAAGAGGCTGACAATGCTAGAAAATTAATGCATACTATGATTACCTATGAATTGCAGCTAGTGAGTTTAAGGCATATTTGATTGCAACAGTTTTTTCATATGGCTTATGTTTTAAGACGAATGCCATCCCACTTTAGCACCAACTGTTCTTTGTTTGTCTGTTTAATTTTATCACAAACTGTATTTTTATTTTTTTTGAAGACAGGCATGTTTGGAGAGTTAGTGTAGGTTTCGTGATAAGTATATATAAAACAGCGCTTAACACATGGAGTGGAGGAAGAATTGGCACACACACGGAAGAAATCACTTTTTCCTCGAGATCTGTCCCGTGTGTTTAAGCGCTGTTTCGTGTTTGTCTTTTCATTTTTTTACAGGTCAAGAAGCAAACAGAACAGGAATGCAATATTTTGTCCTACATTTTGGGAACTTATGTCGAAACTGTTGTCACAATGTGCTTGCACGTGCGTACCGAGTCCCACAGGATGACGTCATAGTCGCCTTCCTAATTGATTTATCATTTGATTTGGACATGGAAGGCTGATTAACGTCGCTGGAAACGGCACGCGTGGTCTATGTAATATGTATAGCAGTTACCTAGGTCGTCGATTCTTCAACTGCAACAAAAAGTTGTCCCAAACAAAGAAAATGGCTTAACTAGTTTGACAGCGGCTTACCGTACAGCTGTGTGATGCCATGATGCAACTCTATCAAGCTGCGCACAATAACAGGCAAGCCGAAAAAGGTGTCTTCACAGAGGGTATCCGGAAGCGTTTGGTTCTGTGTGAGAGGCAGGCACAGCAACTTCCTCGTGTTTTCTCGGAGCTTTTCCTTCACTCTTTCAATGAGGGAAATCGATCCAGTCTGGTTGAGTGGACTTAATCCTCCGAGAAAAGAATTGTCGACGAGCTGCAGCTCGGAGTGGCACTCTGCAATTTAAACAATCGCACGCGTTGCAGCAGCGTTTCCATAGTATCGCCGCAGCTAACTCACCCGTGAAGCTCATGTTTCTCTGTTGGTCATTATCTTCAACAATACGATTCAGCTGGTCCAATCCACAAAGACGTCGTTTTGAGACGCTCTCTGAAACGCGAACAAAGTGCAAGTTACACAAGACATTTGTCTCAGCAATACGTACCGCACGCATCAACAATTACAGAACAAGCTCACCAGTGAAGCTCAGTATTTCCCTTGTTTAATTACATCACCTCGATAGGCTATTCTCACACTGCGCGAAAGGAAGAAAGCAATTTGAAACTTTGGCGGCTAAAGCAGCCTACAGAGTTAAAATCTTGATTAGAATACAGTAGATTGACTGCGAAGCAAGCACACGTTCCGGCTTGTCAACGTTGACAGGCAAAAGAGGGCAGCACAATTTTGAGCTAGACGTGGTTGCAGTTGTCAGAAGGCCTACGGTGTCCCATGCTCTGAAATTTTGATCTAACATGAACTTTCGAACTTTTGTTGAACAAAAAGCTTGCTTGTTTATGCTTTGTGTTAACTTTTGTACGTGTTTCTCGATACCGTTGTTATGCATGTGTGGTTGCGCTTAACACGGGGATAGCAACCCCAAGCAGCTTTGAGAGTTTTCTTTCAAGTACCGCATTCTCATTACTTGATTTTTTTAAGTGAGATTGTTTTTCGCCAGTCATGTCAATAACACTTTTTTTTTTCATTGCAAGCGTAAGCAAATCCAAAGCCTTGTTGGGAAAGCCAACGCTTATAGCTTTTTTAGTTGTAGACTCTTCACCCAGGTGACGCTATTGGCGCTACTGCGGCAACAAACTCCACGCAGCAGACGACAAAGCGCGAGTGAATGCCGCGCATGCAGCTGCTATGCGCACATATTGAATTTCTTGAAAAAGCAAGGACAAGTATGACTAGTTTTTCTCTTTAGGTAATCGTGAACGTTTAATACATTAGCAAAAATGTTGGAAAGCGCGTTAGATGGTGCTCCGTATTGCACCACCAGTGCTTGGCGGTCGCTGCAGTTCTCGTCAAGTTCAGCGCGACAGGTATTAGTGTTGCTGATTGTCTAAGTCTACTTTCAATGACAAAGCGAGTAACTTTGACGAAATTTTTTTTCAGCTAACGAGGAAGACTCTAAAGACTCTCGTAGGAGCTGTGAAAATATGTAACGACAGAATTTCGTCGGAGCCCTGCGAGTTGTGCAGTGGGTGCTGCTCATATCGTCCACATTGCCCATTATAGTTTGCGTTAAATGCCCTAGAAACACCAAGAAGACTAGGAAAGATCGCTTAACATTATCATTCAGACCGACTATGCGCGACAGCGCATTCGCGAAAATCAACCCAGCAAGCGCATGACTTCGGTTGAGATGAAATCCAGTTGGGACCGGATTTTTTCGCTGAATCTGCGCAAAGTGAGATCAGCTTCGAACGAAGTATACAGTTTGTACTCTGGGTTAATACTTCACAGCAGCGCGTTGTCTAGTGGTTATGCTCGGCTGCTTACCCGCGAGCCGTGGGATCGAATCCCGGCCAAATTTTCGATGGATCCGAAATTGCTTGAGGCCCGTGTGTTTTGATTTAGGTGCTCTTGAGAACCCCAGGTTAGCCACCCTACCCAGGTGGTCAAACTCCCGGAGCCCTCCACTACGGCCTATCTCATAATCATATATCATGATTTGGGGAAGTTAAACATTAGCAATTAGTAATTACAGGAGTTGCTTCCTATAGTACCTCACATCCCCGCGCATACTTTTGCAGCCTGGGCATTGAAGATGCACAAACATCTACCTTACACAGAACGCAAAAGCACGTAAAATCGCGTCAGCCTTCGTACTACAACACGCGGGCATATTTTACGTTGCTGGACTGGCTGAAGCCTGTTGCGGCAGCAGCGCCACTTCCAGCCACCGCTTGCTTAGTCATAGCCTCCTATGTAAAGTTATAGAGGAGGCTATGGCTTAGTTTTCAAAGCCTCGCCACAGAACACCTATACACTACCATTTGCTTCGCACTGCGGTCTGATACACGGCAGGAGGAAGGAAGGACCTTTCCTTCCTCCGTGATACATGGTTGTGATCAGTTGTGATAGCTACAAACATATTTATCGGCAGTTTTATACTTGCCTCGTTCCATTAATATAATCAAGTAGTGATTAATAAAGATGAAATCATGGTAGACGAAATTTGCGAAACCTTGTACTATCTTGCTAACTCTACGCTTGACGTTAAGGAAGGATGATGATGATACTGTGCGAAGGTCAACTTTTCCAGCTAGCACGCCAACTGCGCCAACAACAGTCGAAACACACAGATTATCATATGTGATGCGATGCGCGCTACTTGTGATCTATGTAACGTGTGATGTGGCGTGATTATCTGGAACACTTTAGTCTGATGGTGCTCTAGTTTGGCCCATGAAGTCGTGAATGTATGTGATATAGTTAAAAAGTTCATTCGTCAAGTGTTACCCAAGCGTTCGTTCCATCGTATCGAATGTGGCGTTCAGGTTTTAGAGGTAAGTTTTGCACGAGGCGCTCGTAGTTTGCGCCGGCAGGGATAGTGCTTGCTCAACATCATTTCTTGCAGGTTTTGTGCGGTGGGGACTGCGTAAGCAACGCAAACCCAAGTCGGAAGACTCTCCTGACAAGCAAGAAACTCACAGGTGCAACCCGTGTTCGTAGTTTCTTCGCGCTCGTTGTGCGGGCTCCTGTCCTGACACGCTCTTTTGCTTTCTTTCTTGTTAGATTCGTTGTCCCAGTTGCGAATCTCGGCGCCAACCGGCAAGACGAACATGATCGACGCAAAAGAGAAACTTGCCACGAGGACGGGCGCTTTTTCACGAACAGACCAGCGTGCAGTTTTGTGGAAACCGTCGGATGGGTGGTGAGTCGCACCTAAGTTTCGGAACATCCTTCACTTTTGATGTCCCGCAAAAATCATCCGGCCCCATGTTCGCATTTCATGCCGCACACATCTCGCGCTGTATTTCCCTTTTTATAATTCAGTCACCTATGCGTGCGCACAAGCGCCAGGAACAAGGTGGGGATGTGAAAGTAACGTTTTAAATTTCAGCTTTGCAAAGTGTCGAATCCGATAGTCTGTTTGAAATTGGTGCAGATAACTGTTTATGCCCATCCTGCTGAGCTAAACTTAAAAAAAAAAAGTGTTTACTGCTTAGCGCAGCGTAGGCACTTAAATTTTGGGCCAACACTGTATTGTGCAGGAATGTGTTCATTTATAAAAAACATTTGCCATTAGTAATTGGCCTGTAGTAATTGAGCTATGCTTATAATTGTATATTGCAATGCCATCCTTGTGATAGTAAGCACGTATGGTTCCCCTAGCCTAGTATATTTGCAATGAAACATGTCTAGTCAGCAAAGTAACGACTTGGTCGTTCTGTTTAGCACAAAAAGTGAGATAAAATGTTTCAGTACTAAATGCAGCATGTTTTCTTGCACTGCATGTTATAATTATTTAATATAACGCAATTATTATTGCAAATGGCAACCATCTTTAGTTTTTTACACTTGCTGCAAATTTGTTTTCACCCATGAGGTAAAGTGTAGCAGGAAGAAAAAATGTACTTATTTCACTAATAGAACTGCATTGCGACAGTGCAGTACAGCAGTTTCTAAATGTTCCATGAAACATTTCACTGTAGAGACCGCTTTAACATCCTTGTGATCTGTTTATTTTGGAAATCTCGTTTTTCTAGGGAACGCTACTTGCAGTTGGCCTAAACCTGCAGCTGCAAAGTAGGCGGTGCCTGTGGGGCAATGATCAAGCTGGTATCGCCATCGCCCGTGAAAGTGGGAATGCAGACAATGCTGTGCGACCCTGTCTCAGAGTGTGCAACCTTTTACGCAACTTTGTATTTCGCCTTGTCATTGCCTCACCACGTCCAATATCATCGAGCTCAATTCTCGCACGAGAAGACGAATTCTCCTCGGATGCTGTCGATCCCGTGCGTCTGTCCTTGGATGGAGACCATTTTGATGCAGGACACTCCGAGCCGCCGCAGTCAGTGAGTGAAATTAAATCATTCCGTTATTTGTCTCTTTCTTTGAGCGCTTTCTTCGTGATGTATAATTTTTTTTTTTTTTTCAGACTGCTGAGGCAAGCGAGCAACTTGCCAGCGTGTTGATGGAGTATTTTGCCTGTCTTGAAGACATTAATGGTGCTCATTTACTGTTGACGAATGAGACCGAAGCAATAAAGAGCTTTGAAAAAGCACAAGCACTGGGTTCTGCCAGAGCACACTACAACCTCGGAGTCTGTTACGAAAGAGGCAGGACTGTCAATAAGGACTTGGACAAGGTAGTGTGAATCTGTATGGCTTCACTAGAAATGTCGCTACATTTCGTTGATCTGTGTGAGGCTAGTCTCTTTCTCTCATTTTTATAACGATGTTATGATGATCTTGAAGGACAACAAATTTTTTTTTGTTATGTTTGTGCTTCAGCTGTGTGGATATTATAGGCTTGAACCATGAAAACCGTGCACAAGTCTATGATTAACCCTTTGCAATCTGAAACTTTTCTCCAGTTTCTGGTCGTTCTGGTAAAACGATATTTTGCCATTTCTGAGTGCTCAGATTTGGGTGCACGTTGAAGCACTCCAGGTAGTCCAAGTTTCCGGAGCCCTCCGCTACGGCGTCTCTCATATTCATATGGTGGTCTTGGGACATTAAACCCCACATCTCAATAAATCAAAACCAGTTCTGAGCACTGCAAAAGAAAAACAAGTGTACAAGGAAAACTTGAATGTTTATTTTTGAACTTGATACAAGTCTCGGCAACCTTGTGGCAGCATGTGGTGCCTGACAGCAGACCACTGCTGCCATGTTGCGTTACTTGGGGGAGCTCGACAATGGTCCGCAAAGGGCTTCACTTCACAGCCAAGTGCATGCCTCCTTTAAAAAACTTTCTGGTTGTACCACTGATGTGAGCCACCTGACTTGGACTTATGGAAGAGAAGTCTGCCCTCGTTAGTTTCTGCTTAGAAATCAGCTATGTTGCAAATTGAGCCGAGGTTGCCTAGTGTGGTTTTCCCTCTAGGTATAACGTCACCTAGCTTCAACTTACTGTTAGGCTACTTCTGTGAGCAGTCGTATAAACTTGGCCTGCTACTCCGAAGTGCCCGTTTAAATTGGTCGTGTGCACGCAGGCACTGATGCATTATAAAGCAGCTGTCCTCAAGGGCCACCCACTGGCCACCTACAACCTGGGTGTGTTATATCTGAACGGCCATGGAAACACCAGCACCGGCCATTCATTGTTGGAGAAGGCCTCCCGTCTAGGAGTCCCCCAGGTATCTGCTGTCTTGAATGTCCAACTTTGTCCAACATTCGCATATGGCAAAGATTGCGACGTGTTTAAGTGTGGTGGCTACCAGTTTTCGCTGAACAACGAAGCCAGCTTTTTTAAAGTGAAGCTGTCTGTGACTTGGATCTAAAAAAAATTTTAAAAAGTGCGTATGACGTGCCCAAAAAATGTTTTCGAGGCAGTCTTAAAACCCCATTGCTCTGCCAAAACTATGCAGGGAATGTGTATTGACCTTCTGGATCTGGGTGCGTCAGGCGAGCAGCCGTGTGAAACTTAATGCAAGGGCTAACATGATTATAGAGTTCAGTAACAGCCTTTGAGATGTTAATCAAAAGTGAATCTCTGGGAGCAGCATCCGTTGCGGTAAAATGCATTCTGTTTTTCTCGTTTGTTTTGAGAGTTGTGAAAGTTTCGTGAAGTCAAAATGATGTTGCTAAAAAAGGACCGGAAATAGGGGTGTGCTGCTCGCCAAGCTCCAACCAATCGGTAAAGGCTGAAGTAGATGATCCAATAGGTGGAGACAGAAAATCGCAACCCTGGTTTGCCACCATCAACAGCAACATGTACCCTTTCTCCACCTCTTGTCTGGAGCAACTCCCAAAAACAAATGTCATTGAGGAAAGGCTGGTATCTTCACTGCATTCATGTTCATTTGTTGCTTGATCCACTGCAGTGGCCAGTATAGTGTGAAGGGGGCAACCGATTCATGTCGCTAGACAAATGGTTATGTCAAGAAAAAAAATTTTGCTTTTCTTCCATCACCACGTAGCAGAATCGCTCTTGATTTTTTTTTTTACTGAGCAATCTCTGTGTGGATTACATTTGTGCCTTAGTTGCACCAAAATTATGTCGATATTTGAAACAACGCTTGTTATTGGTAAGCAGGGAGAGCAGAGGAAGAATATATTGTATTTTCACGCTTATAACCCGCCCCTGCATATAATCCGCACACCCACTTTTATCTCGCAAAAAAAAAAAAAGCCTCTCGTATTGCTCGTACATTCAATATGCCAAAAAAAGCTGTACAAAGGCTGTTGCTGAAGCAGTAGAAAGCCCTTGTCACTTTGCAGAGCGGTGCAGCCATCCGCGGCTTGCACGGAATCCGTGAGGTAGGCTTAGCTCTCTCGACAGTCTCCACGCTTCCACTGGGACCATCTTGGTCGATACGGCGTGACCCCTGCTTTTCAGATCTTCGGTGAACATAACTAGCTGTACCTCCGGCTCGGGGTAGGTGCCGGTCTTGGGGCTACGAAAAGGACCTACGATCGCGATGCACGGCTTGTAGGCGTTCTTCTTTCTCCACTGGCGCACGCAGGACTTGTCCACATTGTGCCGTCTTCCCGCTTTGTGATTTGTGAATCCCTCGGCGACTGCGATGATCTTCAGCTTTTGCTGTGCGGTGAAGGACGGCCGCCGGACGCTACTCATGTTGACAGGACAAATCGAGTTAGGCTTCGCTAACGGGTCGAGATGTGGGGAACTAGTGCAGCAAGGTAAAAAGAGCTCGCACTCCGTGACAACTTTTTTTTGGCAGCACCGTGGAAGAAACAGAGCCGAAGTGTGCGTCTGCTACAGGGTCAAAAGTAGTACTTAAATTTACTGATAATATCTAATTTGCCTTGCTAAAATAAATACTGCTTTATTTATTATGTAACTTAAGTGGTTGCGGGAAGTCGTAGGTAACATACAGGTATTGTTAACTTTGCGAAAATGCCTTCATTTTCTTTCTATTTCTTAGACAACACCACCTTTTCAGCAAGCCCTTTTCCAAAAGAAACATGGCATCTGTGACATTAAGGGCATGTGGAGGGTGGTGGAGGGTCTCTGTGCGGCTGCAAACGTCCAAAAACATACTTGTAATGTGACAGGTTTAGAACGAACAATCCAATTTTCTCTCCCCAAATGTTTCTCTAAACACTTCAACGATGCAAGGAAGCAAAACCAAGATCAGCCACAAGCTGCCGTACTACTTGGGAGCGACGCCAATTTGCAGAAACTGCCTTCGTAGCCTTTGCTACACAATTAAAAGGCTTCACGGTACAGCACGCATTGCTGTGAAGCAGAGCTATAGGAAAAACCCCACATGTTATATGCACCCCCACTTGGCCACTGAAATTTTCGGATTTTGGTGCGGGTTACAAGGGCATAAATATAGTAAAGTAAAAGCATAAATAATACATTGTCTAGGATCCCATGTTTCCATGCTTATACGAGGATATCACCTGTGCAACTATACATGAATAATTCATGTAATGTATAACTCAAGAACATTAGCTGCAAAGAAAATAAGTGCGTGAAAAGTTAGACACCGGATTTGGCACACAATCCATAGAATTGCATGGCAGGTTCTTGCACTTCTGCCAAACAGGAACATTTATTTGTATGGAAAGCTCTGGATACATCTACATAAGCTGGTCAAAGACACTTAATGCACTGTTAATTAACCACTAGAAGTCCTATCAGAACTCCTAATGTATTTTTCAATGATATACACTCACAAAGAAGAAAAACAATTAGCTTACTTGTCAGAAGTTTTTCTTACTCGATCACTCTAGGTGCTTGTTGTAATTTCACAAGAATATTAACTTTATATGTATGATGCAAACTGCTTAATTTAAACTTTGTTTGGGGTGCTCATAATATTTTTTTATCTTAATTAGTACTGCTACGGTGAGCACATTACCATGCACTTGAAACTGGTTGCTCTCCTTTCGTGAAACATGTTACAGTCTCAAGCGTTGCAAACTAAGCGTCGCACATTTTCTTCACAGGCAAAAACATTTGTTGCACATAAATACCTTGAAGCAGGAAACTACGATGAAGCCGTGCCATTGCTGAAGGAGGCTGCAGCTGCCAAGGTACTACGTGTGCTTGGCAAATAAATTTTAAAAAGGGATATCTAAAGCTACTTTGTTGCTTCAGGATGCAGAAGCGCTGTTCTACCTGGGCTGGTGTTGTGAAAGAGGCCTCGCTGTTCCAAAGGACTATGCTGCTGCCACGAAATTCTATGCAAGAGCAGCAAGTCAGAATCATGCTGGTGCTTTGGATGCCTTAGCAGCCATCCAAGAAAAAGCGCAACAAAGTAAGTGTTTTGGTGAAGGCATGGCATCACATTTAGCATTCCGCAGGAGTATTAGTTATGTTTTTTAAAGTGTTTCAAAGAACAGCGTTGAGCCATCGAACAGCACTGCATTAGTTCTTACAACCTATCCTGAAGTTCTAATGCTACTGTCAGCCTGTTCTTCATGCATAGACTATAGCTTATGAGTGGAAGTGTCCGATCTTGCTATGTGTATAATATATAATATACACAATCTAAGTATTTAAGGAAAAGTTTGTCGCTTCCGAATCCCTCTTACGGGGTTACACAACTCCTTGAAAGCAGTTGAAAGGTAACCTCTAAAGCTTCCATCGTATCTCTACCTGCAAGCGTAGCTATGCCATCACACTGCTTAACACAGGGGCACAGGTATGATTCCTGGCCACGTATTAAAAAGGGCAAAGTGCTAAAATGGCCTTGCATTTATATTGGATGCATGTTAGACCAGGTGGTTCAAATTGAATTGGAGCCTCCTACTTATATTGTGGCTTTAGCCCATGGAATGAAACTTTTATTTTTTAACCTTCAGTTACACCACTGAGGCCCCATAGTAGCTTAGTATATTAGGTTTCGTGCTGCTAAGCTGGGAATGCTGGTTTGGTTTCCGGCCTTGGTGGTACCGTTTCAGTAAGCGCGACATGCAAGAACACCCATGTGCTTAGGTGCACATTCAAGTGCACCAGGTGGTCAAAAAGTATTGCATGAATTCGAATAATATTGTCGTTGTGGCACATCAAACCACAGAAGACTCCCAGAAGGTCTGTCTCCCCATCTGTACCCATTTGTCAAGGCACAGTCAGTCTCACTTTGCAAATGCTGCTCTTTCCCTTCAGGAGTGAAAGTGGAACCCATCCACACCAGAGAGCCACCTGATGATCCGCCGTCAGTGAAGCACGTGCACACTTTTGGTGAGCAAAAACACTCATTTGTTTTTTGCGCAGAGAGTGAACACTCCCGATTCGCTCTGTAGCGATCATAGGTTGGCAAACTCACTCGCGAATTAGCTCACTCAGACTCGCAGTCCAAGCGAGTCCAGTTGAGAAACATTTTGGCGAGTCTGAGTGAGTCCTAAGTGCAAAATGTAGTCCATGAGTGGCTCTAAACTTTTTTGTCAGTCTGTGGTTCTATTTATTCAAGTTCATAGTCTCGCCAACTACCGCATACTTCAAAACTCTGGTGTTCATATGCTAGCTGAGTATTTATTGATCAAAGGCATGAGTTATGGAGGCAAGGGGGTGCCCTAACCTCTTCCCCACCCACGGAAATTTTTTTCTGAGAATTTTTGATAAGACTATCTCGTGTAAGTCGTGTCTTATAAGTAAAAATTTTCTTACTAGATGGTGACCACTGATATCCCATATTTGAAAGTACATGATCAAAAGGCGCCAAATAGAGCATCGAGTGTATGATATTGGTGCTAAAGAGCATTGACACCATGTTCCATGAAGCCATTCGTATGCGCTTACAGGCTCATGACTCGGCTCACCCTGGCTCGTTCAGACTCTGGTAGAGCCGTGAGGCTGAGTCTGAGTGAGTCCAGCTGAGAAAAATTCTGCCCAATCCGAGTGCCAAGGGCAATATATATTGCATGAGTGAGTGAGCTCCACAGTTTTTGCCGACCAATGCTATGCATTGCTATCTGCTGCCACTGTGGTTGGCTTTTTTCTCTCTCCTTCTCCAATGGATCCTTTCTTTTTTATAACGTGTCGGATAAATTTTGGTGTGATCACAAGCTTGCTAGTGTCACTAAACCAGTTCACTTCAGAGTGGGCATGTGGTGGCAGTGCTAACTATGCAGCATAATGTCATGTCTGTTGACAGTGTAATTCACCCAGTGAAGAGTGACCAATTTCTAGCCGTCTTTGATACATCACCGAAAATTTCCTGCCACATAGAATGCTACGATGAAACCTTGGTGATGCGAATCGGAATCTGACCGGGTGACCAAAAATAATCCTATAATCTGAAATTACTGTCTACAGAAAACATGAGTATGCGGAGAAAAAAGGTGGCATGTTTCCACTCATTGTTTATCAGGGCCGCAGAATGTGAATAACAGCTCTGAATGATAGTCAGTACTCAGCAATCACTCTTGTTGCATGCATGTGTAATTAGTGAACCAGATGAGTTGTGGCCCGAGACAGCTAGTAACCCCTTTCGAATCTTAGTATGATTTTGGCATGACACCAAAGTACCACGGCGAAAGTGGATTAAGGAGTGCTTTGTGCGCAAGAGATGAAAGCCAGAAAATTTTAGAACTGCTGTCCTTCACTATTTTCTTATCATAAAGGTGTACACCGTGCCCCCACAATCGGGAGGTTTGCTCTAAATTTGAGGGTCTCCCATGCACAGCTGCCGTGGAGAGCTGTGCCTGTACCTAACAATCAAGTATCTTGACATTTCAAGGCCTAGCTCCTTTGCCTTTCGATCCTCATCCACCGTTCATTGAATTTCTGAGTGTGAGGGCATGGCTTGCATAGCTGTGGCAGGCATGTGTAAGCACAGCGCACTGACCGTGCCTCGTGCACAGCAGGCTGCATCGATGTGTTGAAGAAAAAATAAAGAAAAATTTGTGCAATACAACACTATCTGTAATCTAAATGCGAAGGCATATGAAAGTGCATCGGGGTTTCCAAGATTCTTGCCCAAAATCTCAAAGGATTTGAAGCACCTTTTGATGGAGAGTTGTTTAGAAATTGGTGGCACAGCGCACATGCCTGTGCGTGATTGCTCTTTTGCAACAGAGCAGGCAGCACTTGTTCATACGTGCTCAGTGGCGTACATTCGTATCAAACTTCGTGAGGTGCAAACCGGTACCCAGCAACCGTGCTCCATTACATTACAGGCGAATGGGCTTTGGCCGGGACCACAGAATAATTTGTAATGACCCCGAAATTTGCACGAGCCGTGAATGTATGGCCAAGGTTCCAGTGCATACAATATTTGGTTCACGTGGTTCACAAGAGCCTCAATTACCAATTCGCAGTGTTTTCTGACCAAGTTCAAAGAGTGTTGCAGGTGCTCTTCAAATTTGTTGTCCGAACAGGCCAGCTTTTTCTGTCAATCTGCCTAAAGAGATATAAAGAACTAGTATAAAGCCAACTGTACAAGGACAACGCATTTATGTCTTTCCAGAGCTGAATTTCAGTCACAGGCTAGAAGAATCCAGAGATGCTCTCATCAAGGAAGTTCTTGTAGATGGCCATGACTTTGGCCACAAACGCCTCCAGGTGGTAGATGGCTTTGCTGCCTAGCTGCAGCCTGTGCTCGTACTGTGCCGCCAAGACTGTGGCCTCGCCTTTCAGCTGACCATCACAGTTGGCCACCACCTGCTTCAGCAGACCCTGCATGACAAGCAATGTTTAGCGGGCTGTAAGCAAGCTCCGCGAGGCCGAAAGTAGCGCGGGCGACATCGAGTCACAGTCTTTAGGTAACGATGTGTTCTTTTCTATGATGAATTCAGGACATCAGAACCACAGAAAAAAAAAAAGATGCCGCCAGTGAAACATCATGAATCGTTTCTCATAAAATATTTTCTACAGGCTTCTTTGTTTTGGTTTCGCAGGGGTTGTATTGCCATTACCCAAAATATGTTTACGTGCGAACACCACAGTGAAGCATTTTGATGCCTGCTTTGGCTTCCTCCACTATATTGGTTTTGAAAAGTGGGAATAACAGATAGTGAAGCCAACAAGAGAGCACCAAAATGCTTTAATGTCATTATATAACACAGGGAAACAAACAAAAGTAAATGTAGAACAGTTGTTATGCAAGCCACTCTGAGGCTTGGTAGTATTCTTTTCTATGGTTCGGGTCCGCAACCTTCATGCAGTCCAAAACGAAAAATTCACAAATGCCATGTCCTACTGAAACAGAACTTTACTTTTGCCAATTGTGGATGGTTGTGTACTGCATTTCAACCTTTTAAAGTGTTTGTCCGATGTCTCATTAGTACTTCATGTGAACATGTTACTGTACATCTAAGAAATCTGTTAACTTACCTGTTTAAAAGTTTCATTTTCCATGTACAAGTGGTCATTGTACTTATTAGTTAATAATACTTAGGCAAGTTCAAAACAAAGTGGAAGTTCATATTTTGGTTTGTTTTTCATGTGAATCTTTGTTATGCACATTCATTGGAGTTGTGGTATTATATAAATGTCCTTCAAACCAGTGTCATCTTTATTAACAGCATAGCGACTATTCGCAAGTTAGTGCCATGTATTAATCTATCACAAAACTGTATGTTGTGTCCTTCTGTGATCTCTTATCATGTCGCCACATTGTATATTGCCCAAACATAGCTTTGTTGTTGTTTATTGTAAATACCATAATTCTTCATCGTGTACACCCATTTTGTTATAGAAATGTGTGGGTTTGATTGTGCCGTCAATATTTGAAAGTCATTGCATGTATGTTGATGATAGATAGTATATGGCAAGTGATGATACAAAGATAAATGTACAAATAAATGATTTTTCCACAAGATTTCGTGGCTGTACAGATGCCGTCCAGAATGAAACGGAAGTACTGTAACGCGTAATACGATTGAGGAGCATGTGTCATACATCTTAATATTAGTTAAAATTGCAATCACTGGAAGCTGGTCAAGCATTTCAATAGGTTAGGCCCAGCGCTGGAGCAAAGAAAGATGACTGCTGCTCAAACTCACCTTTAAGATGACATCTGGTGGGATAAGATGGGTCAATAGCTCGTAAAGGCGAGCTCTCACTTCAGACAACCTAGACAAACATATGTATCCATTACCACATGCTGGCAGAGTACACTGGGAATGCTCATAACCGCTTGGATCATAAGTTGTCCTAGCAGTGAAGGACAGAGTGCCAGTACATATACAACTTCAAGTTTAATGTAGCGATCTACACCAACAAGGGTCTGCTGCAGACTACCAGCAGCTACATGTGGCTCACCTCTTGACACTCTGTTCTTGAACAATCATCTTGGCAGTTTCTTCAAGATACAGCTCCCAGTCGGGCTGCCGTACCTTTTGGTTATCTGAGAATGGATACCTGCAGAACAAGTGCACACACAACTTCATGTTTTTATTTGCAGAGACAGCTTCAAAAAGTTTCCTCATGTAATGCCCCTAATTGTCTCCCAATGCTAAATGATACAATATAATACAAATTGTGTGGTCATACCCTGCATGTTGCAGGGCACAACCACACAATTTTCTTCCTGCAAGAATTTTATTGGGTGATCAGAAGTCTTTAAACGGACACTAAAGGCAGGCAAAAAATTTTGTCAGAGTGAAAGATCAATGTTTGAGAACATCTAAAATGTCAGCATTACTACCAGCAGTGCTCTACTAATCATGAAATCAAGGTGAATTTACTACACCTTATGCACCACGAGTGGGATATTTTAAAATGATCTTGATGACTTCAAGAGTCCAGAGTAAAATTATTCATTAGTAATAAAACCAGTAAAAAAAAACTGCATTACAACATGTACGTAATAAAATACTGCTCATTCATTTCTGTTTGAGTCATGGAAAAAGGAACTGCTTGGCGTTACCACAGGAAACTGCGCAAGTGGTTCAAAAGCTACGTTTTCGCCGACCTGCACTACACTCACATGGTCGCATTTGATGGTAGTTTCAATATAGTGTACTGCTGCGAGTGTTTTGCACACTCGCGCAAGTCGCTGGGATGGAAAATTTGTATGATGCTGCTGGATGCCAGAATGGTGTAAGCCGCTTAAGCTGCAGGAAAGGAACCGACGCGACTTTCCACTGGTTGCTGCAAAACGAACCCCTACACTCAAAGTGACTGAATGTCATGCCTCTGCACCAGTGTGCAAAACAGTAAAAAAATTGACGTGTATGCTCGCTGCACTTTTCTGCGAGTGATTGTGAGATCAACCTCTACTTGGGAAAGACTTGCAATCTGCCTGTATGAGTATACTCTGCTGCTACTAGTGTCAGCAACCTAGCAGTAAGGTGAGTGACGTTGAGCAAGGCAACTACTACACCAGAAGACCCATTCAGGCAGGTGATTTTAAGCGCGCTAACACCATGAAGAGCACTAAAACATGATTTTATTTCGAAATAAGCATTTATTTGGCACGATAGTAGCGCAACAATGCTTCTGGACCGCTATTTCAACCATGAACATCGACGTAATACTTGCCTTTAGTTCCCTTGCCTTAAGCATCCCTCTTTGCTGGGCTTATATGCTTTGCATTTTACCATAAAGCCATAGGTACTTTTAGACAGAAACATAACTAGAGCTTGTGAGGTAAACAGCGAATTCGCAGTGTATGTTATAATCAGCTGGAAGCCTAAAGAAATTGTACTGAAAATGCCTGCTATGTTGTCCAAAACATAACTGCCAAAATACGCAGGTAGGTGCTTGCCTTTATCGTGGCATCAATATTAGTGATCACTATTGACTAGCACATGAATATCGAGTTTCTTTAACTTACTTGCCATCGCTGATAAGCGAAACGCTTAAAGTTGAAAGGCCTCCTGTTGTAATGCACACTGTGCACAATGAATACAACTAAGTACCTCAAAGACAAACATGAAAAACTGTATTTGCAGTGATACACTAATATGATAACTGCATAATATGTGTATTTCTGTCAGTGGCAGCTGGTTTTGTTCAGTAGTTACTGCACCGAACTTTTATTTGATCTCAGGTCCAGAGGCACTCACTCGGAAACTCGCATAAATCTATGCAAAATTTGTCAGACTCAAAAAGAGCGGAACCAAGTCTTAATCTCTCAGGAATGCGACAGTTCCTTCAGCCATAAACAATGATGCTGTTGAGGTCTTCAGATTTGGAGCAATTTCTGGAGCAGCATAATTTTCATTTTGGAGCACTTTGGAGCAACAAAATTTTCCATTCTGGAGCACTTTGGAGCAGCAAAATGTTCTATAATGGAGTATTTTGGAGCACCAAAATTTTCCATTTTGGAGCAATTCGGAACACCTAACTTCACATCCTGGAGGAGAAAAAAGTTGCATTTTGTGGGAATTGAGGCAAGCCCGCCGCCTTTGCGCGCGCTTTGCCGCCTTTTTTGCCATTCTCATGTCCCGACATGACTCCTCTCCTCCGCTGTCTGCCATGCTGGGGGAGCGAGGAATGACGTTTAACACCTCCCACCCGGTAGCAGATGTCGACTGTATCGCTCCTTCAATTTACATTCAAGGAGGTGAGTTGTTATTTTGGGGCTCTTGTGAAGAGCTAGAAATTATTCGACTTATTGCAAATCTCATGGAGCTATGTTCATGATGATAAGGGGCGCGAAAAAAACGACACACAACAGAGAAGAAGTACACGGGACGTCCCGTGTACTTCTTCTCTGTTGTGTGTCGTTTTTTTCGCGCCCCTTATCATCATGAACCAGCACCAACTCGCCCAACTTTTTACTTTACTCATGGAGCTAATCATCTTGGGAGCACTCCTTATTTCAAATGATGATTCAAAAATAATGGCGTCATGCTGTTGAGCATTCCGATAAAACTTGTTCAGTGATTATTTTTTCAGCAAAAAAACAGAATAATGGTTGTAGAAAATTCTACTTCATGAAACAATGTTCTGAATACACCTATGTGGTTATCAGCACATGAATTTTGACTTTAAGGGTGTGATCGCTGGTGCGCGCACTATTTTGGCGGGCATTAAAGACTGCTTGTACACCCTTCTACCTTGCACTCTCAACGCGAACAGACTATGCAAAAAGTGCTTCGGTTTCTAGAGCGGCCATATGTGGGTATGCACTGAGCCTTGATCGCAAAGCGGCCACGTCATCGTTAAGCCATTTCGGAGGTCCATTCGCGCTGTACAGATACAATCACACTTATCTAAAGCAGCGGAGCACATGCTTGTTGACACTTGTTGGACACGGCTTCTATTTTATGTTAGCTACAAGCTTCCGTTGATGCTTACATTATAGCACAAGAGCCTAACGCAATATGACCATGTTTGATATCATCACGGCGTCTCTCTTTACATATTTTTCAAGCAAACGGCAGCTGAAGCGGCCAGCTGGGTGCTCTAGACAAGTCTGATTCTATATGTGTACATGCATCGGCGTGCAAGAGGTCTTCCAGACATCTTTAGTCATCCAAGTCGCTGTATGGATATAGAGCACCATGCGTGCAGCAAGTTTTTGAGAGAGCGACAAGTCTGCGGACCTTCGAGATACCAACCTCCCGTCGCTAGCGCTCCTCGCGGATGACGTCAAGTCATATTATTTAGTATCACAATACAATTTCTAGGTATCGCATTCATTGCTAAGGGCTTAAGTGAAACTAACAAATTGTATTTTTTGGACCCGATATCGCGCAACCCAAAAAAAAAGCTGGCTAAAGGGACAATGATCACTTCAGTTGCCGAAGTGGTTTTCATGCTCAGTTATTTAATGCGAAGCAGAGGTTAGTAGCACAAACAGTTTACGAGCACTCTCATTATGCCTAGAGATAGCGTGGGCCAGCGACTGCGCCCTTCAAGCATGCCCCCCCCCCCACAAAATAATAATGTAGCAATGCATGCGGTGTCGTTATGTCAATTTTTTTTTAACCGTCAGATATTGACCCTGGAAAGCAATAGGGGGACTTGTAACAAGGCATAGCCACTTCACAGTGAACCTTCCGACACCAGAGCCACCAGTGATGGCCTCACTACTGAAATCTGCGAATATTAAAAGCAAACAGCGGTTCCTCCGACCACATGGCATGCTTTTATTAATGACATGACGTTTTAAAAAAAGCATGCGAAAATTTCGAATTCGGACCCTAGGAATCTCGAGTTTGAAAAGGCAGGGTCCTTTAGTGGCTTTTACCACAACAGCGATTACAAACATGGATGTGCTGACGAAAGTAAATGCGAAAAAACACTTCTGAATGAAGATCCATGAATAAGGTATATATTAAAGGAATATTTTCAACGTGTTCTCACCGTTCACGTGTTCTTCAGTGGACGCGAAACACGGAAAATTAGATCACAAAGTCCAGAAGTCGACGTGACAGACATTCTGGCGGCACGCGTGCAGCTATTAGTGAAAATTGCTTCAATTACTTGCCACGTAACTCTTTAAACAAACTATCAGCAGCGTTCCTGGTACGGACGACGTCTACCGATGAATTGCCGCCCAGTTTCACGCTACTGATTCGACTAGACGTCACAAGCCCCTGTGAAGGGCGCATTTCGACGTTAAACGGACTTGCACAAAGAAGTTGCGTTGACACCGAACATAGCATCGTGGATTACTTAGGACGCACGCACGATCAGTTTATTCAGTGGAATAATTCTAGGTACGTGATTGTGACTTTGGTGGCCCGGTGAACTAGGTGCACGTGTTTTGACGCGCCGGTGATATACGCTGCTGGCTAAATCCAACTTCGGCGCAGTTTGGCGCAATTTCCGTTCATATTATCAGGATGGTGCACTAATTATGGTTTGGCGCACGAGTGGAATCACTGCATAAATTTTTGTCAACAACAAAATATTTCGAGATTGTCGAGAAAGCCCTGTTTAAAATCAACACTAATCTGCAAAAGTTAATTAGTAGTATAGAGGTTAAAACACAAGCAAGGAGTTGGCAATGTTGTAATAAAGCAGTAATTAATGACTTGGAAATAATCACAATGGCATGCTTACTGCTGCGCTCGACACGCTTCGAGCATTAGCACAGCTCTCCTAAGGTTGCGATGACTTTGCGCTGCAATAGCCTGGGCAAGGGTGTCAGGAAGAGTGATGCCTTCTTTTCGTGCCACAAGGTTCAGTACTGTAATAACCTGGAAAAGCAATTGTGACCTATTTCAAAAAGATGCCAGAACCAATACTTTTTTGCAGACTAGTTGATTCATACTTGAAAAATTGAATTGCTGCACAAACTTGAAGAAAAACGAGGGAGACAGGAGAGAGCGCAGTAGCGCTCTTTCCTGTCTCCAGGAAAGAGCGCTCTTTCCTGTCTCTCTTGTTTTCCTTCAAGTTTGTGCAGCAATTCAATTTTTCATGCCAGAACCAGTTACTAGGCTACTATCATTGCGTCCAATTCACATAAACAAAAAGACGAGAAATAACTGGTCAGAATCTTGGTGTAATTGCAGTTCCAGTGCCATTATAAGTTTTTCAGATCCTTTACAAACCTTTAAGGCCCGTTTCTCACTTCATCTTCTTCAATGACCCAGCTACTTAGTTGAGGTGACCTCTTTACATGAGAAAAGTTACGGCTTTGTGTGTCATGTTCATATAAGTTTTCTTTCTCTCCATTCCATCATACGAGCTTTTGTAAAGTTAAAACGACAGCGTATCCCATTACAATGACCGATATGACGTTAAAGTAAAGTTTCAAACGCGGCTGTGTCAAATGGCTTCACTAAAGCCACCAAAGCTTACACTAAAGGCATGTAAAGTTTGATTGATACGGCTGGCCCAGCAGTATAAGGATCATAGCCTTAATGCACAGCATTTCTTGTTTAGATGTTCCATTGTATTCATGTGCTTGCTCTTCATGGGCCACGATATGATGGCAGTGCTTCTCGTGTTTCAAGGCAAACTAAACGTAATTACGCAAGCTTAGTATGCAGACTAAATTATTAATGCTTGCTTTGTTTTTTTTTGTAAAAGTGGAAGAGTAAAAGTAAAGATGATGATGATTCCAGTATATGAAGAGTGAGCGGTGGTTTTCCAATTGTTCATGTGACATTTTTGCAAGGAACTATACAATGAATTTTGTACCCTGCTGGCATAACATTTCTTGCACACACCTACTATAAAGGGGCCCCAAACCACCACATGGCCTAGGTGGCAAATCACATTTCCTGGCTAAAAGTTGGAGCTGCGAACATCTTGACAAAACATTGTATTCGTGACAAACGCATGAAATTCACAAGCGCAGCGCAAACTTGAAATGCCCTTACTTCAAATACAGCATAGGGCAGCTGGCGCAGCACATTCCAAATGAGAGTCCCCACGATCGGCGGCCTTCTCTCTCAGGATAAACAAAGTCGAGTGCAGATGAGAAAAGTAAATGCTATTCTCAGAGTACTTCCTCTCATAGTATACTTTTTTGTTTTTTAAAGAAGCTTGTTACGACTCACAGATTTCTTGTAGGGGTGTCATACGCAAAAAACCTGGCACTGATGAGCATACAGAAATGTGGCCTCTGAGGGTGCATTGATCACATGTTCATTTGCACACACTCCCTATAAATTGTGCTCTCTAGATGGTGAACTCCTCGGCAATCGGTCGTTTCCATTACGGCAGTCTGATTGTGTAACAAGGTAACTTGTGATTTCAAATTACATTTCACTTCTGCCTGAATATTAATGCAGGACCGTCGTTGCTGCCTGCAGAAACTGAAGTGCTGTGCTGCCAAGCGCATGCACGAAGGTCTCATTCCCAGATTATGAAGGAACCAGTTAGAAAGCAGCATTGTGCAATACGATAGAAAGGTAGCATGCACACAGGGCACACACACGGCAAGTTTCACTCGCCCCCCCCCCCCCCCCCCCCCCCCATTTTCGTGAAAGTGCAAAGGTTTTTCAGTTATTTCGGCAACATGATTCTGTGACGCGCTCGACTCATTCGAAAAAGCTTTGAGAAAAGATACTTCAGGGCCCCATTGAAGTAGCAATTCCTACACAATACCGAAAGAAGGGAAAAGGGTGCAGAGTAAACTTTCTGATTGCGGCTGGGCCACTTACCTCGTCTACAGAGGGCGCAGCCACCCTAATCGCCAGGCATCTGCTCCTTATGGCCGGAATCACTTTGCTACAGGAGTTACAGCACAGGACCAGCCGGCAGGTTGCCATGTACTTCTCCATGGTGCGTCGAAGGGCATGCTGGGCATCCTTAGTAAGCTTGTCCACTTCTGTCAGTATCACCACTAAAGAAGGCGGACAAAGTGTGAGAAGAGCACAGATTAAAAGGTCAGGCGCCGGGAAACTAAGCAGAGTATACGCACCTTTAAACTCCCTCTGGGCATTGCTCTCGAGCTGCTGGGTCTGCGCAACCGTTTTCAGCAACTCTTGAATCACAACTCTGTCGTGGATACCGGCCTCACTGGAAGATATTGTGCATAAAGCATAAGGAAAGAGATGCACACAAAGAAACATAGCCGTGAGTGTTCTTGAAGTGCTGCTAAATTATGCACATTGACTAATAACATTACAATGACTTTGAACATCATGTAATAATCCCACAAATCAAAAGTTTGTGTTTAAAATCATTCCTGTTGAATAAACAATGTTGAGATGACAAGCATTGCAGCTTTCTTTACACAACTGTACTTGCCAGAGCCAGTACAACACAAACATGGAAACACATGGTAACTCCATATTCTGTTCTTTGTTCTTTTTCCTATCCATATTGCGTTAAATCGGTGCAAACCACGAGTTGAGCTGTAACATGTAAGTCATCAAATAATTGTGCTTCAGCCGAGTCAATGGATTTGGCTTGAGCATTCTGCCAGATTTTCGATCGGTGATTTTCTAGTCTGAAGCATTGAATGAAGTCCAGCCTTTTGTATCATGTAGTTGTGGTTTCGGTCTTCTGATATAAGAGATGGTATTAGAGCTGTGGTCCATGACACTCACCTCGGATTCACCTCAATGTGGTAGTTGCTGGCAACGGTGACAATCTCTATCTTCTTTTTGGACGGCGTAACAAAGTTTTGATGCTCGATCCTCAGCCTCTCCACTCCAGCGCCGTAGAGCTCTCGCAGGACGCACATAATTCGCGTCTTCTTTCCAGCTCCGGACGGCCCATATACAAGGAGGTGCGAAAAGTCGCCGCCATGGACCTTATACGTGAAAACAAATAATCATGCATGTATTGTAATAGCAGCAGCACATAGTGATGTTGACAGATGAATGTGCCTATGAGAAAGAGGAGCATACACGAGCAGCTAATAAATTCATCACCTCCCTCCCACATGCTAAAGCGAGCACAAATAGTTAGGATGAGGGATGAAAGCTTTATGACTAGTGAAGGAATTAAGGAATGGAGTGAGTGTAGGCCATACGAAACAAGAGACTAGAGTGGACTTAAATAGATGGCAGTATCCGGCCCGCGACACTGATCTTCAGCACCATGAAAGAGCTGTTAGTAGTTCGGTAAGTTGCAAGTTCATTACGGTGATGCAGCCGGTGGGCTTGACCAGATGTGTTCGTATAGCCCACGAACTCAAACATTTTAAATTCTTATTCTCCTGCTACTCTGTCAGCCGGCTAAACATGCCGTGAATAAAATTATGACGCGCTGTGTATTCAAAGTGAGCTCCCAGTTATGGAGCAACAACGAAAGTACACAGCTCGGAACCTTGGTTTCTCTTGGCAGACACGGGTCAGCAAAGGGAGTCAAGGCCAGCGAGCGACGGTTACCGGTCGTAAATTTTTAATGACTTAACACTTTGGACAATGTAGTCAGAACGTGATTTAAATTGACCTACGAGTGTGTAAGCAATTCGACCGTGCACACATACCGCGCTTCGAATTAGAACGCGAGAAACGGACGATTTACACGTACTTACCAGTTTCTTTAAATAGGCTGCCTGTTCCTGGTGGTAGTCGAGCTTCGAAAGGTTAGTGGGTCGGTGTTTATCCACCCACAGGCTCATTTTCTTGTTACTGTTCAAGTGTTTGTTTGGGAAACGAAAAATGCGCGCGAAAGGCGCTGGAACGAGATGGCGACTATGTCGACGGGATCTTGGACGTGCAAATAGTCCTGCATTTACAGAAACTGGTAGGTGATCTGTGACCGCGTCTGTAGCAGTGGCCCGTAAATGCCTCCCTTTCTAGGAGGCGTTGACTATATGTGTGTACTGACTGCACTTAGGCACTGCGCCGTGCTCCCGACCGGGTTGCAGAAATTAGGTGCCTTTTCTCATCTTCTAACCACTACCACCATAACTGCGCAAAACACCCACGTCGCACACATCATAGAGTTTCCTAAAGGATCATCATAATGTAAATCGTGGACGTAACCACCATAGATTCCATAGAGTTTTCTATGGGCGCATCGTATGGACCTTGGTAGGTACGTGACATCGCCTCGCCGCGGTGATCTAGTGGCTAAGGTACTCGGCTGCCGACCCGTAAATCGTGGGATCGAATCCCGGCTGCGGCGGCTGCATTTTCGATGGAAGCGAAAATGCTGTTGGTCCGTGCGCTCAGACTTCGGTGCACGCTAAAGAATCCAGGTGGTCGAAATTTCCAGAGCCCTCCACCACGGCGTCTCTCATAATCATGTGGTGGTTTTGGGACGTTAAACCCCACATATCTGTCAATTAATAACATCAACTTATATTTTTGTTCGTATTTCTCGGGTTAGATCGCCCATCTTAAGACTGCGCTGGACGCGTACGTACCCTTGTACGTATACATCTTGGATTGCGTGGCAGAGTTGCTACCAAATCACTCGCTTTAAGAGCTAAATAACATCCCGATCTCCCCAGTGCAAGGTAGCACACCGGTTTTAACTGGTTAACATCGCTGCCTTGCCTCTCTCTCATGTTTGGATGTCACTCTTCTTCTGAACACAGCTTCTGAACACGCGGGCGTATGGATGGATAGGGCGGGCACGTTGAACGCACGCCCTTGCAGACTGGCTGCACGGTGTCCTCGTGATCATGTATGCTGTTAAGTTTGGCCTGGAAATGCGTCTGGGCATACGCCTTTGTGCGAAAGCCGATCCACTGGAGAGGCTCTTAATCCCTTCGGCGCCCGGTCTGACGGACGCTGTCAAGTGTTTGAGTGATTATCCAGACCAGGCGGCGGGCAGAGGCGAGTTCCCGTCCTTCAAGTGCGGACTCTTTTGTCGTCCCTTCAAGCAGCAGCGTGACTGATGACCTCGTCGACTCGTCGGGCGACAAGAGGGCTGGCGTGGCCGGCGCCGGAGCTGACGGCGGAGCGGCGCTTCTTTGACCCTCAATCAAGTGGCCGACCGGGCGACTGCCTATGCCCGCCAGGTATTGTCCCTGCTGGCCGCCGGAGGAGACGTCGTGTCGCCAAGACGCCGTTAGCTGTTCGAGAGAGGCCAACAAAGACGGCGTCTTCCTAAAAGAGACCGCGACGGACACCGCACGCAGATCGCCCCGCTAATTGGGCGAGCTGTGCAGTGGACCCTTTGAAGTATGCGGCCAGGATCGCGGGAACTCTCGACTAGCGGTACACCCACGACGAGGAAGAGCCATGCTAGCGCCACCACCGTGCAGTGTTCACGTGGAGCTTGCATGCTCGCCCCCCCCTCACCTGTGTGTACGTGATTGGTGTTCGACTCTGAGAGGAGGAGCCCGACAGGGCATAAAACGACGAGGCAGAGTGCGGGACGGCGTTCTGAACCTTACTCTGAACTATGTAACGTTCAACCACCACGCTCGTGGTCTGTGAAACAACTTTTCATTCCTGTAAATAAGTGTAAATAATGTTATAAACCTCTGTTATGTTTCTCGTATCCTCTTGTCAGCGTTCAGTTCCTCCATCCGGATGCCATCACCTGCAACATCTTCCTTCCCATCTCTAACAACTGGTTGGCAGCGGTGAGATGGACCTCGCGGCATGGTGCTGTGTTGAGGTGAGTGCTTGGTCCTTGCTTTAACTTTCCAGGTTTCATTGTGTGAGTTTAGTAGAAACTGGCATGTTTGATTTAAAGATCACCTAGTCTTAAGTTCTGAGTGTGTTTTAGAGATCTTCTACATTTGTGCGATAGGCAGGACCAAAGACAAAGGGCAATCATGGAGGTATACGCACTGCTAAAAGACGAACTTTTGTACTTATGTAAAGACTTAGGTATTGAGGTTGAGGAAGAGATGGGCAGGTCACAAATTGTGAAGCTAATTTTGCAAAACGCCAGTGAGGAGGTGATTAGATACGAGTTACAAGTTTTCAAAAGGTTGGCTGAACAAAAACAGGAACGTGAAAGAGAGAAACGGGAACGAGAACGAGAGGAACGGGAGCGAGAACGAGAGGAATGGGAACGAGAACGAGAGGAACGGGAAAAAGAAAGAGAATATGAGTTGCGTAAAATCGCTCTTGAGAATGAAGGCAAACGGATGGCTCAAGCGAGTGGAGGGGCTCCTGAACGAGCAAGCGAGATAGAATCATACCGCATGGATAAAATACTCAAGCCACATCAAGTGAGGGAGGACATAAAGGTATTTCTCGCATTCTTTGAACAGAACTGTGTGAGGTTTAACTTTGCTCCGAGCACATGGCCACAGCGGTTGCTTTCTCTGCTGCCGTGTGAAGCCGCTGAAGTGATCACAAGACTCAGCGCGCAAGAAGCAGATGATTATGAGAAGGTTAAAGCCGCCTTATTGAAGAAGTACCGGCTTTCGGCCGAGGCATTCCGCCAGAGGTTTCGAAACACAGAAAAGAAGGATAGTGAGGGATATCCGGAGTTTGCTTACGGCATGAGAAGAAACCTAATCGAATGGTTAAAAGGCGCGGAAGCCTACGAGAGTAAAGACAAGGTTATCGAAACCATTTGTCTAGAGCAGTTTTACAAAAGCATACCTCAGAACGTGAGGCTGTGGGTGCAAGACAGAGACAATGTAAACACTGTGGAAAAGGCGGCCGAGTTAGCCGAAGAATACACAATGCGTAGAAAACTGAGCACAGAGTACGGAGGGCCGGACGGACGAAGAGGGCCGCGAAAAGAGTATGGATTCAGGAGAGACCCGCAGGAAAAAAATTGAGCAATACTGAGGGGGAAACAAGTACGCCAGAAAACAAGGGGGAAAATTCGAACAGTGGGACATCCCAGCAGTCGCAAAGAAAAAAGTTTGAGACTTTTAGACCTGTTAGGTGCTTTAACTGTCAGAAGACTGGCCATATCGCAGCAAACTGCAGAAATCCTAAGGTAGTTTTATCCTACATGGATGAAAGTGACGAGAACTTGGAGCTGTTACGCCCATATCTCCATGACCTGGAGGTTAACGGAAAACCCTGTAAGGTACTCAGAGACAGCGGCGCCACCATGGACATTGTCCACCCATCTTACATTACTGTAGATGACTTCACGGGAGAAGTGGCATGGATCAAACAGGTTGTAGAGGAAAACAGCGTCTGTTTTCCCATGGCGAAAGTAACGATCACTGGGCCGTTTGGAAAGCTAGTGACAGAGGCAGCGGTCTCAACGTCTCTGTCATTACAGTACCCGTACATATTTTCAAACCGTTCAGACAGGACATTGCGCGAGCGAGGTCAGAAACTTGGAGAAGGAACGGTTCAAGCGCTGACTCGTTCCAAAGCACGTGAAATCGCGTCCAGGACATCGGAAAAAACAATTCCAATGGAAACAGGCCCAGGCTCAGGTCACCACTCAGGGGCGCAGGGAGAGTCAGCAACTGATCAGCAACATGAAGTTTCACCCACAAACATAGACGGAAAGCCAGTTGATCGGCAACGTGAGGCTTTATCAGCAGAGTTGGGTGGGGACCTAGAGGGAAAGCCAGACGACACAACCACGAGCGAAACGGGGTCAGTATTGTCACCGGCGTCAAAAAACTTTGACCGGCTAGTACAGGTAAACAGACAATCGCTGGCCGCTGAGCAAGACAGTGATGATAGCTTAGCTAAACTGCAGTTAAGCGCTAAAGAGGGTATTGCTAGGGGCAACGTGACGTTACACAAGAAAGGAGGTTTGTTATATCGGCACTACCGAGATAAGAGAGGAAGGGTTCTGGATCAGTTGGTCGTTCCTAGAAAATATCGCGAGGATCTCTTGAACCTCTGCCACGGAAACGGCTGGTCTGGTCACCTAGGAATAAACAAAACAAAAGAGAGATTGCTAATGGAATATTATTGGCCAGGGTGCTTCAAAGAGGTAAAGGAATTCGTAAGATCATGTGACACGTGCCAACGCACGGGTAAGCCTGGGGAAACGTGGAAAGCTCCGCTAAAATTGGTGCCTGTAATATCAGAGCCATTCCGACGTATGTTGATCGACACGGTGGGTCCCCTGCCGGCAACTAAGTCTGGTTATAGGTATTTGTTCACCATGTTGTGCCCTGCAACAAAGTTTCCGGAAGCAATCCCTCTGAAGGAGCTCTCTTCGACAGAAATAGTAGACGCGCTTCTGTCAGTCTTCACGAGAGTCGGCTTTCCGGCAGAAATACAGGCTGATCAAGGGTCAGTTTTTACGAGCTCATTGACTGCAACGTTCCTGCAGAAGTTCGGGATAAAACTGATACATAGTTCCGCATACCATCCCCAATCAAATAGCGTCGAGAGGTGGCATTCAGTGTTGAAGCGGGTGTTGCGTGCCCTCTGTTATGAGCATAAAGAAGACTGGGAAAGCTGTCTTCCGGCTACTTTGTTCGCCTTGCGTACGGTCCCGCATGAGGCCACGGGGTTCTCGCCGGCAGAGTTAGTGTATGGCAGGACGCTGCGTTCCCCACTTAGAATGCTGAGAGAAATGTGGGAAGAAAAGGGGGAAAGCCAAACTGTGGTCGAATACGTGCTGAAGTTGCTAGAGCGGCTCAGTACGACGCAAGGGCTGGTAGAAAAGAACATGGAAAGGGCTCAAAAGACGGCCAAGCATTACTACGACAAGAATGCGAGACTTAGAAACTTTAATATCGGGGATGAAGTGATGATTCTAAAACCGTCACGAAAAAACAAATTGGAAGTTCATTGGGACGGGCCTGTCAGAGTGATGCACAAGCTTTCTGACACAAACTACGTGTTGAAAATGCCAGGTCGAAGGAAAGAGGTAAAAATATACCATTGTAACTTGATGAAGCCCTACATAGAGCGTCAAGGACTTGTGAACCTCACTCTAAAAGAGGTCGAAGAAGTTCAATCTGAGTTCGACGAATGCACGAGAACTTCCGACTCAGAAATTAGCCTAGAAGAGGTCGTAGCTTCCTCTTTAAACACTAACGCACTTGAGCCTGAACAAGTAAACGAACTAAAAGAACTTCTGGAGCAATACATAGATAGGTTCAGTCGTCGGCCGGGTAGAACAGGATTATTAACCCACGAAATAGAATTGACATCAGCCGAACCAGTAAGATCCAAGCCATACCGATTGTCTCCAAAACAGAAAGAGATTTTGAAGGCCGAAATACAGCGCATGTTAGAGCTTGGGGTGATCGAGCCCGCTGAAAGTGACTACACGTCCCCACTAATACTTGTGGAAGCCCCTAATAGGGAACCCCGTCCTTGTATAGACTACCGGAAGTTGAATACTATCACTAGGGATCAATTGTACCCTATACCCAATATTGAGGAGCGAATCGAAAGGGTCAGCGCAGCGAAGTACATTTCCACGATAGATCTCGTAAGAGGATACTGGCAGGTTCCTCTCTCAGAAAGTGCCAGCCGTTATGCCGCATTCATTTCACCTTTCGGCACCTTTAGACCCTTAGTTCTTAGCTTCGGGCTATAAAACGCGCCTTTCAGCTTTTCAAAGTTAATGGACATTGTACTGAAAGAACTGCAAGACTTTGCACTCCGATACCTAGACGATGTCGCAATATTTTCCGACAGCTGGGAAGACCACCTCAAGCACCTAAAAAAAGTATTTTCGCGCTTGAGAGAGGCAGGTTTGACAATGAAAGCTGAGAAATGTAATTTTGGCTGCTCTCAGGTCACTTACCTAGGTCATGCTGTGGGGCAGGGAAGGAGGCAGCCGGCCGAACTAAAGACAGACGCGATTGCCGGGTTTTCACGTCCGCGTACTAAAACCGATATTCGGTCGTTCCTGGGACTTGTGGGGTACTACCAGCGTTACATCCCCAATTTTTCGCAACGAGCAAGTCCTCTTACAGACGCATTAAGAAAAGGGGAGCCCAACAGCGTGAAATGGGATGAGGACAAAGAAGCCGCATTTCAGGGTTTGAAAGCCTCACTCGTTTCCCGACCTGTGTTACGTGCACCGGACTATGGTAAGGAGTTTATAGTTCAGTGCGACGCGAGCGACAGGGGCATGGGTGTAGTGCTTAGCCAGGTTAACGACAATCAAGAAGAGCACCCTATTCTCTATGCCAGCCGCAAACTAACGGTCCGAGAAGAAGCCTACAGCGCTTCCGAAAAGGAATGTGCCTGTTTGGTTTGGGCAGCCCAAAAGTTGTCATGTTACTTGTCGGAGCAAGGTTCATCTTTGAAACAGACCACTGTCCCCTGACATGGCTCAATCCAATGTCACACAAAAATGATCGCTTGCTCCGATGGAGCCTCACCCTCCAGCAGTATAACTTCGAGGTTCGTTATAAGAAAGGTAAATTGCATAACAATGCAGATGGCCTTAGTAGACTCGTCTGAAAAGAGCCGTTTTAGGGAATGAAAGGCCACTTCAATTTTTTTACGGATTTTGTCATTGTATGACCAAAGGGGTTTGATTTAGTTTACTTCAATTTTTACGTCTTACTTCATGATTGTAGTCACTTTGGCAGCACTAAATTATCTCAAAATTTTAGCGTATAGATTTTTCTTTTGTTAGTGTTTGTTGAGAAGCCTGGAGGGTCTTAAGCGGGTCCAATGTGCTTGACTTCGGCATGGCATAGTGTTGTGTGGCTGGCCTTGCTGTTGTCGACCATTGTGAGCTGGTTTGGGAGTGGTTTCGAGTTCGCAGCTGGAGGGAGAAAGCCAGGTCATCGCCCTCGTCATTAACAATTCTCTTCGTGCCCAGCGGTTGGGAGCGCTGGCCAGCCGAAATTTTCCGGGCGGCGGAGGAGCTGTTAAGTTTGGCCTGGAAATGCGTCTGGGCATACGCCTTTGTGCGAAAGCCGATCCACTGGAGAGGCTCTTAATCCCTTCGGCGCCCGGTCTGACGGACGCTGTCAAGTGTTTGAGTGATTATCCAGACCAGGCGGCGGGCAGAGGCGAGTTCCCGTCCTTCAAGTGCGGACTCTTTTGTCGTCCCTTCAAGCAGCAGCGTGACTGATGACCTCGTCGACTCGTCGGGCGCAAGAGGGCTGGCGTGGCCGGCGCCGGAGCTGACGGCGGAGCGGCGCTTCTTTGACCCTCAGTCAAGTGGCCGACCGGGCGACTGCCTATGCCCGCCAGGTATTGTCCCTGCTGGCCGCCGGAGGAGACGTCGTGTCGCCAAGACGCCGTTAGCTGTTCGATAGAGGCCAACAAAGACGGCGTCTTCCTAAAAGAGACCGCGACGGACACCGCACGCAGATCGCCCCGCTAATTGGGCGAGCTGTGCAGTGGACCCTTTGAAGTATGCGGCCAGGATCGCGGGAACTCTCGACTAGCGGCACACCCACGACGAGGAAGAGCCATGCTAGCGCCACCACCGTGCAGTGTTCACGTGGAGCTTGCATGCTCGCCCCCCCTCACCTGTGTGTACGTGATTGGTGTTCGACTCTGAGAGGAGGAGCCCGACAGGGCATAAAACGACGAGGCAGAGTGCGGGACGGCGTTCTGAACCTTACTCTGAACTATGTAACGTTCAACCACCACGCTCGTGGCCTGTGAAACAACGTTTCATTCCTGTAAATAAGTGTAAATATAGTTATAAACCTCTGTTATGTTTCTCGTATCCTCTTGTCAGCGTTCAGTTCCTCCATCCGGATGCCATCACCTGCAACATCTTCCTTCCCATCTCTAACAATGCGCAATAAATAAAGGTACGGCAGATCCCACGCGCCTTGGGAATCGGCGTTATGCGAAGCATGCGGAAAGAAGGCGAGCGTGTCGCATTTTTTTTTTTTATTGAGCGACACGTCATGAAAGGACGTTGAATTTATGTACACATGTCGCACTCACAGACATATGTTGAAGAGTTGCAGATGTTTATGCAATCAGTTGTTTGCACTTGCGCAACGATGCCAACACCAGAAGCTGATATCAAGTGCTGATGCTCGCGAGGATGCTGGCCCTGGTCACTGCTACATAAATCAACTTCAGCGCATGGCAACGTAACGACTGTATCAAAGGTGTTCATATATAATGTTTATAAAATTTGATGCAACCACTTTACTGACATTTCACAAAGATTAGCGTCTATTTGAAAAGTAGCTCAGAGACCTAGCCTAGCTACTAGCTCTGTGGTAGAAATCTTCATTGCCACGCGAAATGCTTCGGATCGATTCCAGCTGGAACCCTGACATTTGCATTCGTCGGGTCGATGCTACCGAAGTCAAGTATTTCTTAACGCTCGTGCGTCAAAATTGTCCACGTGTGTTCTCGTATTCTTCGGTAGATACCAAGTGTCAATCACCTGTGGTACATGCACGCATATCAGTCGCACATATTCGCCTGTAGGTATGTGCCACGGTCTGGCGGGAAGTGTTTGACAACATACAGGACGGGAATATGACATTATGCATGTTTTGACCAGTGCATCATATTCGTCGAACAATCTTACCCTCTCATGCTAACTTTAGTTCACACCAAGTTAAGGGGGTGATCACGAGAGCACCCAAACGAAAGTGGCTAGATAGATAGATAATCTCAACGTCGCCGAAGTTCGCTAAGAAATTCTTCGCATTTAATATCTGACAAGACAGAGACCTGCATTTAAAATAACTCCCACTCTAGCAAGTCTGCATCACAGTGATCAGGCGCTCAATGTTTCTCGGGGCTAAAAAGGAAAGTGTTCGTTTTTTTGGGGGGTGATAGTACTGATACCAGGTTGTTGGAACAACCTCCATGTGCGGCGAAAGTCAGCTGAAGCCTTCTCAAAAGTGAGCCGCAAGCCCGCTTGCTTTGAATGAAGATACATGTGCATCAACGTCCTGCTGTGCAGGTCTTGGAATGTAACCTAAATTATAAACAGTGAATATAGTAGGGCAGGCATAACTCGGGTAGTTTTATTCGGACACATGGGATATACAAAAATACTCGAATCAGAAACATTTTTGACACATTTAACCAGGGGCACATGAGGGAAACACAGTGTACATCTTGGGTTCATAGTTTTTATCATTGAAAATAAATAACATAGCATTGAGCTTTTATTAAATAACTGCACCCTACTAACATTTTCATGGAGTCAACAGGAGTTGCAAGTGAGTCTTCACTGGCTAACATCACACAAGGCAACACAATCATACACACTTTGCCAGCTTTAAACCATTCAACAATTCCACCGTGGTCCCTAGAAAACTTTCAACCGTGATTTATTGCAGCCCTCAGACATTTGAAGTATCGCCTGAATGCAAATCTGTCATTGTTTAGATAGAACATGCTGCGGGTTAGGAACAACACTGAGCGATTTTGTTCCACCACGAAGCATCCGTTATGATTCGCACATGTTCAAGCTACAACCTTAACCTATATGATGATGCACAAAACATACATTTGCCGACTGCTGCATATCAGTATTGCAGATGCAAACCTTACCTTTCAGGTCATAACAATTAAACACATCATTGGCAAATGCGACTGAGCTCATTCATACTGGCAAGACGTCGAAACAGTGTGGCCATGGTGGGAGAAGCTGACAAATCGCGAGAAAATACAGCATGTTGACAGGCCGAAAGCACTATTCACTGCTAACATCGGTTGCCTTGAGCTACCCCTTGATATGGTCACGTGCCCCCTAAAGCAAGTCTCACCCGTAAAGAAGTTCATACTCTTGGTCACATAAAACATGTCATGGTTCACACTAGTCTGCAACAACTAGACAGCTAATTAGCTAATTCAAATAGTCAAGATACCTTTTCAATACAACTCACCAGAGAACTGCATGTCATGCACCTCATGTGTGCTGTGATTCACTGCAGCTTTACTGTAGCAAATGTGTACGTTGAGCTTGTCCATGTTCATAACTGGTTGTAGCAGGCCTTTGACTTTTTCTTTTTCCTCACTAACTTTCTGCGAAGACGTGGCCTTTGAAATATAAAACAGACAAGTTTACTCGCTGCCAGAGAGTGCCTCACTTGATCTATGAGCAGAATTGACATTAACACAACGGTTCAGTTTGTTGAATGCTCTGCTGTGTCACCTGCATGTGGCATCACTGTCCCCTGACAGTACCACATCACAGGCATAAAAACAGCAATGAGCAGCTTGGCTATGAAATGCTCCTAGTACACTGTGGCAGGGTGCATGACCACAGATGCCACAGACAGCAGAACGCAGACCAGGCGTTACACTGAGGTAAAAGAAGTACGAGCGCAACTACTTGCAACATCAACAATGACATACGTATATGTCTTTATATCTTTACCATTCACATACGCGACGAGTAACAATAGAGAATAGCCTCTCATTCAATGCCAAATGCAGAGTTTAGTGTTTTTCTAGTATACTCGTATGCGAGGAAGAGGGCTCCTGTTGCTGGAAATGTTCTCAACAGTGTTGGTCCCAATCCATTATAGAGGGCTAAAGGACCTGAAAGTTAAAGAGAAAAGTGGACGTAATAAATGAGTCATGGGGCAAGCAAAAGCAATGCTCTGATGTGTTGTTTTGCACTGAACTAGTTCCACCAATTGGACACTTCTTTCCCTCATAGTGCTGATGCATTACTGTTACTATCAGTCTCAAGAGCAGATCAGGAAAACATTTTACAGTTAATAGGTATTGCAAAACCCGCACATTTCCTACTTGCATTACAATAACATTTACTGTGAACAATATCAAAGAGTCTTTGCCACTCTGATAGTCACGACGAGAGACTATCCTGGTTTCATACCTTACTACAGAACAGAAATGTTAACGTTAACACAATGCAGTGATGTCACATCTGTGTAGTGACAAGCACAGCAAGACGATGTCCTGTAAGCCTATGCTACTACTCATTACAGTTGAACTGACATATAATTAATTGTTATGTATATATGGAACAGTAGTAATATCTCCTTGAATATATTTTAGATGTATAAAATATTTAATATAACAAATTACCCGGTATCTATAGAGTTCTGCTTCAGATTTGAGGTATCCAAGTCTGACTGCATTCCATCCCCAAGGCACAACTGATGTTGCTAAAGCTTTAGCAACAACTTGATTTTAGCAGGTAACCATTACTAAATTGCACATGCAAGGACAAGAATAATAACAAGTGCTCCTCCTATCTATGCTATCTTTAACATCTCCTCACCCACACGTCTGAGTAACACTTGCAGCACTTGTATCTACAATTGTTACATGGCAACCATGATCCATAAAGTAGTTTTTTTGAGTCAATACTCACCTTCAGTACGAATTATAGTTCTCGCTACAGATAGGGCAGGCTCGTTGGATCCAGAGATCTGAATGCGAGATTTGATAACGTCGGCTGGGAAGATAGAGAGCCAAAGGCACATGCCACCTATACCACCGCTGACAATAGTTCTGGCAACACCTGTTGATCAAGGAAAAGGTGAAATTACACAGAGGTGAAGTTACACTGACTCCTACAGAGTATGCTGGGCGTAAGGATACATTAGCGAAAATAAATTTATCATACAGATAAACTGGTAGCATTATCCCATGCATAGTTCTGACCAGCATTGAAATTTGCTTGCAATCAATGCATAAAATGCATGTGTACGGTCGGCATCAAATGAAACCTGAACAGTGGCAAGAATTCAGAATGCTATAGGGTACACAGCTCAATTATCACCATGGGCAGATGTGCATATGCACAGTGCTGCCAAACCAAATGTGCGCCTGTTAATGTTGATGACTGGAAGGCACACGCTACAATATAGGAAAAGCTTGCCGCTGTTTGAATTTCATTCAATGCCATTAAAACAATGAGACGGATATGTGCTCGAAAATAGACATGTAGCAGCCTTCCCTGTGTACTGACTTAATAACTGCTTGGAAGTTGCAATGGAACAGCCACACAAAGCACAATGAAACATAGGGCACACATTCAAGCACACAATAAAGGAGAACAGTGCCTATTTTTGTGAGCTCTTCAAGAATATGAATAGGCAGCATGTTCTATTTATTTTAATATATACTTCCTGCATGTATTTTGTCAAAACGATTAATTATACACCCTAACCTCTCCACACACCTCATGTGATTCTTTTAAGCCATTAAAGGGACTGTCTGCAGCTCCAAACAATTTTTGTGAATGTGGTGCCAATGAAAAGATCTTTCATCACATTGGCGGCAATAAGCACGCTTTTGTGCTAGAAAAAAGGAATAATAATTTTAACTTGATGTTGAAAGTCTATAAAAAGTGACCAGTAGCGTCACACAACAGCGAATGTGGTCAATCTTCACAATCTATTGGTAGGACGAAAAATTGTTGCAGGTAGAATTATTTTGCTTGAAGACAAACATGTTTAACTTGAATGTGTATTTTATGCACTTGAAGCAGCTTTGTATTGTGCCAGAGACCAATTTTTGCTTGTTTTTTTTAATCGTTCGAATAGGCGCCTGGTGGCGCTACCGGCGGTGTGTTCGCTTGCATGCGTGTCTGCCTGCAAACGGCAGAGAAACGCGACCACGGCGTCCGCCACCGCTCATGAGAAGAAAAAAAAAACTGTGCTTGCCTAAAATGGACACCGAGGTAATTGTTTTATCAGAAACCAAACTTGATGAAGCCTGCAAAAACCGCACGCGGTTTCACTTTTCGATTTTCACTGGCACCCACCAGTGTTGCCAGCATTCATCACACCGATGGAAGGAGACATAACGCGGACAGAAAAATTTTGTTCGAAAAAATTATACGCACTTTCCAGAGAAACTGCTGCAAGGTTAGACACTTCACATGGTACACTTTTTATCGCGACACAAAAAAGGAGAGCAATGAAGGACGATAGACAGTCCCTTTAAGGTGAAATGAATTAAAGAGAGTGAGCGTTCAGATACTGACTGCAAACCATACTTGCCTATTTCTTCTTTCGTCTTTCCTGGTGGTGTGAATAGATAGCGAGCTCCCTCATAGCCTCCAAAGAAAAAGAAATATCCAGGCATCTCCCTGACAAGTGTAGCTGAAAACCCTTTGAAAAATCCCAAGAAGCCGTCTTGTCTGTAGATCTGCCTGGTAAGCTGCCACGTTCCACTGGAAGGCAATGTGGAAGGCAACCTTTATTGCACCACCAATGCAAAAACACTATATAGCTATAGTTATAGTGCCACAAAGATTTGAGGGCACATAAGCGTAATTGCAAGAAAGAGTTATGGCATACTGCTACAGTAAGTGAACTATTACAGCAGTAGATATACGGTCTGCACCATAGCTCCCCTCTGACGCTTATGAAGGAAGGCACAGCTGCAAAATTTTGTGTAAAGTGTACTGCTACTATGGGGCCTACAAACGAAACACTTTAAATGGTTTGTTACTTCAGATACTGCTCAGTTTTTTTTTTTTTTTAGTTGAAATTGAAGAATCACAAAGTATGACAAGCTTGCTATAAAGACTCGAATGAATATTTTCAGGGTAGATGGGTATCAAATGGCATTAAATATAATGCAAATTCTAACATAAGTAGCAGTATGGCATGCAATACATTGCACAGTATGTGTGTAAAATGCAACCATTTATTTTTTTTTTTTACAGATATTGAACAAAAAATTCTTGCCTTTCTGGTAGACCATGCATTCTTAATAATATTCAATTGGATTTGGATAAAGAGGTCCGTGAGGACGGACATCCATGTTGCATTGTCTTCCACACTGTTTGGGAAAAGTCCACCACAACTCTGTTTATTCTACGCAATGTGAATTCCAGCCACAAAATAAGGTTGTCTTGAGCAGTCATGTAGCATGGTTAACCAGACCGGGTTTTTATCAGCACAAGGGTAGTGTGTAGAACATTTTCGACACCTCATGTTTTTCGATTAACTCTGTGGCCAGTCAGCTGCATCAGTAAGTGCCCTGCTTTAATGTATGTACACCCATGCTTTGTCACAAGAGATGCATCCACACCCTTCTCATGAAAAATATGAATGATGTGCTGCACTTGTAAAATGAGTTTCAAGGAACAATACTTAGCCCAAACGATCCCTGCTCGTCCTAACTAGTTAAAAGTTGAATGGCTTCCCAGACTCAGTGTGACAGTGTCAGAGAAAAGAAACGAAGATGTCACAACCAAATGAAGCAATGAAGAACCCTTGAAATGCAGTGTTGCTGGAGCCCTGTGTTCCAATGATCTTTCATCACTTCAACATTTCATCTTCCCCAGAACTTCTACCTTATTTGGGCAACCAAATGGAGATATACATGAGAGGAAACCTCGCACTTTCACACAACTCACATGCCAGCTTGACTGGTGGCCCCTTTCAAGTGAGTGCTTTCTCGCATGGACTGCAACTTGCACTTGACTAGCTCAGTGGGGCACAGGGTGAGTGAAGAAAAAAAGGCAGCAAGGAAACCTGCTGAGGCATTGTCCAGGGGGTTCAGTTCCTGCACGTTGGGCTTTCGAACCAATTTCTGCACAACCTTTTGGCACACTCCGTAGGCACAGAAGAGAACCGAATTCTCCGCAATGTTGGCCACAAGGGCGGGGATGGTTCCGGCATACAAGCCCCGCACACCGTCCTGAGAGAGGGTCTTCTGGAAGCACTTGATGCTGCTGGGGTACAGCTCGGGGAAGCTCTGCATTTTCACTTTGACCGTGTCGAGTGGCTGACCGACAGCCACAGTGGCAGCACCACCTGTCAAGTAAAAAAGAAATGGTAGTGATTTTATGAGGACAACCTTGGAGCGACTAGAAGTCAATAATTGGCCAAGAAGTTAAGCTCGAGTGAGTTGAGGATCTTTAAGGCGGTGTTAACAATATAAACAATGAGAAAAAGAGACAGCACTCTTTGCCTCCGCCTATCCTGTCCCCCCTTTTTTTTTACTGTTTATGCGCTGTTAATCTTTGTAAATTTAGCAAAGACTAGCCGATGTTAATGAATGCTGGCAGTACGTAAGTCAATACGGTAGTTTAAATCACGTGACTTGCTGAGCCGTTCTGGGTGCGCATGCCTTCCGGGGTCGGTCTATATACATATATATTTTGTTTCGGTCAGATATTATAGCCCATTACAGAGTTCCGGTAGAAAATGCCGAGACACACACAGTCAAGGTACACGATCACGAGATTGGCGCGTGGACGTCTGACCAAACTGCGAAGCTCAGCAGGCAGACACCACTCGAATTCTGCAGTGCGAAAGTAAAACTGCACGAGAGTTTCAAAGCTGAAGAATCGTTCGATTTGTGCCAGCCTAGCTTGCCGTCGAAGGCCATCTTGAAGAGCACAAAATGTGGCACGTTAACTTCGGTGACGGATGTTCGGCGACCGTTTTATGAAGAACATTTCCGTTAAAGTAAATGTGCGAAGGTCAACAGGTACGCACGCAGTCAACGACGCTCCGTACCGCGTAGATCAACATCCACAGCCCCATAAACTCGTTCTTTTTTATGTATGTAAAAAGGTTTAATATTAAAGCGATTCCGCGAAGCGCCGACTCTACGGGTGTTGATTGAGTCGGGCTATTTGTGTCTTTTTAAATTGATGGCACGTGTCGACTTTCTCGCTCCGACACGGTGCTTTACGCGACGGTAGCACGTAATAAGACACAGGTAACCCAAACAGAAGCGGCAGCTGAGGCCTGCAGAGCAACTTTTGCGAGTCGGTGCAGGATTGCATAATCCCTTACCGGCGGTGCCAGCGACCAAATCGACGGCTGCTGCTAAGTAGTGCTTGTACACCGTTCCTCCGATCTCAGGGTGATCGCGTAGCTCCTGAAGGTCGTGTATCTCGGTCGGAAGCGGGTTAGACATGCTGCACCACTGAAATGAAACCGAAGATTTCAGGTGGTCCGTGCGAGCAATTCGTCCGCACGTCCGAAAGGACGTGCAGACCCACCCGCCGAGCGAAAACAACTTACGTTCTGTGTCGTCGATGAGCAAAGAAGCGCTGCTCTAATAAGAATGCTAGTCGGGCAAACGTGTTTCCCGCATTACGTTCAACGTCCTTCGTTCTGCCACTTAAGGTTTCCGTTCTGCTGACCGCATGGCACCGGCGCTACGCACCGACCACATGCGCGGGCTGTGAAGTGAACTCGCAAACGACAGATGGCGCGTGCTTTGTTACAAAAAGTATGCCTACAATACACTGGATGGCAGCACGTACTAGTCGTTTATTCTTACGCGCCTAAGTTTGAATGTGTTGGTCCTAAATGCTTGCTACTTGCGCTCTTATGGGTTCGAACTTTTCGAAAAGGTCGCTATCTTATAAAGGTTTTGAAAGAGAATCCTTATAACGGTGATAAGACTCACCTCAATCGCTTTTCCGGTCAATCACGCGACGGCAAGCGAATGTGTTCACTTGCTGAACTGTTATATGATAACGCTAGATACTACAGTAAAACCGGCATATATCAGACTCGAAGGAAAGCAGAAATAAGTTTGATATATCGGATAAATTTATAGAGAACTTTTAATGAAATTGTACTTGTGGTACAAACTGTGTTGCACAAGCTGGCTTCACTGCAGCGTTTTATGGTGATGTAATGAAGTTTTCTTCACGGCAATACGTGGGTTCCTTTTTATGTATTACTGTTATTTTAGATTTGTGTGTGGTCTCTGAATGGAGAGTGGGTTTATATGCAGAATCGAGTAATGCGAGAGAAAATACGGCATTGATGTAAGGCATTGATGTAAATACGGCATGATGCATTGATGTATCAATAACATAGCCTCTAACCCCGTCCCTGTATCCTCCGGCGTCCCCCAAGGTTCCGTGCTGGGTCCCCTATTGTTCCTGATATATATCAATGATCTGCCATTGGAAGTTACTTGCTCTATTCGTATGTTTGCAGACGACTGCGTTATTTGTCAGTCAATAAGAAATACCTCCGACCAGGCTGTGCTGCAGAGCAGTTTATCTAAAATCCTGAATTGGTGCGATCGCTGGCTGATGGTCCTGAATCCCAGTAAATGTAAGTTAATGTCCGTCACCCACTCGCGAAGCCCTCTCCTCTATCCGTACAAAATTTCTAGCACTCCTATTGAATCTGTTAGTACCTTCAAATATCTTGGTGTAACTATATCTCCAAAGATCTCAATTGGTTTCCGCATGTGTCCAACGTCATCTCATCCAGTAACAAAACCCTGGGCTTTCTCTGACGTCATTTACGCAGCTCTCCTCCTCACGTTAAACTCATCGCATACAAATCTTTCAATTCGACCAAAACTTGCGTACGCGTCCGCAACCTGGAATCCTCATCAATCTTATCTCATAGACGCATTAGAAATGGTGCAGAACCGCGCCATCAGGTTCATTCACTCATCATATTCGTATAACGTTAATGTATCCTCATTAAGGGCGGCAACTGGCCTGCCCACCCTTTCTTGTCGCCGTCGCACTGCCAGCCTATCCCTGTTTCACAAAATGTATTACAGTTCACTCGATCAGCCACCTTACATCTCACCGCCTGCTCGCATATCCCTTCGTACTGGCCATTGCTTAAGTGTTGCTCGTCCTCAAACCCGTACTCTCACCTACTCGTCTTCTTTTTTCCCACGCACTATTGTAGACTGGAACGGCCTTCCCCACGCCGTCGTTGCCACCACCAACCCAGATGCTTTCATTGATGCTGTAAAAGTGCACCTCTCATCCTGAATGGTCATGTTATCATCTATCCTTACTGTACACCCAACCCTTATGTAATGCCCCCACTCGGGGTCTTTAAGGAAATAAAGTGAAAGTATTGCCTCAGACTCTTCCTACGCAGCTGTGCGTACTCATCTGGCGCCTGAAGCGGGTACACTGCCTTGGCCCTAATGTCGGCCTTGCTTTTCAGTGTCGCCTTTAGAGTGCCTATTAGAACACTGTACGCAGTGGTATGGGTAATGACTCTTTTCCCCATGTTCTACTGCATTGATTATCGTGAACTCTGCGGTGAACCACGCAGCATCCATCGCGTCAACAAAACGAGCCGAGAAGCGAACACGCACGGAGTGTCGGTGACTCAACGGCGAGGAATCGTGGAGAAAAGCACGTGATGGCAAGCAATGCTTCATACTTCCTACGCCGCTTGGTCTCCCAAAAGCGTGCGGAAAAGTCGCCTTTCGCGAGCAAAATTCATTCACGGTAGGCAACTTGGAACGTTTCCTGATGCCCGATATTCGATATGTCAAGGGCTCAGACTGTTTTTGTTTGATGTAGCCGTAGTTTTTCATGTGGTGATGGTGGTCGTTGAAACTTTATTGCTTTATTTCCCAGAAAGGGGTCTTCAAGAACACCCAGCATTGAGCGTTGCCGTGATCGAAAGTAGTTCCTTATAAAGGAAAAATTGATTTAGCGCGGCCGAATTTGATGCAATTTCTAGTATGCCATCCTTGATAACCTCCCGGACTTTCGCTTTCTCACATGGGACCAAATAGGGATGACATGGCAGGTATAGGCATGGTTGTGAGTACCACCGAATGTGTACCCCTTTGAGGCAGCCGGAACAAACAAATAATGGTGTGATGATGTAAAAATAATTAAATAAACTAATTGATAGCACGTTTATTTGTTGATATAGCTTTATGCTGTCACAACGTGACATGACTCGGCACGTGGTGAAACTGGGCGTAAAAGTGTGCCGGTGTCACACGGGCACTTTTGATCGCGATAATGCAAATCGAATTTGTTGATTTCGATAAACGATCGCCAATTCTACATAGATTTATTGTTTGACATGTGGTGTTTAACGTCTCAAAACCAACTTATGATTATGAGAGACGCCGTAGTGAAGGGCTCCGAAAATTTCGACCACCTGGGGTTCTTTAACGTGCACTCAAATCGGAGCACACGGGCATACAACATTTTTGGCTCCATCGGAAATGCAGCCGCCGCCACTTCTACATAGGGCTCAAACTAATCTTGATTAAGTTTGGCAGATTTTCTGTCAAATCGTGATGAGGGAGCCAGGTCGTGGTATGAAGATCGCGATCTTCTCGATTCCGATCGAGCCTGATCACGACTAAAGCGACCGCTGGATATCCCGCCTAAGCAGTGGCGTAGCGAGGGGGTGGAACACCGGGCCCATGTGCCCCCTTCTTACCTCTGTTTGCATAATTGTTACAACCTTCGTCGGCTAATGGTAACGGTAATGTCACCTTAGTACCGCCAGTCCTGTATTTTCGTGTTCCTCTCCTTGTTTCACTGATTCATTGACGTTTTTTTTGTTCTCTATTAATAAGCCAACTCGCCCAGCAAAACCATTATTGCGATAGCAATTATATTAACAGTCTCGGCTGGTTATATATATATATATATATATATATATATATATATATATATATATATATATATATATATATATATATATATATATATATACAGAAATTCAAGAAAGTAAAAAAAAAACCAACCGTGCTCGGCGCCCAACTCGTCAAGATGCGCCGACGCGCGCTTATCTTCCACGCGCACTTTGCCCCGCGAAGGGGGGGGGGGAGGTAGAAGATGCTTGTGCGCGCGTACTTATCCTTCTTTCGGTTGGGAGAATCGTGTGTCTAAGGCTTTCGCTGGCACAAGATTGCGCTAGTTTCCGGGCCCACAAAGGTCACTTCACTCCGCGGCACAGTCCCCGTTTGCGAAAAGAGCGCGCCTTTCATACACAGCGAAGTATAACATCTGAGACACTTGTTAGTTTGCACTCATCCGCACTTGTGATTACGTTTCGTGTGTCGTTTTCATATAAACAGCGCGTTATGTGTCGAGCGGTAAACGTTGTTAGTTCGCTCTCGTCCTGTGTATGTTGTTCTTGCGTGTCATTTCTGCGTGAGCAGCGTGTTGCACGTTTTGATCTGCTTGCCGTTCTCAGCAGTACACTACAAGCTGATGCTATCGCATTCATTCTTCGCCCTTGCGGCGAAATTGTGACTTTTTTAAAACTTTGGAATATTTATTTTTCCCTTACTTCTCGAATTAGTTTTGTGCACTACAGTGTTGTGATGCATGAACAACTCACTAGAACTCTTGAGTGCTTTATTGCATTTTGTAGCATTCCCTTCATAATTTTACGCGTAGTGAAGTAGCCGGTGTTTGTATATGCGTACGACTACAAGTTGTCGAGCGCTAAACGTTGTTAGTTCGCTCTCGTACTGTGTATGTTGTTTTCGCGCGTCATCTGTGCGTGAGCAGTGCGCTGCACGTTTCGATCTACTTGCCGTTCTCAGCGGTACACTCCAACTTGATGCTATCGCATTCATTTTTCGCCCTTGCGGCGAAATTGTGACTTTTTTTAAAACTTTGGAATATTCATTTTTCCGTTAGTTCTCGAATTAGTTTTGTGCACTATAGTGTTGTGATGCATGAACAACCCACTAGAACTCTTGAGTGCTTTATTGCATTTTGTAGCATTCCCTTCATAATTTTACGCGTAGTGGAGTAGCCGGTGTTTGTATATGCGTACGACTACAAGTTGTCGAGCGCTAAACGTTGTTAGTTCGCTCTCGTACTGTGTATGTTGTTTTCGCGCGTCATCTGTGCGTGAGCAGTGCGCTGCACGTTTCGATCTGCTTGCCGTTCTCACCGTTACATTCCAAGTTGATGCTATCGCATTCATTGATTCGCCCTTGCGGCGAAATTGACCTTTTTAAACTTTGGCAATATTCATTTTTTCGTCGCTTCTCGAATTAGTTTTGTGCACTACAGTGTTGTGATGCATGAACAACTCACTAGAACTCTTGAGTGCTTTATTGCATTTTGTAGCATTCCCTTCATAATTTTACGCGTAGTGAAGTAGCCGGTGTTTGTATATGCGTACGACTACAAGTTGTCGAGCGCTAAACGTTGTTAGTTCGCTCTCGTACTGTGTATGTTGTTTTCGCGCGTCATCTGTGCGTGAGCAGTGCGCTGCACGTTTCGATCTACTTGCCGTTCTCAGCGGTACACTCCAACTTGATGCTATCGCATTCATTTTTCGCCCTTGCGGCGAAATTGTGACTTTTTTTAAAACTTTGGAATATTCATTTTTCCGTTAGTTCTCGAATTAGTTTTGTGCACTATAGTGTTGTGATGCATGAACAACCCACTAGAACTCTTGAGTGCTTTATTGCATTTTGTAGCATTCCCTTCATAATTTTACGCGTAGTGGAGTAGCCGGTGTTTGTATATGCGTACGACTACAAGTTGTCGAGCGCTAAACGTTGTTAGTTCGCTCTCGTACTGTGTATGTTGTTTTCGCGCGTCATCTGTGCGTGAGCAGTGCGCTGCACGTTTCGATCTGCTTGCCGTTCTCACCGTTACATTCCAAGTTGATGCTATCGCATTCATTGATTCGCCCTTGCGGCGAAATTGACCTTTTTTAAACTTTGGCAATATTCATTTTTTCGTCGCTTCTCGAATTAGTTTTGTGCACTACAGTTTTGTGACACGTGAACTCATCACTGATTTGATGATTGATTGATATGTGGGGTTTAATGTCCCAAAACCACCATATGATTATGAGAGACGCCGTATAGTGGAGGACTCCGGAAATTTCGACCACCTGGGGTTCTTTAACGTGCACCCAAACCTGAGCACACGGGCCTAAAACATTTCCGCCTCCATCGGAAATGCAGCCGCCGCAGCCGGGATTCGAACCCGCGACCTGCGGGTCAGCAGCCGAGTACCTTAGCCACTAGACCACCACGGCGGGGCCGTGAACTACTCACTAGAACTCTTGAGTGCTTTAATGCATTTTTTAGCATTCCCTTCATAATTTACGCATAGTGAAGTAGCCGGTGACTGTATATATGCGGACGACTACGACGTGCTGACCAGTATGCACACATTTATTCTTATATATGCACGGTTGAAATTTTCCAGAGCCATCCGCAGTGTCGTTCCACAGTCATGTCGTGGTTCTGGGGCATAAAGTCCCAACAATTATGATTAGTATTCGAGCTGGGTCGTCATACATAAATGGACGATTCGGTGCGCCATGGATGAGTGGTCTGTATAGTGGTCTGGATGAGTGGTCTGAGTGGTCTCTCTCTGTGTGTGTGTGTGTGTGTGTGCGTGTGTGTGTGCGTGTGTGTGCGTGTGTGTGTGTGTGTGACTCCGGCTCGAGGCACGCAGCCTACAAACGCGTAGCATTCATTGACATCTGGCCGTTGGATACGAATTAGAAAAAAAAAAGAACCAACATATGCGCGATATAACGGTCGGGCCGTAGGGAACATAAATGTTTCATTATTGAAGCAAATGCGAAGCACGTTAGCTGTCTGCAGCTATATGCCGTTATAGGTTTTATTAGTATCATTTTATATTCTATTTAAACATTGTACTGACAGGCCCACGTTAGTAGCTGAGAAGTCGACTGAGGAGACGCGTCAAATGCCGGGAAATAAAGCTATATATAAATAGATAGCTTTACTTTTAAATAATAATAATAATAATAATAATAATAATAATAATAATAATAATAATAATAATAATAATAATAATAATGCAGCTTCGCACTTGAGGTTGCCAGGCATGCAGGAAGTACGGAGTTGGGCAGCCTTCCTAATGCTTCTCTTCGGTTTTCTTTTTCTCTTCTTATGTTATTTTTCTGTACTTTTTAGTTTTATTCATTTCTTCCTCTCTATCTATTTTCTTTTATTTCTACTTTCTCCCTCTCTATTAATTTCTTTATCTCTCTCCTTCTCGCTTGCCACCTTTTGTTTGCTATTCTTACTCGTGATTTTGCTTTTGTTGCGCCAAACGACGACAAAGGCCCGGGCCATTAAAAGTGCTCCGAACTTAAGAAGTTGTATATTCGGGGTGCTGTTTGTTGTTTCCCTGCGTATTTCTGCGGACAGTCAAGCCGGCCACCAGTGCTTCTGTGTGGAGTAACGGGGCTACACAAAACCCGATTCGTTACACGAGTGCTGTTATTTACGCCGACCCTTCTTTTTTTATCTTGTAATACAGCCGCAGCCACCGGCACGACCGGGTTCGCCGAGAAAGCTTGGCTAACCGCAGTAGCTCGATAACCGCAAGGAGGGGAAAACAGGCGAACGTAGCGTGTCTTCCACGCCATCTTCCGAGGCACTGCAGTGAAGCGCATCAGGCGAGACAGGTGAAGACTGGGACGTCCCGAACGCGTAGCCGCACGATCGGCCCCCGGGGATGAGGGCGTGATTTGCGGCGGCGGAGCACAATGGGCCGTCCGCCGCCGTTTGGCGGCCGTGACGGACGGGGCTCGCGGGAGCCATCGGTCCTCCTGGCGGCCACGATCGCTCCCCCGTCTCCCTCGAACGGCGCATACGTGCGGCATCATGGAAGAAGCATCAATTGCAATGGCTTCGCTTTTTTCTCCCTCCCTTCTGTGCCCCGGCAGCCGGATCATCTCTCTATACGTCCAGGCGGCTAATGAAAAAGCGCGTTTTGGCGTCGCTCCCGTTTACGACCGAGCAGATTGGGGAAAGTTTGCTGGGCTACCCGCGACGCGGCGCAATACTCGCAACGGTGGCCGTGCACACACTTTGGCCACTTTTCATCCCCGGGTTCTGCCGCGGTTGCCAGCTTGCAGGCCAGGGCAAACAGTCGCGAGTGGCGAGACCCATGCTCGGCGGCAAACAGTCGTAAAATCTGGTCCCCACTTTTTCTCCCAGCACAGCGGTCGGGAATTAACTAAGCCACGCGCGGTCGTATCGAGCAATGTGTGGTCTCATTTTATACAGACTTTGGATAAGGGGTTGCGTAGTGGAGCCCTTCTGGCCTCGGGGAAGTTGCTCGACTGCCAGCCGGGTTGAAATGAATGCGTTGTTGCGGGTGTGATGTGGATTCTCGTCTGTTAGCGCATCGCACGTCGTAATTTTCGAGTGTGATAGGCGGACTGCTAATATGGAGCTCTATAAGAATTGACCCCAACTTCAAGCTCGCGTGAGTGGTTCCGCATTCAACAGAATCCGAGGAGGCTTTATCGTTCAATGCATATGCGCTGTTGCTAGCTGATCATCTCGGTCACGTTGTGTCCCTTCCGTCCACTATTAATGAGTGCCTACAACGCATGTGTACGCATTGCAAAATGTACAATAAACCAGTGGTTTATTCGCGTGATTCGCACATAAGGCCCACGGTATAACAAAGATTGCCGCGAGAGGGTGTTGCATGTATCTGACGTCGTCGTATACGACCATGACTCATGTGTATATGTATATGCTGCCAGATTGGTTCGCATCGGAAAGATGCTCGCTAGACACCAATGCATGAGCAAGGATATCATGCGAGCTGTAATGCCCTTGAGTATAGTTTCCATATTCTGTCATTTCTTTCAGTGACTTTCTCTCTTTTTTTTTCTTACCTTCATCCAACGCAAGCCCGTCAACGTATGTAGTTCTCTGCTCACATTGTGTCAGAGCAGATCCTTCTTTACAAACACGCAGGACACAAAGTAATGAGTGCGAACTTCATTTAGTTTCACAAACATCGAAAACAAACAAAAAATGTCATTACCCGATAAAACTGCGCACAGCACGGCCTCTTCCTGAGGCACAGGTTCGCGCACTGTCGGTTGTACACTGTCCCATGTAAAGAAACAGTGCTTGGAGGTCGCAAATGGCCATCATGTGGTCCGTAAACACACGCATCAACTTAGACAGTGGCACCATTTGTCCATGCACAGAATAAGTGTCCCGCTGTCGGCGGCATGCAGCGCCATCTGAAAGGCGCGCATATTGTCCATTGCACGATGAGCCCCGTTGGCCTGCGCGTCTGTCGAGAACCGTACAGCTTCGTACTGCTTGGAGAGGAATCTGGCGAAGCAGCTGTCCACTCGTCATGGTAGCCGTGACCGTCATGGCAGCCGCCACGGTAGCCATGGCTATCGGCTTGACATAGAATCCACAATAAATCAACGTTCGAAACACTTGAATACGTGACGTAACAACACCCGGCTAACTTCTGGGAATTTACGGAATCCAGTTGAATTCCCTTGATAAAGCTAAAGGCCGCATAAACTGATACCAGGGCAATGTATCCTCCCTCGTAGCAACGAATTTACGTTTAGAGAAAGCGCTTACTCGTCTACGCCCCAGTCTCCGCTCTTCAGTGAACATCGTGTTTTCCAGCCCTGTGAACAACCACTTCTCTGTCAGCTTGGATGCATGGCGAGGGCAAGCCATGCATTTTGAAACCATAATTCCCATAACTAACTCCCAGGTGGCCTATAGAAATGCGACGTCAGAAAACCCGTACGTACACTAGCGCCAGATTTCTCCCCTAGCGGCCCTCATACGTAACCGTACGTTGACGACGGCCGCCCGCGGCGGAGAGAGAGAGAAGTGTATCCACGAGTGTGCGTGTCACTATGAGTAACCATCGGTAGGCGCCGCCGCTGCTGAGAAAGGCGGCAGCGTGGCGGTAGGAACGGGCTCTGCCTTGACCAGCTCTCGGTGCAGCATCTCCTCCTGTTTCTTGGCCTGCTTGCGATCCTTGGCGCGCCGGTTCTGGAACCAGATCTTGACCTGCCGCTCGCTTAGGCCCAGCATTGATGCCAGTTCCGCCTTGCGCCGGATGGTGATGTAGCGACTGTAGTGGAACTCTTTCTCCAGCTCCAGCCGCTGGTGGTCGCTGTACACAACGCGGTACTTGTCCTTGGTCCGAGTTTTGCCTGCGCAGAGCAGATAGAGAGAAATAAGTGATGCCACATGCAGTCATTGCTGCTGAATCAACCGAAATTCGCTGTACTGTCGTCGTCATCGCGTGTCTACCTACAGCGTAATCGATCAGGTCTCTCTCAGATTGTAGCCATTTACTCGTGGCACGTGTCTGTTCATACCATTGCATGAGTGCCAGTTTTCTAATCTTGTATTTCGGCCAAGCCCACTATTTCTTTCACCTGTCTCTCTCATTGAAACACGGTTTTCATCGCCACAGATTGATTGATTGATTGATTGATTACACGGTGATTGATTGATTGATTGATTGATTGATTATACGGTCTACCATACGCGTCATTGAACCGCATGTAATAAAGCTAGAAATGCTCAAGTGGGCTTCTCCACATAAAGACACTTTCTGCGCGAAGCCGTCTTTTATATTCAGAGGGTGTAGTAGAAACAGATCGACGAAAGTAATTTTTTTTTAATTGATAAACAATAATACACAATTCAAGGAGCAAAACCACGCATTGGTAAACGCGTAAGACTGCTCGAAGCCATTTTGTAAATGGCGGCAAAAGTCGCGCCTCCTGACGGATGGAAGAGTTTCTTTACATGCTGTTCTAGTTCATCGTTCCTGCATGTATTTTTTTTATAATAAATAACGCTAGATTGCTTAAATATATTAATTTCCTACCATTTTTGTACGATTTGATGGCAAATTTTTTCAGCAGTAATGGTTTGCAGTGCAGTCATCGGTTGATGTTTTGAGCTTCCAGCGCGTGTTTTTGAGCATATATTGGCAGGCTTCCCATGGTTCATTGTTCACGTCAGTGGGGGAGACTCTCTTGCAGAAGATTAAAGGTAGCAAAAACCCGGTGGTAGCGAGCATACGATATCCCTCTTATTGTCTGTAGGCCCCTGCGAAGCTGTCTCAGCGCTGCCCTCGGACCACCTGTGAGGGAACCACAGGCTACGGTGTGAGACATTCCATTTGGCTTATGCCAAGTGGGAAACAGGAGTGGTCTATACTAGATCCCCGTTACGTGCGGCAAGTATTACGTTTGGTAAGCTGGACGCTGTATGAACGCACGAGCCAGAGAACTTGACTGAAATCTAAAAGAAAATTAACTTGCGTGCAGAATGGACGCTGTATGAACGTACGAACCAGATAACTTGACTGAAATCTAAAAGAAAATTAACTTGCGTATCTTTTGCGCACTCCGAGGTTTGCAAATGCGAACCCAGATTTCATGAAGTCGGGATTCGGGGTAAGAGAAAGTATCAGACGACAAGTGAGTTGGCCTGTGGAAAGAGTGGCTAGGCCCAACTAAGAGAGCATAGAAGCAACACGTGTCCCAAACAACTAAACTCTAATTATTCACTCTGAAGCTCACAAAGAAAAGTCTCGTGATTCCTCGTGTATGCGCTCCTGGCATTGCGCACGGAAGCGCCGTTTGGCGGTGCTGCAGGCCCTTTACATTACCAAATTGAGTGGCTCCACCAAGCCACCCGGGGATCTTTAACCATCCGTGAACCACCTGGAGATATTTAACATGCAGCGAAATATATAGTACACGGGCCTCAAAAATGTTCGCCTCTATCGAAAATGCAGCCGCCACAGCCGGGATTCGATCCCGCGACCTTCGAATTAACAGTCGAATGTCAACCACTAGACCACCGCCGCGGGGCTTTACTAAAGGCACGAGTTCATACAATAAGAGCACGCTTTTCTCATGATAAGTTTTTAAGTTTTGGATATTTTATGTAGATCTTCTGGAAATCGATCCCACCGATAGCGCTTAAATTCTCCCAAATTGTATTTAAATTAATTCGAAGTAGTCTGTACTTAAAACTTTGAGAGACAACATTACTTATATTCAAAAAAATATATTATTGGAAAGTCTCCTTCATGGTGTACGTGACATGTGAGGATAATATTTTTTTTCTTGTGAGATAAATGTAGGAACCAATTTTTAGAGCTAGTGGTTCATGCACTGCCATGTAGAATCAATGTGCAATTTCACCGTCAAACTTTTTTTGTCTTGTTTCTGAGACAAGGCACATTCAATTATACGCCCCTGTACAATGGTCACTTGCTTCGAGGCAGTGCTGTGAACCCTCACAATATTGCTGCTGACCAGCAGGCACACTGCCCTCCTAATACAGATCTGTTCGCCTTCCAAATCAACCCTTAAACTTGATCCGTGCTCGTAAAAACGTTCTCCGGCAGGATACACGTGTTCTTATCCCACCGCACGTGTGTCTGCTCTCTCCCCCTTCATTTTGCGAGGGCCGAGAAAGTCGTGATTGTGGGACTTAGGGCAGGGGTGGCCCTTACACCGGCTTGTATCTCAACGTGGAACTGGTAGCATTTACCAGTAGGTGCTAGGTATCCACTGTTTCATTACAGTGATGGAAACAGATGCATACCATCTTAAGGGTAAGAGTAACGCTCCCGGCACCCCCTGCATTCCGGCCTTCGCTACAGCGACACAACCAGCTATGACTGCTGGACAGGTGATAGCACATTCCCCAAGACATTGCATCACTCATAATATACAAACCCGGCCCATTGTCGCAGATTTAGTACACATGTACACACAACATATTATGCTTTAAGGGCGAGTCTACGTCGCAGCAATAAAAAAGATCACACGAAGTGAAGGCCATTAGTTTTCTTGATAAGTACGCGAAAATTCGCAATAAGATATCGAAAACTTCCCGCGATATGAAGTCGAAACCAAGATAACCCGTTTACCCTATAGACCATACCCACTTGAAGGGTGATTTTCAGAATTTGAGAAGCGCTGAACACCGTTCATAATAAAACGTATGACACACCTCAAACTGGAGCCCAGTACTAGAGGACGGGTTGAGGCTGGGAGTCCTGCCTTACGCTGACCCATGTTGATCGGGTGTCCGCGCTAAGCTGGGCGTCGATATGGTGACCCCGGGGGAACCCGGCGGTGACCAGGTCGCCTAAGGAGGAGCGAACCGGCCCAGGGCGGAAAGCAACACCTCAAACATAGTTGTATGGCACTGTGAATTAATCTTGCAGAAGTTCTCAAGAAGGAATGTTATTTGAAACTGCGTTTTGGACGTGAGGCTGCGGAAACGCGCGCGTTTGTGTAAGGCGCTTTGGTGAATTTCAAAAAAAAAAAAAAAGAACGTTTGGGATAGCTAGCCTGGCCCTGTAGACCCAGCAATCAGTTATTGACATGAGTGCATGAAGACTGTCACGAGTACAGTTATCAAAGTGTGCCAGAGGTTTGTCGAAATAAAAAAAAAAACGCAGCCATTTCTGTTTTCAAACACACCCAATCTTTCAGAGTAGGACATTGAGTTGTGCACCTATATATATAATCGGCCCATTTTATAGTCCATTCACATATCCCGTTTTTTATGTCTCCTTTTTATATATTTTTATTTTATACATCTACCCATTTCTTAACCAGCCATTTCCAATGTCCTTTTTTGGCTAATCATCACATTATTTATGCCTACCTGCGAAATTGATAATCATATTTACTAATATTTTTTTACGTTATATTCACACTGTGTTTCTGAACTCTGTGCAAGGGACACGCATAAGGAATGGGAGTATAGAAGACACATCGCTGTGAAATATTACATTCATCCTTTCCCTGTTTTCGTTTTTCTTTTAGCGGTGCTTTGATAGCGGGCCGTGAAGCCTGCAGAACAGCAAAGCAGAGAACCGAATCACTCTCGCGGGACGTGGGGTGGTCGCCCCATGTGTACTTCACGTGAAAGGATATGCTTTTCTTTTTAATATGCATATAGCAATTACAACAAAAAAATGCGCATAGTGATCCAGACGACACGGGTGTATCAAGACGCTTCAGTGATTCCGAAAGGTTAAATTAATGTTGTTAAACGACACGTGAGATCTATACGTAAAGGTACACGAGTAATCACAAAGAGGTTGCGGGGGCGGGGGGGGGGGGGCATTTCTTCCAATTCACTCTTGCCATATGGCGAGGGAAAACGTCCCGGCTATGATGATTCAATGATCGTGGGGTATTGGGATTCGATCAGCTGGCGAACATGCCGGACCCAGCTTGAAGCGTTGATTGATATGTGTGACTTAACGTCCCAAAACCACCATATGGTTATTAGAGACGCCGTAGTGGGGGAAATTTCGACCACCTAGGGTTCTTTAACGTGCACCCAAATCTGAGCACACAAGCCTACAGCATTTTCGCTTTCATCGAAAATGCAGCTGCCACAGCCAGGATTCAATCCCGCGACCTGGCTTGAAGCGTTTAGTGATGTCGTTGTGTGAACAACAAAAAAAAAAAAGGACAAAACATGTATTACGTAGTGCGCGCTCTCAAAAGACGGTGGCAGCACGCTAAAGATCGTGTCTCCACTGATGTAAATCAAAACTATAACGTGCGTCTTTCTTTACAATGGACATGCCTGTATATTAGGTGGAGACTATGTGGCTTAGCTGCTACTGAGCATACCGGGTCCCGGTGGGAAATAAAGAGTTTGAGAATTGGGTTCCCAAGCTGCGTTGGGTAGGCTATTCAATGTTGCGTTTGGAGGAGCAGTACAGTCTGAGAACTGTGTCAAACTCAGGCGGCGTTGGATCAAACGCACGAAGTTCCATAAACGGCTAAACGCATGCGTGTGCAACGTTTTGCCAGCGACTCAAAATGCCCTGGGGACCCACGCTAGTTTTCTATTTTTTGGGCCTTGGGAACACGAATGAAAGGGTCCAAGATTGACTTGGGCTCTGCGCATGTGCCCTGGCGGGTCGCAAACTGCTTGTGTCTCCAAGCTCCTTGGGGCCCCAATTCTCAAACTTGCATTGCATGCGCGAAAACAGCGGAACATGCTGGAAGAATGCGTGATCACTTAACTCTATGCGCAAACGTCACAGCTATGACAATCGGTAGCTCCGACGAGAAACAATCTATAGATTCTCATATATATGCCACCTTCCTCCAATTCAAAGGCGACGCGGTAGACTTCAGTCGGATCGCAGTCTGGACCGGATAGGATGTGAAGGTTAAGGGGCGGGATTGTTAGCCAAATTTCTAAAGTTTCTTGGTTTTTTTTAAGAACGTTTACTTTGTCGACGTGCTGTCTTTATTTTAATTCCGCGATGTCGCGTGCCATGAACCACGAGACATGCAAGCCGTGTACCTCAGGTCTGCGGGCGCACCAAAGTCTATGTACAGGGTGTCTTTGTAAGCCATTGATGCGGCTGCCATTATCAGCTTCCGACTATAGATGGCACTTATAAGTGTGGCGTCATCATCATAAGCAGCATTGTAGCTTATATTCACAGCAGGGCGAAAGCCTTTCTCAATGATTCCCAATGTGACCCTGTCCTTCCACAGCTGATTCCTCTATATACCTTTCAAATTTCTTAGTTTCATCACTCCGCTTAACCTTTTGCCGTCCTCGACCACGCTTCTTATCTCTTGCATGTCAATTAGCGCTGAATAAAGAAGGGCCGCGGTGGTGTTCGTGTTTTTCTTTTGTTTGTTTTTTTGTTCTTTAGTCGTAAATTCACCATGTGCTGTATACGTTCCTGACTCGCCCAGAAGCGCGGGAAGCTTACCCGCTTCGTCCAATAGCGGGATGGCAACACAGACGGTGTTGAAGGCACAGCAAGTGGCTGCATCCGCTCGGTCATCGTATCCGTGGAATCGGCGGCCGGGGCACAGCGCATATGGAAGGAGAAAAAGTGACGCCACGTAAGCGTCACACGTGACACCGAAGATGTGACAGAAAGTGGACACAGCGTGAATTCGCTTCCGGCATGGAATTTCGCATCAGAGCTATATAGAAGAGCGACACATATGCTTGCGAATTATCAGAAATCGACGAACCGAACAAGGGAAAGCTCGATACGATTATAATGGAAAGCTGTATTCACCTTTTCATAAACGCCTCCCTGGGCGCCGCCATAGCCCTCCCTGGGCTGTGCGAATTGGCGCGTCCCCTCGAAAATGCACTGACAACGCTGCGCCCTTAGCCTTTGTACTCCCGCGCACAGCCCATCATGGCGGTGTTTTTTTTCCTTGCCGTGAAAAGGTGTATAACAGCGGAGCGGAGGTGCGCGTGCACGGAAATTTGAATATGTTACGTGCCCTATCTTGTCTGCATCTATGCATTTTTGCTCTGTTAACAAAAAAAAAGAAAAGTGTGGGACTGGGCTATAGTTGGCAATTCAGTTTCAAGGAGCTGCGGACAACGTAACAAGGACTTCTACAATTGGAGTAGCTGCAAGGCGGAACACATTACAATGCACAAATTCGCTCCCTAATACTTTTTTTTCTTTTACTTAAAGGTGCCGACAAGTATCGACACATGCTTACAAGTCCCGACAACAGTGTCACGTGACGTGACGTCCGGGACAAATGCTTTCATTACTAACACGCCAAATATGGTCCGGATACCTATAGACCGAAGATGTTTATAAGTCCGAAGACGAAGCTATGACGAAGATAGGTGGTTCCATATATCGAAACACCTGAGGATATTCGTCTTTATACCTCTCTATATATATAGCACTTTTGAGTTTTCATCCGTCGGCGCTCACTTGTGCTTTAGAATTTTGTTTAAGTTGTCCTTCGTTTGCATGATCGCATCTGGAAGTCGATTCGCTTCTGCGTTGCCATATCGATTCCCTTTTCTCTCATGTCTTCTCGACGTTGATATGCTTTAAATACCGTATGAAGAGAATTTCTTAATGTAGGTCCATACCACCGTTTTTAAAATTTTTGAACATCATTCGTTTTTTTTTAACTGTCATCCCAAAGCTGTGTGCCGAATACGAGTATTTTGACAATCACAAAGCAGACCTCGCAGTGATTCGATAATTTTGTGGCCACTGAAATACAACTTTTTTAGGCATGTCACCTGCAGTGTCCTAAAAAAAAGTTTCCAGTGGGCTTGTAAAGCAATTCTCCTCCAGCTTACGCCATGATTCTGCTGTCCTTTCCGCGCACGCATCTTTTATGGCATTGTTTTTTTTTCTCCAGCATCGAAGCTTGTGCAGTCACCACTTAACAGAAACCGAACCCACGACCACTTGCTCATCTGTTTGTATTTTCAAAAACATCGTTTCAAATAAAAAAAAGAGAAGAAGCTGTTTTGTTGAGCATGCGACGAACAGTCAGTGAATTCGTGGTTAATCGCTACCTTAAAAACCACGTTCATTTCGTGGAGAACACATATCCGGTAAGAAAGGCCAACTTTTCTGATTCGTTCGATTTGACCAGCAACATCACGGCGACTATAGATCTTAAAATTATTTCATGTGTATATTTAATATTGGACGCCAGTCAGGTGGTCAAAAAGTCGTCATGCCAGTAATGTGTAATCATCATTTGCTTCTACAGCCTATACGTACATTGCATGTATCTCTATACTGCGATGCGAACGCCTGCCTGCTCTGCTCCCAAGTGAAAAGTTCGACTACGACGGCCACGTTGCCGTATCTGTGGGATACTGCGACTACCGCTCCCGACTCCTAACGCAGTGCAAAACCAGTGCCTCCGATTCTGGAAGCATGTGCAAAACCGTGAATGCATTAGGGGCCCGTGAGTCTCTTTTTTAATTATTATTACTATTATTAATGTGAGCTAGAATATTTGTTTGTTCTCCAATCCGATCTGTTCTGCTTCCTGTCTTTCAATGTTTGGCCTATCATTTTCCGTGTCATCGCAAGTTGCATGCTAAACCAGACCGCCGCAGTGGTCTAGTGGCTATAGGGTACTCGGCTGCTGACCCGCAGGTCGCGGTATCGAATCCCGGCTGCGGCGGCTGCATTTCCGATGGAGGCGGAAATGTTATAGGCCCGTGTGCTCAGATTTGTGTGCACGTTAAAGAATCCCAGGTGGTCAAAATTTCCGGAGCCCTTTATTACAGTGTCTCTCATAATCATATGGTGGTTTTGGGACGTTAAACCTCACATATCAATCAAATCATTTTGCTAGTGGCCCGGCCCGACCGTGACTGTCCTCGTCCTTTTTTTTTCCTGATGTACAAGTAAGCTCTCCGGTCGAGGAGGACAGATGAACACCTGATATCGACCATGAGGACCGACTCCACAGAGTAATTGCGAGCGTTTGTTCTGTCGCAGCTAGGCGTTGTCAGACATTTATTTAGCAGTTATTTTGGGCTGTGGAAGGAATACGATTCCGCGACCTTACTAAACGCCATTCGCATTATTTTCCCGCCTGCTGCGATAAACAACTCATCATGCAAAAACAAGTGATTCATCTTGTGCGATCAATAACGCACTCTTCAAGTAATTTAAATAGACGTGAGTGGTCTCAAGCACTTTCTGTTTGCGACCGCGCGGTCACAATTCGTTCTAATATTATCGTGGAGTAAAAACTCGGTATTAATTTTGATAGTCGCGTCCATTATTGTCGACATTATTTTCTCAGATCGTGACGCCGAATGCTGTTCAGAATGATCGTGTTATAAGATATAAGGAATGCTTTTGTTTCAAGTGGTAACGATAGCTGACATTTTGATCCTTGGCCCTTAGCTCCCCCCTTCCCCTGCTCTCATCTGTACTGTTCCCTTCCCTGCGGGCCTAAATTTTCGCGGCTGCGGCCGAGAAATTGGTCTTTGTTTTGTGCAACCGTCAACCTCTTTTGTTTTTTTTTTGTTTTTTTTAAGACACTGATATCCCTACGAGCACAAACTAAGTCTTCATCGAAAAACGTTGGCTCTGGCAATATTGTATACTTGTTTGGCAAGTTCTCATCACTTTAAACCAGCATCGTTGTTGTATAATCATGCATGTTTCGATTATTGCTGTGTACGTTACCCCAGAACAACAACTGAAACATGCGTGCAAGTTATATAAACCTTCCACGGGTGACTGTAGAGTGTTTTCCAAGCCACGTCGTGGCAACGTTAAGCCTAATATTGTGTGCAATGCTATATAGGAATCCTCATTATTTTAAATGCGAAGCATTTCTTAGCGAACTTCGGTGACTTTGAGCGTATCTATCTATCTATCTATCTATCTATCTATCTATCTATCTATCTATCTATCTATCTATCTATCTATCTATCTATCTATCTATCTATCTATTCTATCTATCTATCTATCTATCTATCTATCTATCTATCTATCTATCTATCTATCTATCTATCTATCTATCTATCTATCTATCTATCTATCTATCTATCTATCTATCTATCTATCTATCCGCTTACGTTTGTGTGCTCTCGTGGTCGCCCCCTTAACTTGGCGTGAACCAAAACTAGCATGAGAGGGTAAGATGGTTTGACGAATATGACGCGCAGGTCGACACAAGAATAATGTCTCAATCCCGTCGCGTACGTCGTCAAACACTTCCCGCCAGATAGTGGCTCATACCCACGGGCGGGTATGCGCCGCTGGTATGTGCCACAGGTGATAGACACTTAGCGTCTGCGCAGGAACGACGGGAACACACATGGGCAATTTTAACACCGTCAAGAAATACCCGACTTTGGTGGCATTGACCCGACGAATGCAAAGAATAAATGTCAAGGTTCCAGCTGGAATCGAACCCAAGCATTGTGCTTGCGTGACAATGAAGCATTTTACCACAGAGCTACGCCAGATCTCGGAACCACTTTTCAAATAGTCGCTAATCTTCGTGAAACGACAATAGTGTTTGCAATGTTGCATACCCAATTTTACAACATAACATATGCACTCCCTTGACACAGCTGTCACATCGGGATAATGTCAATTGGGCTTAGTTGTCATGCGCTGAGGTCGATTTATTTAGCGGTGTTCAGGGCCAGCATCCTCGCGAGCATCAGCGCTTCATATATCAGCTTCTGGTGTTGCTGATACACATGTTCCAGTTGGCATCGTTTCGCAAGTGCGAACAACTGGTTATATAAACATCTGCAACTTTTCAACATATGTCTGTGCGTGCAACATTTGTACATATATTTAACGTCATTTCATGACGTTTCGCTCAATAAGAAACATACACTAAAGGAAACCTTCCCTCCGCATGCTTCGCATAACGTCGATTCCCAGGTACGTGGGATCTGCCGAATGTTTTTTTTTTTTTTTGTATACAGAAAGCTTTGTGATCATGCAACAAAACGCGATATTAAGCGAGTGCCGACTCATTTTCGTTTTCAAGGAACGATGTCTGCGCGAGCTGTTTCTTTTTCCATTCCCTTTTTTTTATTTCACTCTTCCTTTCTTCTTCCTGAGGAGGAGAAGGAAATGACGCAGCTTTCTTTTTGCAGAGGCGCCGCATTTCTTATCGGCTCTATGGCTCAGCTGGAGAAGCACGGCGCGCGTCTGCAGATACAGACATCCGTGGCGCCTCTTGTTTTATCGTCCGTGTTTCCAGCTAATTAAGGACACCCGATGCGCAGATAGGCCACGGGGAGATCACGAGCAAGCTGTATACACACACACAAAATCATCGATCCGGCAAGAGGCCAGGATTTGCCGGCCATCTGTGTGTGCACAAGAAACGCAACTTGTATGTTTCTCATGTCTTTCTTTCGTTACTTTCCCCCCTTTTTTTAGTTTGCTTCACGCTTATCTTCAGTGGATATTCTTAATCGCTCTCGAAGCGGTTCTGACATTTTTCGCTCACTACGAGAGATAAACCGTGAATATCTGCTTCGCCT